CAGTAAAGCCATAAATATCATAACTTCATCGATGGCCTTGAAAATAGCCGATCGTAATAGATAATTTATGAGAGATAGTCAATGTATTTCTTCTTCATGATGAAAATCTTAAGCATGCTGACTTCGGAGACCCTAAGTCTGTTTCTAAATATACTAACTTTGAATGAATAAATTGACTACGTCTTTCGAACTATTTATTCAATTGATTCTTTTCAGGCTCACCAATATTATCAAACGTAGATTCTTGTCTAACGGAATAACGATTTTATTACGATGAAATTTTTTAGTTGACTTTTATTTCACTCATTGATTAATATTATATGAATGTACAATGATAAGTCAAATAAATCTAATTTTATCTCAAGATAGATGATGTACTTTCAAATTACTTCGAAGAAAAGTCAAACAATGAGTTGGCAGTAACTATTTTTTTTTTATTTTTCAAAGTGTGTCATAAATACAATTGAACATCGTGAAAAATATCTTTTATTCTTTATCGAATTTAATTTTTTCGTGAAGAAAAATTATACGTATATATTATAATTACTTGTCTGTTGCATGCCAATCGAAAGAAATAAATATAATAAAATTTGTATAAAACATGTCTATATAATTTATTTTTGCTTACGTCGGTCAATAAATATATGTAACAGATAGTACTTCAATTAAATAATTTAAATTACATTTTATAAATTATTCGACAAATATAGTAATACGTACCGCTAAATGGAAGATTACGCTGTCTTTCGAATATTACAGTGATGAACGTTCTAGCGCACGTTTTTCCATAAAATTCGCAAGTGGTGCATAGTTTCAATAGTCATTTAACTGACTTATGATAATGATAGATTAGATTATACTTTGATAGGTTTTTCGTTTAGAAATTGAACGTTCTGTGCGAGAAAATTTCAAAATAATTATTTTTTTTCTATTTGAATTTTCTATCGTGGGTCGATGAAAAATTTTATATAGTTTTTAAATACATGCAAAAATTAATTTATCTTCCAGTAGATAAATTAATGAATCTTATATAATCAATTATAGAAAATCTTTATGCTCTAAATATTAGTCTTAATGGCCGAAGATTGTGAAATGTGTGAATTATTCCTTACCTTATAGAAATAGTCATCCGCGATAAATTATTATAATCTTTCGAAATTGTACAGCCGGTAATTCATTGTCAAATTTAGATGTATCTTGATTCTCTTTTAATAGCAACGATCAAACGAGAACTGTAAATTATACATCAGTAAATTATATTAATTGATGAAAACGCTGTACATAGGAGAATACGTACGATAGCAAGTTGTTTCAATTTCCGCCAACTTGCACCACGCACCCTGATGCTATGTCTGCAGTAAAGCCATAAATAAAATGCCTTTATTGGTGGCCCTGAAAATAGCCGATCATAATGGATAAGTTATGAGAGGTAGTCAATATATTTCAGCTTTCTTCTTCATGATGAAAATCTTAAGCATGTTGACTTCGAAGGCCCTAAGTCTGTTACTAATCGTACTAATTTTGAATAAGTAAATTGACTACGTCTTTTGAACTATTTATTTCAATCGACTCTTTTTCACCAATATTTTTAAACGTAGGTTCTTGTCTAACGGTATAACTACTTTATTACGATGAAATTTTTTAGTTGACTGTTATTACACTCATTGATGGATATTATATGAATGTACAATGATAAGACAAATTAATCTAATTTTATCTAAAGATTGATTATGTACTTTTGAATTACTTCGAAGAAAAGTCAAACAGTTTAATGAGTTGACAGTAACTATTTTTTATTTTTTTTTTATTTTTCAAAGTGTGTCATAATTGAACTTCGTGAAAAATATCCTTTATTATATATCGAATATAAATTTTTCGCGAAGAAAAATTATACGTGTATATTATATATACTCTCGTTTATTGCATGCCAAACGAAAGAAATAAACAAAATGAAAATTGTAATTTAATACATGCCTATGAAAATTATTTTTACTTACGTCTGTCGATAAATATATGTAATCAGATAGTACTTAAGTTGAATAATTTCAATTGGATTTTATAAATTATTCACCAAATATAGCACACATACCGCTGAATAGAAGATTACGGCTGATGACTGAAGTAATCTTAAATTTAGAGGGTAAGAGGAGAATGAAAAAAAAAATTAGTCCACCTGAAAATGCTTAAAAACAAAATCACGTGAAGGTTAACGCAATGATAGTACCTAAAAGGTAAAATAGTCATTTATTATACCTAAGAATTTATTAATTTTTTTCAAGAGGGATATCTCCCACAAGAAATGCATCGCAATGTTAAATATTAGAAAGAATATGTTTTATACGTTTGATCAATTGGTGGCCCTGAGAAGGGCCGATTCTTTGGCGCTGACAAGGGCCGGTCATTTAGCACTGAAAAGTGCCGATTTTTTGGCTCTGAAAAGAGCCGATTATAAATATCCGTTTAAGCGGATTCTCCACTAAGATTGGAGAGCGTCTGGGGATCCAAATAGTCGATGATCGTCCGAGCAATGAGCCAGTTTCCTGTTTGCCCAGATGCCAAGTGTATTAGCTTATTAAGTGCTCTTTGCCAAATAACTTCAGAGTCGTGATAGGCGTTGCCGCGGAAATCGTCTACTTTCAAACAGTTTAGGCCACACTGTTTGAGAAAAGCAAGTCCGACAGTGTTACCGGTCCAAACTGCATCAAACGCGGCTGTTTGTCCATCATCATTCACCAGGTGGACATCGTACTCAAAAGCGAGCTGCTTGTCCACGAGCAAATTCACGACGCCAGGGTTGCGGTTGGTCATAAAGTGATGAAGCAAACTATCGGCGCCCCACGTCAATTGTAGGCGTAAATCCGTGTAGCCTAATTCAAACATGGCGACGACTTCTTCTTTTGATCCTTGGGCAAACACCGAGGCGATGAAATCATCAAGCGCTTGACCCGGCCGATAATAGGTGAGCTCCTGAGGTATCGTGATGAGGCTTTTCAGTAGCGGTATATTGCCTTTGCCAAGGGGGTACCGCTCGTAAGCCGATAACTCCTGGTGGTCCACGTGAGTGTAGTGTTTCGTGGCTGGGTCAGCTCTTCTCACAAGCAGGTCCCGGACTTGATCCACGTCCTCCCTTAACAGAGCCGCTTGCAGTTGCTGCTGAATGATGTCGTACGTCATGTTGCTCGAATGGCAATGCTCTCGTCTCGATCGGCGCCGTATTTATACTCGTGGAAAGCCCTCATTTTCTTCTTCTTCGTTGGAAATGAAACATATGCCGTACCAATAGCAACAAAGCATTACGGAAGTTTCCACACCTCTAATACTGTTTCTCGACGCTTCCACTCGGGTAGCGAAAAAAAATAAGTTAAGAGAGATAGTCAATGTATTTCAGGTTTCTTCTTCATGATAAAAATCTTAAGCATACTGACTTCGAAGACCCTAAGTCTGTTACTAAATATACTAACTTTGAATGAATAAATTGACTACGTCTTGTGAACTATTTATTTCAATCGACTGTTTTCAGGCTTACCAATATTTTGAAACGTAGATTCTTGTCTAACTGTATAATGACTTTATTAGGATAAAATTTTTCATTTGACAGTTATTTCACTCATTGATATATATTTTAAGAATGTATAATGATAAGACAAATTATACTACATTTTGTCTAAAGTTTCATGACGTACTTTGAATTATTTCGAAGAAAAGTCCAACAGTCTAATGATTTGACAGTAACTGTTATTTATTATTTTCTTAAGTTTTCAAAGTGAACAATTAAGAAAAAAATATACTTAATTAGAAATACCTAATGAGAAAAATTATACATATACTCGTATATTATAATTACTTGTCTATTACATGCCAATCGAAAGAAATAAATAAAATAAAATTTGTAATATAAAACATGCCTATGAAATTTATTTTTACTTATGTCTGTGGAGAATTATGGAATTAGATAATACTTGAATTAAATAATTTAAATTGGATTTTATAAATTACACTAATATTGCAGTAAATACTGCCGAATGAAAGATTACGCACTCTTTCGAATATTACAGTGATGAAAGTTCTAACGCACGTTTTTCCATAAAATTTGCAGGTGGTGCATGGTCTTAATATTCATTTAACTGACTTATGATAATAATAGATTATATTATAACACACTTTGATATGTTTTTCCTTTGGTAATTGAACGTTCCGTACACGAAAATTTCAAAATAATTTTTTTTAAATGAATTTTCTATCGGTGGGTCGTTATTTTATATATATTAATTATAATAATTATAATATAATTATAAAAATATACTGAATGATATTATGAATTATATACTGAAACTTTTATTCAAATAATTTACTTACTTTTATTGTTGAAAAATATGTTATAGTTTATAATAAAAAATTCTCTATCTTACTTTGAAGTTGAAAAATTGGTTAATCGCTACATGTTGGTTAAACAAGTAGCTAATTTGTACCTGAAAATAATATAGATCATTATTAATTTTTTTTTAAATACATACTTGGAACTATTTTACTCTTGTATAATGTTATGTGATTATGATTTCTATACGAAAAAAATTAAATAATCGGAAAGTATGCATTTAGAAAAAAATTATAATAATGACGTGTAGTATCTAGTTTTCCAACTTCAAATGACAACTAAGAATTTTTCATTAAAAATGACTTATTTTTCAGTAATAAATATAGGTAAACTAATTGAATAAACTTTCAGTTTGTAGCCATGAGTACGCAAAAATCGGCGAATAACAAAGCACTGATGGAGCAGCCGACGCAATCAAATGTCACCAAATCTGGGAAACTATTATCTAGGGACCCAGCAGAGCAGCCTTCAACAAAAACGCTACTCTGCATAGTAGCATGTCACTGAAATAATTTTTGTCAGGGTCCCTAGAATTTATTGCATGATGTTAAATAAGATAATTTCTAGGGACCCTGAGAAACATTTTTCCAGTAACAACTGTGTAACTGCATTCGGTAGAGGACAATGTATACTGAACAGCTGTGTAGTACACACGTTCTTAGGACACCCGAAGCTTGTGCAATATACCAGAGATGATCTCTGATTATACACACATATATAGTTATGTACGCGAAGAGACAGTGACAGACTGACAGTACCTGTTTTCGCCATAGTTAATTCCCGGCGCCTCTATATACATCTTTAATAATCACTGACGTGTATTGTGCTCGCGACGCATCTGTATAGTGGTGGTGGTGCTCAACTGAAGTAACTCTCCTCGACGACGACGACGACATACACCCGCGTGAGAGAGAAGAAAAAGTAGTGTGATAATGCGTCGAACAAGCATGTAATAACGCGCCGCTGCGAATGTTCCTCTCCTTGGCGACCACCCGAAAAAGGGAGCGTAGCCTAGTCGTTGTCGTTTGTTTCCTTGCTGCTGCTGCTGCTGCTGCTGCGGCGACATTCGTTCAGGGTATGTATACATGTATATTTTTAGAGTATTTATTGTTTTTATTAAATTATTTAACTTTCGTCTTGGCTCATGGTTTTTGTCTCATGTTTTTATTTGGGACCCAAATTGACTCGTAATAAAAAATGGATTCGCTTTTTTCCTGAAAGTCATGCGAGAAAGAGAGAAATGCTAGACATTGTATGCACTTTTAATTTTCACCTTTGTTATTTATTAACAAGTTGCATTGAAATTTGTAGAGCCTACCCATAACAATTCCAATCACAGGAATAAAGTCAGTTGATCCTGGCTTCTAAGTGCTTGCAAAATATCAGTTGACATTTCAAGAAATCAGTTGTCAACATGGAGCTGGACATAAAAACGGTACTGCTGAATTTTGCCATAATTATTATGAGGGTACCACCTCTGTTTGTTATCGATGAACTACTGAGGACTAATATGGGAGTGCCCGAAGATCCAATAGTGCTGGAGAATACCGAGAATAATTACAGAATGGCAGAGATGCAAGATAGTGTTGTTGAATCACTTGTTAACGCTGCTGCAAATCTTGCGTTTAGTTCATCCAATTGTTCAGAGGGAGATGGTTTGCATTTCACTGGTATCGTTTATTCTTACCGAATGCCTTTTTTGGCATTATTGAGGATTCTAGCCAGTTGCATAGGTAAGTTCTGTATTCTCGAATGTCATCTACACTTCTAACATTGTAACAATAATACAAATCATTCGATATAGACACAATTTTCAACTGCAACTATATATATTGAGCTGTATAAGCTTTCTTTTCAAAACACTAATCTGTTTTTCAACTAATTACAGACTTAGGTTACATTTCACTTAGTCTCACATTAAAATAGTTTTGATATCAAAGTTAAAAGCAGTTAGATTTTTTATTGGTATTTTTTTCTTTTTCATTACTAATACATTTGTACAATTTGGCAATAAATAGATAAGACTGAGAAGGAAAATAGTTTAAACAATAAACACATAATGCAAGTAGAATTAGCAAGTTTAAAAATAAATGAATAATAAATATACTACATTATAAAGTTATTAAATATCTTTTCTACAGGTTGCTTGGCTGCCCTTTATGTTTTCATGCTGCGAAGAAAAAATCTTTTAATTGTCTACCTTTACTTGGCATCAATCGGCATGGTTTTTCTTTCCTATTGGTCCAATGTTACAACCATCAATACAATTATTGAATACCTTAATATTAAAGGAGATGGAAGTAGTGTTCTGGCTGAAGTTCTTAGTTTGCAATTTTCAAATCTAATATATAATGGTCCTGGTCTCATGATTGTTCAAAACTATATTTTGCAAACCATACTTGCATATTTATTCTGTCACATTCATCTTGCTCCAAAACATCATTTTATCCAAAGAATATTGACTATCAGCTTTTTATTACCATCGCATGCTGGAGTCTATCCTTTTAGTGTAAGTATCCTTTTATGCTATCACATAAATAATTATTCTTAGGATACTGATATTAATAATGTTTAATTTGAAAAACAATTTTATGCTTAAAATTGTTTTGAATATGATATACTTCAAAAAATTTTGAATGTTTTGATAAGATAACTATTAACTTATTATGTTTAACATAGAATTTTTCATATTGGAAATGAAATATGAAAATGAGTCATCTGCAATTCATTAGCTTTTATTTAATGTTCATTACTTGATTTTAACGCATTTTTGAGAGCTCAAATATTAAGTGAAATTTGAAAAGCTGTCGAAAAACTTCAGCATTAAACAGCAACGTTATATAAAGTAAAAATATAATTTGACAGTAAAAAACTATATCATTTTCAGGTAAGTTTAATGACTCGATCACCGACAATAGCGGCATTCGTGCCGCTGTTTGTTTGCAAGTATGTGATCTGGGCAAACCTTAGTGCAATAAAACAAACGCTGTATCAGGGATATGCGCAAGGTCGCACCTTTATAACAAACTACGGTCTAACAGCTTTGGCAGAAACACAATGGACGCGTCTTCATGTGCCATCGGTGTTACGAGTCTTCTGGATAATTCGAGTGACGGAGCAGCTGTTGCAGATATTGAGTAGCGAGGATTGGTCTAGCAAAGATTTCAGTTATGTGGAGTTGGGCAAAACATTGATGGTCAACGGTTGCGAGACTTTACCTGCAGTGCTGGGGATGACAAGCATCGTCTCGGTCATCTGCCACTACATCGGTACTTTCTTTTATTGGGTGTTGTTGATCGACGACGAGGATGAAAAAAGTATCGGCGCGGTATCCGCAATGCTGTTCTATATCCTGGCACTTCAGACCGGACTGACTACCTTGGACAAGGAGAAAAGATTATTGAGACTCTGCAGAAATCTATGTCTTCTATTCACGGCAATTCTGCTGTTCGTGCATAATACGGTGAATCCGTTGCTGATGTCATTGAGTGCTTCGCACAATCCAGCCTTGCACAGGCATCTACGCGCGCTCGGAGTGTGCCTCTTTCTCATAGTCTTCCCCACGTGGTTACTCACTTACCTCTGGTCACATTATACTTTAAGCACTTGGCTATTGGCTGTGAGCGTTTTCAGTGTCGAAGTCATTGTCAAGGTCTTTGTGTCGCTTGCCATCTACTCGCTCTTCCTATACGATGCCTATCGCAAGACTTTCTGGGACGAACTTGATGACTGGGTCTATATTATTCGGTAAGCTTTTGTACAAATACTTTTCAAATGACAAACATTTTCAGTTCTATAAAGGGAAATTGAATTTCAAAAAATCTCATTTTAAATGAAATGTCACTAGAAAAGTTGTCTTTAGATAGCATGATTTAATCAATTTTTTAGTTCTATAAAATATTGCACGTTTAATTAAATTTGGAAGATTACTGAGAATTAGGTTGTTTTTTTTCATTAAATATGCTGACAATGGGCATTTAGAGAATTGAAACAGATATCGTTCGATAGTGATTTTGAAATTAAAAAATGTCAAATTTAAAGTTGACAAACTTAATGTTAGAAATTTAACAGGTAAATGCATGTAAAGCTATAAAATTACATTTCAGATCCTTCGGCAATACAGTGGAGTTCATGTTCGGCATCGTACTTTTCTTCAATGGCGTGTACATTCTATTCTTCGAGGCAGGTGGTTTTGTGAGGGCAATTCTTATGTGTGTACACGCTTATTTCAACCTCTATTGCGAAGCGCGAGCGGGTTGGAGTGCATTTATGAAGCGACGACAGGCAGTTGACAAGATCAACTCGTTGCCCGAGGCGAGCGAAAAGCAGATTCAAGAATTGGCCGACGTCTGTGCTATCTGCTATCAGGAGATGGAAAGCGCACGTATAACCAGGTGCAACCATTATTTCCACGGCATTTGCCTGCGCAAATGGCTTTACGTGCAGGACAAGTGTCCTATCTGCCATGAGATCATGTACAAGAAAAGTACACCTGTCGAGGCAGAAGCGAGCGATGAGGCGCAGATAGATGCACAGGCCAACAGGCTCAATGTTCAAGGTTGGTTTGGTTGATCACGTGCAACTGTAAAAATTAGCTTGAACTTGCAACAAGAGAACGAGTTTATTGAATTCGATGATATATTAAGTCATTTTATGCAGACTAGCTCGGCGACAGTTAGAGCGAGACAATTTTCTTTTATTTTGACGTGATTCTTACTAAACAACATCAGCATTGACAAGTTAATTTTTGTTTCTATAATCATATCAACCGATCGACCTTATTTGACATCGTCGTTCAAGTTGTTACGAAAGCTGATGGGATGGTATTGATTAAACAGTATTGTAATGTTGTTATTGATTATTCAGGTAACAATCTAGCAGAGGCTGACAATCAAGTTAACAACAATACCCCACACTCGACTTTGAGGAATCATTTAGCAAGAGCTTATTTGCCGCAAGATCAAGCAGTCGGGGGAATCGAAGAGTCGGTCGACTATGTAATGTTATGATAAATGGCAGAGTTGAACTAAAACATTTGAGAAACAAAAAAGAAATAATTACAATTCTTTAAAACTTAGAGTTTTTTCATAAGTTATAAGGTTTTATCAGAACGAAAAAGACAAGAAATCAGGAATGGTCATGTACGTTACCGGTGTGAATTGTCGGAGTAAATTTTTAATATTTCCATTTTTTTGACGTCGTACGTTGTTATTATAAATTTAAATAAGATTTTCACTTATTTTCAAGAGGTTTTTCAGCATTTAATTTGTATGTACTTACCAGCAACTTAAAATATTTTCAAGATCATTCTATTTGAGACTCATTTTTAAATAATGTAACTTGTTAAACATTTTCATACAGCATATTTTTGAAGCTAAAACCAATTTTTGATAAATCAATTACACGTCAGTTTTGCTGATGCATATAGCAACAATAGCAGTTTGAGGTGACAAATAAAACGTTCAGTGATATTGTTTCATAATATAATTTTTATTGAATATAATAATATAATTTATCGCGTTATTTTAGTCAATAGATAGCTTATTTTCATCATATTGTATTTATTAATTCATCCAAAATTGATAAGATACGTAATAAGACTTTACGATAAATAAATATGTATCTATTGTTCATAATTATAATAAGTAAAGTTTACTCAAGTAGGAACACTAAAAATGAACTTGTTCGAACTGTAGTTTTTATTACAGGACTTTGAAGATTTGCTGATAAATGTTGATGTCCTAAAATAGTTTTCAAAAATTTGTATCATATAAAAAGTTATAAACCAATGTTGTTTTACGTATCTTTATTTTTAGATTGTAAATTCTTAATAAATATTGAGTGAAAGGTTATGAATATCTCTTAATAAGACTAAAAATAGGACAAAATTCAAGTAAAATAATTTTTTTATAAAAAATTACTTATAAATAATACATTTATTAATAAATAAGTGAAAATTTAACTAAGTTCTCCTATAGGTAGGAAGAAATTTTTTTCATAATATTATTCTTAAAATATAAATAACGTTTTTTTCGAAAACCAAATTTAATATATTTTATAAACAAAAAAGTTACGAATGTTGACGTTTGGCTAGATAGACGTGAGGCCCATTGCCGCTCGACGCGTACGAACGCGTTTCTGCGTGCGCGTGAAGTGTGCCTTTTTCAATTGTTTAAAAGTAATTTTTTTATATGCAACGTCTTACATTAATAGCAAAAGTGTGAGTAGCGAGTTAGACACTTCAGTAGAAGGTTGTCAGATTGTCGTCGCTTGTATCATGATACCACCATCTGAATGCTACAATTCTTTTGAGAGAAAAGGACATAATAGTTATAAAAAAAAATTTTAACGTTTATGTCGAAAAAAAATTAACGGGAATTTCACTGGTTTTTTTTTTAGTTATAAATTTAGTACAAAAATGTATTAGTCTGTTTGTGATTAATGTAAAAAATATAACAATAGTTACATGTCAGTATTATTTAACTATTTTCCTACAAAATTTATATGTTAACTTAAACTACTTTTCTGTGAATAATTAAACGTGTAGCTCGGGGTAGTCAAGCGAGTCGTGCGGCAATATGTCTTGTGCCTATTAGACCGCACACAAATATTCGTAACTGTTTTGTTTATGAAATGTACTAAAATTTTTTTTCGAGAAAATATTTTGTACACTTTAGAGAATAATGTAGCGAAAACATTTTATTCCTACTAATAGAAGTAATTGATTCAATTTTCATTTCTTTATTAAAAAATGTATTATTTATAAAAAATTATTTTTATTTTTATGAACATTTTATTTCATTCAAATTTTGAGCTATATTTAGTCCTAAATTATAAGGAATTCATAAACTTTCACTCAATATTCATTAAAAATGCACAATTTGAATATAAAGGGATATAACACTTTTATTTATTTGTTTAAAGCTTTTTAAATAATAGAATGTTCTTAAAAACATTTTTAAACATCAATGTTGATCAATAAATCTTTAAATTCCTACAATAAATAGTTTGAATCAAATGAGTTCATTTTTAATGTCCGCAATTGCGAAAACTTTACTCAATACAATTATAGTTTTTGCTCAGAGTAGACTTGAGTTTATGGTCAATCTTGAGTGAACATCTAAATTAGGCAAAAAATAATTTTACTCAAGAATTCAGTACGTGAAAGAAATAGCCGAAGGCTGTTTTCAAGCTGAATTTTTCATCAAATTTTTCAAGAACTGAATATATTTCACAGTAATCATAAAAAAAATCATTTTGAAAGTTTTTGTTTGTCAAATGTCTAATAAAACAATAAAAATAACGAATAAACCAATTCGCATAAAAAACAAATTTAAACACAAAAATGAAATTACGTACTATTGGCAACATTTTTTTGCAGTCGAAATATATGTATATATAATAATAAATTTATAATTCTTTAAAAGTTATCTAGCACGTTTGTAAATAATTATATTCCACGTTTAAATCAACTTAACGCTGATTTATCTCAATAATCTATTTTAATAGTAATTATAATATTTTGACTCGGGTTTTCTGTGCTATATATTTTTGGCGGCATAACATTTCTCTGATTGAACTATTTAAGCACAATCTGTTTTTCAATTATATATATTTAACAAATGAAATATTTCCATGTAATTCCAGTGTGTGGGATTATTTTTCTACAATCAAGAGCATTATGTCTAGCATTATGCTGAGAGCTTGCCAAGTATACATTAAGATATAATTTTTCTATAAAATCGCTAAAAAATAAACAAGTAATGGCGTTTTGTGATGGTGATAGAGAAGATAGATCGGCAAAATTATACGATTAATTCTTATTGATCAAGTACCATATATTGTAGGCGTAGTCGATATTTTTAATGAATATCTTGGAAAAAAATCATTTACGATTTTTATTATATTGTTAACTCCTTGGGTTATAAAACACCTTTTATGTTTCTCACAAATACCCGTTAATGCATATATCATGTACAATAAAAAGTTTGTTTATAATCAATAAAGGCTCGTTTATGTATCTACTGGCTGTTGAATCCTTAATCATGTTCAATCGTTGATTTGATGTAACAAATAAAAAAAGGAATATTAGGATAGCTTATTTTATAATGAAATGTGATTACTCTATTGATTTGGCTTTAAAAATATTTTAGAAATTAGTATGATAAAGGAAGCAAATTTATATCTAAAAATTTTTAATATTGAATTCACTTTTTTAACACTAACATGGCCAATGGTATTCAAATATTTATCTTTCGAATGTAATGAACTATTGCAGTTACACTTGAGCCGATGTCGAAATTCACGAAAATGATTCAAGTTGACCTAAATTTAGTAAATTACATAGATTTTAGTCATATTTTAAGATAGTTTTTTTCCAAAGAATGAAAAGTCAGTTGTAAGCTCTAAGAATAAAAGAACAATGCAGCAGCCATGGAAGTGAAGTTATAACTCGTGCTACTCCTGAGTGAAAAAGCATCGAACAATGCAAGTCAGCTGCAAGCAGCCTGCACTAAGTCTTCTCTAGACTCTCTTTCTCTCGGCGTCTGTAGTATCGAGAGGTCGCGAGAGCGCGGTCGCGCGAGAAAAAGAGAAGAAAAAAGAGGGAGAGAGAGAGAGAGAGTCGAGGCACAGCGCAGCTTTGCGGAGAGAAAGAGCGTGTATTGCAGTTCAGTCGCGCGCTCGCTGTCAGTTCGCTCGCACATATATACTGACTGGACAGCATTGGCCGTACGAAAGTGAGAGAGAAGAGGCTTTTAAAGGTGAGTGTATTGCCTCATCTTTGTTTAGATGCGCGCAACGGAGGCCGCCGCTCTTCTTTGTTATATTGCCCGATCGTTATTCTTTGGATTATTGCGTTATTTCATTTGGGGCCTTCTCGACGTTGCCAGATGATTTTGCATTTTGCATGTGTTTGGTTTTTATCTTGCATTGTAGGTCTTCATTCTTTAGGATACTGTTGTGTTTTCGTGAAAGTGCGGCGACTTCTTTCTTCGTTCGTTTTCGTTTGATGCGCGCTCGTGTGAAATTGCGAAAATGTGCGTTGTCGACCGAATACCGACACTACTACAATAATTATGCCAATTATACTGCCTTTAATTTTTCCAAGCAAGGATAATACTTGAAGCAACTGTATGAGCTATTACGATCTTAACAAGACTTGTTTTGTCGTGACAGTTTTTTAAAAAAGCTTCGTATTTGCACAAAGTGAACTTTGCAAACGTCTCACTGAAAAATATACAACGTTAGTCGATACATCTTATCTCATTTTATATAATGTTTACTTGGCAATGTTTCCAATAAAATTTATCTTTTGAAAGATCTTTCACAAGAAACCTATGAGAAGGGTACGCATTACTTATCGAATCGTAAACTATACTGAAAGCAAATAAATCTGTCAAGCCTATAATCAACACTCTACCTCCATGAAAAACAAAGTAAAAAGAATTGCAGTTATCGCGCTTACCGATCTTTATGGAAAATTTAATGCCCTTTTAGTGGTAGCGATTTGCGACGGTAGTACAAAAGAAATTAGTTCTTCCGGTGTTGAACAACACGATAATTCGCGATAAATACAGCCATTAGATAAAAGATATACCCGTACGTCAATATCCATCTAGAATGTACGTAGCCGCGTTCGCGTGCCGGGGCGAAAAAACGCGAGTTCAAATGCGCAATGACGCCGCGGAGACGATGAAAGTGTTAATAGGAATTCTTATAAACGACTATGACTTGTTATTGCGCATCTGTTCTCACATCTTTTCAAGAAAGTGAAAATCTCTCGATGAGCGCTAAGTGCAGCAAATAAAGCAGACACGCGTGTCGTCGCGCCTTTGAAAATCGCTGGATGCTTTTTACGGGGATGCTTCATTTTATAGTGGCGCTTGGCACATTATTCTTGGGAAAGCTCTTGAGTAATTTTATATTTTTTCTTTCGTGCAAGCATCAAATTTACGATTTTAAAAGCATTCCTTACAAACGTTTCAGCGCATTAACAAAATAATGAAAAAAAAAAAATAAATAAATAACTTTAACCCATTATTCAATAAAACAAGAAAAAGATAAGATTGCAACGAATATACACCTCCCACGCGCGCGCGCGCATGTCTCAAATTGTTATCGCAAAGAAATTTTTTTCATTCCGCAGAGACACGATAAGAGTGACGCAGTCGCGCGTCCGACCGTGTGTACAAAACAAAGTAGTCTAGTAGCCAAGGGGGATTTCGTGGCCAATGAATCAAAGCGCACTTGTAGCTGCTCTCTGAACACATTTTTCGATAATGGCTCATTCAACATTCAACAAACAATCAGTTATTAGACTTTAATTATTCAAATGGTTATAATTAGTTGATTGAATATGTCTATACATTCTTCATTTTACAACGTATCCTTGGACTTTTTCAGAGATCGAAAGTGTTAAATAAAACTTGAAATATTGCAATTTGAGTTCAACGGCTCCGTCGACCGTCTGCCTTGCTCATTTGCTCCATCGCGCTCGCGCTGCTTATGCCGTGTTATTGTTTGAATCTCAATATTTCAATTTATATCCAACAATTTTTAATTCTGATAGAACCAGTTTGTTCCTGGATATTTTTTCGAATTTCGCTTGGGTGATTTATAAATTTTCGTATAATTATTTAAACATCGAGTCTTGTTTATAACTAATCAGCCGTGTATTTCTTAATAAGCCAGCGTTGACATTCGTATTCAGAGCACGTCAAAATACGTAAAGAGTGCACCTAGAGTGGAGCACGTAAGCCACATCGGCCGCAAAAGCCCCCAATGGCTCCCGTGGAACGAAGCTGATTTCAATTGAGAGCCAAGTGGCTGGCGACGAGGCTGAAGAACCGCGCGCGGCGCGCGCACTTGCCACGAGGCAGAGACAATACTTCGAGTCACGCGCTCCCGCATCAAAACAAGCTTCGTAAAAGCATCTGTTAACCACATCCGTTGACCAACAGCGATTTCTCACGAGGGTTTATCGATTTGCCGATCACGTCGACTGGTTGCGCAATTATAAGATTTCTGCGTATCGCAATTCGCTTCTCTTGCCAACGATCATAAACTTGACATATCACCGTGCAAAGTTCATTGTTTCTCAAACCTTCGATCATTGCCGGACATCTTTTTTTCTCAACAAATATGCATTATTTATTGACTTTATCGTGTCATCTTGCGCGAAATAAAAGTACTTTAACTCCAATATCGGGAAACCTTAGAAAATCAAGTTTCCGAGTCGTTTGATCTCGCGCTGTTTACTTGGCAGTCGATCAAAAATGCCGTTATATAAGCCAACTCAAACGCCACGAGAAAATCATAGTTCTAAAAATGCAGCAGGCTATTCTCGCGGCTGCCCTCTAAATGCTTTTCCGAGTTCTTTGGAAAAAATCTCCCATTAGAGTTTTTATGTATGCAAAAAGATATTTCATTTGTTTTTCGCTACGGCGTCACTATTTTCGGCGTTGCAATATCAACTTAGCATTGTCTATATAGTTCGATGCTCAAGATGTACAATGAGTTACTTTCAATGCTACGCGATAGTTTGATCATTGAACTATTTTAATCTGTACTTTACAGAACAACCTATCAGACAATTTTATCGAGAAGAATTAAACTTAATTATATTTAATTACAGCTTAATTAGATTACTTGACGATATATGCCGCAGATATAAAGCCCGGATAAGATTGTAAACATCTAAGAAACGAGCATCGGCCAAGTTTTGCCCTATTTTAATTGTTCAGACGTCGCGGCAAACAATTCAGCGCAATCTGAGATATTAGTTGAGCTCGGGACGCCGTTGTAGCGGAAAAAGCGGGTCGCCGGCGTGTGCCCCGCGAGAACAACGATTTTATTCGTCATAATAGAGCGCTCGCTTGGCAATTGGAAATACGTCAAACGCTGACAATGATGGACTGCTGGTAACAAAACGGAGAATCCGACGAAGCCACAAACTCGCGCGAGCGCGACCTTCGCGTGGCCTCGCCCGCCCGCAATAACTACTTTTCCTTGCGTGTGCGCGCTCTTTTTCTCTCTTCATTCTTCCAGTCTTTTCTTATGGACGTGTCTTTGATGTATCGCTCGTAATGTACTTTCTTTGTCCGCTGATAATGAGAACGTCTCGCTGGGCGAATGACGCGCTTCGCGTTCATTTTTTCGTCAATGCGACAATTCAAGTGTACTGACGAAATTTTCCGGTTTACATTCAAATTCATGAATTCTTCGTTGAATAGATATAGTAGAACGAGTGGATTATCAATAACAAATTGGTTCTTAAGAATCAGACTTTACAGTTTTGTAATATCCTTTGAATGAGTCACGCTTTGATTCATCAATAGCTTGCACATTGGCACGCTTATGTTTGCTCATAATTAGTCACAACACTGCGTGAGAAAATGACAAGCTAGAAAAACAATGAAGCTCGACGAAAATAAACTCGCGGGTTACATAGATCTTGAAGGTAGAAAGTTAATGTGGGCCTGCTGCGAATTAAACAGAGTGCGAAAGATGTAAGCGTCGTCGCTTTTGGCATCGCGTCAGGAATTAGTAATCGAGATTCGCGTCAACATTGCACAGTAATATAAGTCATAACAAAATCCGAGTGGTCAAATTGAATTCAATTGAACGGTAGCGCGTAGTTCATCGCAAAATGACTCCATCAATTTAAATGTGAAAGCACATAAAATACCTCTATTTCGCGTCAAATCCATAGTACGTCTGCCTGCTTGAGATTCTGTTAAAACATCACGCCCTCTCTAACGGCGAATTTCAGTTTTGGCGAAGCGTCCCTTCCATCGCGATTAATCATAAATGTCGAGATCTCGCGCACGATGAGAAAACAAAATGAAGGCGCGTGAGTTAATTTTGAAACGGCTTTTCAGAATGATGGATTGCCAAGGTGACAAGTAGCTGGCAGTGCGACAATTAAGGAACCTTGCCAATTGCTCTGCTGTACGGCTCGATTGTTGTGGCGGTCGAAATCCCTTGTCCCTTTTCCTTTCGTGGAAGCGCGCACGCGATAATAGATCGGGCGAATTAAGCGCTCCGTTAATTGCAGCTGGGTCGATCGATCGTCACCTTGCACTTGAAACTCGGAGTATTCTTTTCATTATTGTGGATAATTGCACTAACACGTGCCGGCTGAAGGGAAATATATAAAAACGTTTTGATCGTTTTATCCAAAGTAAACCGCAATTATTTTCAACGCTCTGAGGCATTTATTCAATGTACAGATAACAATTTTGTAAGTGAAAATGCACTGCGTTTATTTAAGTTTGAAATGGCGATTTATTGAAATTACCATTAACTTGTTTATAAAATGGACAAAATGATAAATAAAAAATATGATCCATATGTGGGTCACGCCTTCCTCGATATCTTACTATTCAATTCTAATAGTACAACTATATGTTAATAGATTCCTTGAATTATGAAATTATGATTTAGCAACTACAATTAATTATTATTTAACGATTGTACATCATCTGCTCAAATTGGAAAAAACATGCAAATATTTCTACTTGATATATTTCAAACATTATAGAATATGAAAATTCAGATTTAAATTAATTGTTAAATGAACATTAAGAACATGTGAGATATAATTCATTCATGTGAAAAAATTCTAATTAAAAATTAAAATAACAGACGAACACTTACGTCGAGCTGTTGGTGTCAATTTTATGAATCTTTTCTATATTAATGCATTGTAAATCGTGAAATGTCGCAGGGAAATTGTGTAATATTCCACTTAAATTATACTATTTGGTCGTATGCCATGAACAAAATATCGAACGAGGATAATGTCTGGGAAAAATGAATTATATCTATGGTTTGAACAAATATATATCGCCACATATTTCAATACCTACGTAAAAGTTACGCTCGCGATTCCACTGAAATCTATTAAAAGAACTACTGATCGGGGGAGCCTATCACTTAGTTGCCCTCAAATTGTTAATAATATAGTATATTACGACACAAGTACGGGAAAGTAGATTCTTGTCGTGCGTGGCATGCGGGATAGACGCACTTTGCGCACGGAGCGTTGAAAAAACGTATATAATCGCTCCTCAAGATCGACCGACAGCACATTTTCCGCCCACTGTCTGCCGATATATCAAATGGAACGCGCGCACTTCCAATTGGGTCACCTTGAACCTGACCGTCGTCATCGATATCGGTTCCATCGATCGTTAAAAAGGAACGAGGAATCATAATGAGTTACGCAAGCGTGCGCCCGCGCCCGTGTATGTGGCGCAGGCGTGCAGAAGCGTACGAGTCCCCATCCGCATGCATTTAATCAGTCTAATTGGAAGCGGGCCATCGCGGAAGTTCGGTCGGGCGGCTCGCACGCGGCCTGCCAGAAAAGGCGCGCAACTTGTTTCGTATCCACCTCTCGCAGCCTCGCAGTAACGCGCCAACCGCGCGTCCTATCGATTCGTAATTCCCGATTGTCCCGAGCTGCGTTCGACAAGTATCAAGGTACCGCTCTCGATCTACTCCCTTCGATCAGTGAGGCTTCGCCTTTCAAACGCGTCGCGTGTCAAATCCTTCTCTTTTGCTTTTTGGCTGTCATTGTCACAAGTGTAAGGTTCGATTTGAAGTGAATCACTTGTTTATCATTGAGCGCGGCTAGAGGATTTTGTGCTTCGCTGCGGTTGGGATTTTGAAAGCTTGCTATTTGGGCTGTTGCTTTTTTACATTAAGCAGTGCTTTAGTGCATCTACAAGTTCGCAATACACTGCACATCTTTCACTTTTTGGCGCATCAATACACCATTTTTACTTTTCAATGCGATTTATTTTATAACCATCGAAATAATTTGGTCATTAGTATTTCTAAATTAAATTATTTTATTTGTATCATATAAAAAATGGAAAGGACTTCAAATATTAATTAATCTATATTCAAGTAGCGTTTTGATATGCACACGAGCGCCACACCTACATCAGATATTTTTAAATGCAAATCTTCCAATATAAGACGCACTAATCTATGCCATAACACACGCTTAACATGCAGTTAACTATCCCTTTCATAAAAGCATAAAATGCAATAAAAACCAACTGTTCAAAGTTAAAATAAAAGCTTTCAAAATCGCACCCAACATAATCGCTTCTTGCTTTTCAGCCTTTGCAATCTAATACAATACAAACACACCGATCATGGTTCGCTCAACACTCTACCCCCCTTTGCCTCCAGTGTCCCCAGTGCAGTTGGCCCTTATCAGTTCACCACCACCTCGTCCAATGCGTCCGCGTGCATTGCCCATGTCACCAGCTCACACGCGCTCCCTTCTCCTAGCAGCCGCTCGGCCGCGTTATCCCGTGTCCTACATCGCCTTGACGCGCGAACCTCGCGAATTAAAATTAGCATTGAAACTAGCCACGGTATCACGAGAACCAGGTCCCGTCAGGATGCGTCCCACCGAGCATCTCAGACACGTCATGCCGAACCCAAAATCGCCAACTCTCTCGCGTTGCCCACCTCTGTCCTTTGAAAAAACCTGTCCGTGCCCGATTTCCCGGCGGTGTGGCAACTGGAAACCTTCACCACCCATGCCCAAATACTATTCGCCACCTTACGTTTTACCGCGAACCATTCTGGAAATACCCGCGACTAGATTGGCAAAAGCTCTCGCGCCGCCACCGCCCATCGATGTTACTTTGCTCACGAGGCCAAGTCTCCTCATCACGCATCATGCCCTCAAGAGGCGCAGACCTCGTCCCGCTTAACTTTTCTTTTCTTTTTGTTTTTTTCTAGTTTATTTTTTGTGTGTAGTTTTAAGGCTGTGATTATTTTGTTAGTTTAATAGTCAAACAATTTTAATATCCCGTGAAAAATTAAACCAGCACCCTCGTCATCGCCACACCCATTCTCTATACGCAAAATGCATAGCACACCCATACGAAAAATCCCTGCACTCGAGAGAGATGATAGAAAGCCTTACCTTGATACAATACCAGCGTCGTGATGTTGTCCTCGAACTACGAGTACCACTACCGTCATCGTTCGGTCACCGTCGAGCGTGAAGTACCCATTTACATACCACCACCACCACCATTACCTCCAAGAGAAAGAGTCGTATTCGTCGAGGTTGAGAAACCAGCACCGCCGCCGAAAAAGCGCGTCGTGTTTATCGAGATCGAGAAACCACCGCCGCCACCACCGCCGAGGGAAAGAGTTGTCGTCGTGAGGGTTGAGAAACCTGCTCTACCTTGGCCGCTAAGACCGTCGTACAGCGATGTCTGGGGTGAGATATTTATATGTTTGTGACTTTGTAGATCTTGATATCTTGGTACATCGACCATGCAAAGCTTGTTATCTTGAGGATATTCAAAAGAAAGTGATAGGGGTTGCCGATCTTGATAATGTAAGAGTGTGCTGAGATAATGGGAACGACTATTGTCCGACTGGCGAGCCCAACCCTTTTCTACTGAACTCTATCAAGTAAAGTGCGCGCCACGTTGGAAGGGTACTTAAGAGACGACCTTGACGTGCCACTTTTAGCAAAGCAATAGTACTTTCGATTTCCTACTACAAATATATTTTTTCTTCGCGAGCAACATTGTTCTTTAGCGATGACGCAATTGTTCGCAACCCCAACTAATCAGACACTCACCAAAGAAAAAGAAAAACGAAGGTATCGCAAAAACCCAATCGAAGTAAAGCTAACTCAATTAGCCTTAGTCATTCTCACGATGTCGAGAAGAAAAATGCCCGTTAAGACGCTCAGAGCCGTCGAAAAAGAAGGAAATCAAAGTGGCAAAAAGACTCGAATCGATTGCTCATAGTGCTTCACCTACGTGTATATATATATATATATATACGAGTTTTGCAGTTGCCTACTGCAACGGTGCCCGCGCCTTTTTCCCACGCGCTCGCGCTCTCAACACCTTCGTCAAGGCCGCGGTTGGACTACTCGACGATTGCGTCCATTGTCGGCTTCGCTAATTACCACAGTCTCGTTGTGTTTGCTCGAGCGTGCGATCAAAGATATTATTGCCCGTTCTCGTTTTTTTTTCTTCCTTTTTTAATACGAATTATGTTTCTATTAATTAGAGATAATGGATTAGATTGTTCTCTTTCGTCGTGGCTGGGGTCGTTGTACTTTTGTTGTTGCTCGTGTACTTTTCTTTCGTCGCGTACAGCAGAGCACGAAGTAAAATATAAATGGCCCTCGGTATCGCGGCGCTTTGTACGAAAGAGGCTTTGCGCTCTCGCGACCTAGCTGTAATAATTGGAGCGCGCGAGTAGACAGTGCGCGCGCTTGCGTTCGACAGGTGAATGTGTAATTGACTTGTTTCTCAACGCTGACGAGTATACGCCGTGTAGGCTTTTTCTCGCTCCCGCGAAAAGTCCCGCGACGCGACTTCTCGTCTATTATCGCGCGCGCGAGGTCGTCGCTCGAGATAAAATGACGTTGACGAGCAGCCGCACGCGTACAGCGCGTCCAATGTAGCGACGACGTTATAATTAGCAAACTGATATTTTGACAAGTCGTACGCAAGTCTCGGTGCATTTTCCGAGCTAGCGACTTTCTCGCGTGCGCGTATGCGTACAGACAGGCGCGTTGGCGCCCTTGATATCCGGCCAAAAAGATCGTCAAAGCTTTTAACGCTTCTCTTCGCCTCTTACGTCAGGCGTCAATGCGGATGTGACGCTCGATTAAGTCCATCCCCTTTTATAGACGCGTGTAAACATGCACACGTGCACGCCTCTGTCATATATACTCTTGTTTGCCGCTAAGGTGAACTATCATAACGGATCGCTATGTACTTTGAGGTATTTTCAAAATGTCTTTTTTAATTGAAAATTCACGAGCGAGAATCCGTTGAAAACGAGGCTAATAAAAATTTCAATTTCAACTTTTTGTAATGTGAAAGTTGCGTTGCTGCCACAATCGTTTGATTTTTAATGCTGCTAAGAAGCTCTACTGCAAAATACACTTAACGACAATGGTTTTCTCGGAAAATCCAACTGCACGTATCTCAACGATAATGTAGCTCGCGCGCGCGGGGTAGGTAGCAGTAGCAGCAGTGTGTTAGTTATCATATAAGGCATCGGTTTCATGGAAGACAGCGTAACCGTCCTTTGTTCAAACAAGAAACTCCGTAAAACCGAAAAAAGCCTATGCTTCCATATATACTAGAGAGAGGTACACACACGCGCGAGTGCATGTACCGTTACGCAAGTTTCACTTTTCGCCACGAGCGAACAGGCGGCAGTCATTGGAAGATAGAGGAAAAAAAAAATTTGGTGTCGTCCGCAAACAGAAAGTGTCGATATACCCTGTCACAGCTTACACGCTGCCGTGGAACAAAGCGCCACTCGCGCGCAGAGAAAACACCGTAATTGCAAGCATCGTACCACGTAATGCTTAAGTACGGCGTATACCGAGAACCGATGATAAATAGACGGGCGCCTCGCGACCGAAAGTGAGAGAGAGAAACTTCTAATCGTGCGACGCGCTGATTTATCGCCCGCTCTCCGCAGCTCGCCATCGTCTCGCCTTTATAGCTCTTTCTTTTCGTGGACGAAACGAAGATAGTGTCGCACTGCTTTAGCCAACTATAATTCACCAACGCGATGTATTAATTACATATTGCTGTATAACGTGTGCATGCGCGATTCCACGTGTGTCAGCTGATTTACGAGCGTTCGCCGATCTCCAGCTCGTGTAGTGTGAAAATCAATATTTGGTTAACGTGTCCGGCTTTGCGATTTTTTTTAGTTGTTGGGAACTATGGTTGTTGAGAGTTCGTCACTCGTAGAGTTATCATTGTTAATGAGTTTACTTTGTTCTGTGCTTGCTATACTATCAATACCAACGACTTGCGAAGCTGGTTAATATCAGCTAATATTTTTCAATATACTATTTGTTCATTCAGAGTCTTGTTCACAATAAACACACTAAAGATGTATTTAGTACTATAGACTGTTATCCATGAAGTTATTATTGTTTTGTACAATTCGCACTCCGCATAATCGAAGCTTTGATGCTGCCTATAATAATACTAAACATTTTTCAAAACTTGTATTGTCAGCTGCCTGTCTTATACTCCGAAACACGTCAGCTGTCAAAACGTGTGTCGACGTAAATCCGACCTTCGCTTGGTATTAAAGTTTTCTAGTTTTTTTTACCTATACAAGGTCAATTAGATTGCTTCGATTATAATCGCTATTCTTTTCATTAAAGCTATAAACGATATCAATTCCTTGCTATCTGTTATCGAAGTATTCTGTAAAAGGTTTTCTTTCTTGATAATATCTAAATAAATGCCATTTAAAAATTTAGTTTTTCAAGCGAAGATATATATTTTAGATCGCTTAAGAAACTCTTTAAACATTGAATGTTGAAACCTGTAGCTTACTCAACTTTTACTACACCTATATAACTTAATTACGATTGATTGCGAATTCTGCTGGCGTGTACATTTTGTTGATGTCTCTCTCGATACTCTTCACTGCCAGTAACGTCAAAGTTTTTGGTAGCATACGCAATTTCAAAATTCTCATTTACTGCCATTAGTAAATAATTTTATTATACCTTTGTGCTCAACGTTAGAAAATATAAACGATTATTTTAGGATTTTTATTTATCACGTAGGTAGATTTCCGATCGAATCGTTATTTTTTATTAATATGTATATTATTTAGATAATATCGAGTATACGAATATAGAAAAAAAATATTCGGCATAAGAAAAATTATTTAAAAAGTGCTGCAAAGACTGAAACGAGGAATACACGCAAAGTTCATTCGGTTGGAAGTGAATAACAAAAACGTTTATGAACGAAAGTTTTCACGAAAAAATTGTAAATATTTTACTGCAGTCGTGTCGCGAAATATAAATATACGCACTGTTTTCTTTGATTCGCTCACGATTTGATCCGCACAAGAGCTGACAGCATTGAAATAGCGTTTGATATTTTGATGATCGCATCGAAACGTAGTAGAATCACATTATTTGTAATGTTTACATTGAAGAGATAAAAAATGAGATTCAATCTTACGACGTGAAAATATGGAAAACATTTTGTTTTGCATGACACTCGATCAAATCCATCATCGAACGTTACGAATAACACGCTTTCCCAATTCCACCTTCACTGGCTTGAGCGTCAATTCTGGCTGGTCGAGCGGGACGATGTTTAATTTAGAAAGCCGCCGCGCGATCGTCGGCTTTTCCCTAAAATCCGCGACGACTCCGTCTAGTCTCTCGTCTCGGTCTCTAACCTTAACCGTTCCGAGTATACGTATGTGTAATAATGTCCGGCCTCGCCAAGCTCAGCCTCGGCACCGAAATTTCAATGAAAAGCAGTTGCAGCGACGCCAGTGAAAAGTCGCCAAAAATAACTGCTTGTCGATGTGCCGAACCTAGGGATCTACGAAAAATAGGCAATCTGGTGAGACACCGAACGTTGAATCTATTTCCGGAGGCCGAAAGTCCAGCTACTCTCTAGTGAGTTCATCCCACCAAGTAATCAGCTGAATGTAAACTATATACGGAAGAGAAGTGAGTTTGCGTAAACAAATCATGTTTTCAGCGAGAAGTCGTGTTTACCGCTCGTCCAAGAAAACAAACTCGACGAAATCGTCTCGGCAATATTTCTCTGCAATTATCCGAATGTTCCCGCGGTCTCGCCGTCAGCTTGGCCTACTTGGATAGACAATCTTTACGAGTACGAAGCCCTCTGGTCGCAGTGCCTCTCCTTTTCTTTTTTTTTTATTCTCGTGGCTAAACAATTAAGTGATCGTTAACGATAGATTGTTGGTTGTTTTCCTTGAAGCGTGAAAGATGCGTCGGCAGCGAATACTCTGTTCATTCATATGGTCGTCTGGGACGAGACGCGCTACGAACGGGATTTGCTCGTTGATTTGCTGACGACGACTTTCTACGTGGTTGCGCGCTGCGATTACGTTGTTCTTGTGCTGCCGCCGACTATCCAGCCAGGTTTTTGATTTATACTAATTACTCGTTGACTGATTCATGCGACTGCTGCTTGACATTTCTTAACTCCAACAGAATGGTTTAATGCTCCGATTTAGTATCTCTTGAAAGAAAGAAAGAGTGATGGTCTTCGTTTTATTATCCTTGTCATTTGTTTGCAAATGAAAACGAATCTTTATGGCCTAATAAAATTAAGAGAATTCGCGGAAATCATAATTCGTTATAACAAAGAACTTAAAATCAAAAGTACAACTTTCAACTTTTTAATTTTAGCGAATATTCAAAAGGAATTTGGAAATCAAATGAAACGCTCAAATCAGTTTCCTTATTGAACCTTGCGTCTATAATAAAACTCTTAACATGGCAGCAGCTTTTCTCAACGATCACAGAAACTGCCAGCATCTGTTTAAAGCGTAATCTAAGGAGAATCATCGCATACCAGGCTTAATTGGCATTCGTATTTTGCATGCCTTTTTGCAGCTCATGCCATTCACGAAGTAATGACACGAGTGGCGCCCAAAAATGAATCCGACGAGGTTACTGCTCAAGTGCTTTACGTCGGCGATCGGCGTCAATTCGTGCCGCAGATGAAATTCCGTCTGGCGGTGTAAGCATCCCGAAATAATTTTTCACATTCCTATATTGATATAGATGTGCTGGCATTTCTTCATTCCGCGCTGTCGATTCGTATACTCGATTTTTAATTGATATGCACCTCGATGAATTAATTATTAATAGGCTTTTCAAGGTTTCGTATTAATTCAACTTGCGCGCTCTCGTGACTTTTGCCAAACGAAAAGTCGCGGGTGCAACTGTAATTGTTGCCTGATGAAAGGCGAATGCAAAAGCCAGACCGATTGACGACGAGGTGCAATAAAGACACTGCATCGTTTGTATGAAAACTCGGCCCTGAAAAAGCTTCTAACTCATCCGTCATTAGCGAAGAAGACAACGACGACGTTGTTCAGATGCTCGACAAAGACACGTCACTTCTGCGCGAGTTTTACGGTGACTTCTACGTCAGCGAATTGTCACGTCATCCGGATCCTTGGCGTCAAATCATCGTCGGCGATACGGATAATCGCGTTGCCAGCGTTGCGTGTCTCAACGAGAGGATCGATCTGGAGTTACTTAACGACAGGTTCGAGCTCACCGCCTTCGATGGGCTAAGGAGGCGGACGGTGAAATTTGCCCCCAGGTGAACTTTTCTCGCCACGGTGAAAGCGCTCATTTTAACTTTAGTCTTGGGAAAATTTTCCGTTGCGAGTCAGAGTACTACGATCACTTGGCGTTCTCTCTATTTTCGTACTTCAATAGTAATCTTAGTGGTAAACTGAATACTTCTGCTGTGATTCACTTTAGCAATGTTAATTGAAGTGCGCATGGATAGGATCTGCGCGATACCATCACTAAAGAAGGAATGTATTTAATGTTTTACAGTTTAGATGATTCAGAGGAAGAATATGAAGATTACACGTTTCAAGTGCACAAGTAAAACATAATTCGCCATATTTGACAATTAAGATACATGTACTGAGTAAATTTTCAACGAGTGCTAATTAGATGTTCCAGTATGGATAGCGAAACGAGGAGAGTTATATATGCGAATAAACCAGGGTAACTTGATCGGATAACTCATTGCGCAATGCATTATTATTCAGAAGTTGAATCATCGAAACTCTTTTTTTTCTTTCAAGCATCGAATTTTCAAATGTGTATTCGGATGACGAGTTCGACGCCGAAGACGAACATTCGTCAATTTTGAGCGCCCGTGGAGGTAAAAAATAAATTTACATAATACGGAACGCAGATAGTTTACTTTTGCTATAGGTGGACGTAAGAAAATAAAACTATTTGAGATAAAAATACCTTTAGGATATGTATTACGGAACTAACGATTACGACTTCCATCATCTAATGTGTAGCGACAAACTAGTTCCACGCGTGAGCCCAGCTGCGTTGCCATTATACAAGTAAAACACAATCTGCTACAAGTGGGAAGGGCAATATAGCGCGTAATACGAGAATTCAAATAAAGGCCTCCAATGTGTGTGTGTGTGTGTGTGTGTGTGTGTGTGTGTATGTGTGTGTGAGCGTGCGTGCGTGCGTGCGTGCGTATCCCGCGTAGACACGCAGGCACGTCGATATATAAATTTATACGCGCTGTTAAACAATAAAGACTTTACGCGGAATTCCGCGCTAGATAAAACAAAAATATCCAATTGGATATAGCCCACGTAGAAACGTTTCGTTCGTCGTATCGGCGCGGCGCGAAAACTCGGCAGAGCAGTTCGCGGAAGTTGCAATTAGGCCGGCGCACCTTTTCAAAAAGAGGCACACACGAGAGAGCACAGAGAGCTTGAGAGCGACGACGATGACGATGATATTTTGCGTTTATTATAGACGCGTTCGCGCTGGAGCTGCTGGGTTTCCGGTGGGACGAGCCTTTGCTGCTGGCAAGTAGTCGCAACCTCCTAGCCGCTGCTTTCGAGTGTTTCCCTCGGTTACGTTACTGTCTCGCCTTGATGCCCACCGACAGACAGCATTTCCCCTTCCTCGATCACTTCACGGTACTACTCGCCACGTGTTTCACATCTGCAGATACCACGAGAGCCGGATTTATTTTTTCCTCTTCTTCCTTTTCTTTTATTTTTTTTTTTAATTTGACGGTCGTGCGCCGGAGATGTTAGCGCGATGCGCGCAATACAGGCACTCTTCGTGATATATGGCTAATTTGTTTGGAATTCTTAATATAGCTTTCGGCTACTAAAGCTACAGACAGACACGAGAAATAATGTTTCTTTCAATAATTAATTTTCAAGTCTATTGGTAAACAAATACATTCATCGCGCGATTTCCTAACGAAATGTTTTCAAAGAAAGAAACATGAGATTGCGCTATCTTATCCAGTGATATATTCCATACGTAAATTATGCGTCTAGATACAGTATAAGGTCATTGCCTTGCAGAATTCTAATTAAATTTGTCGATCAACCATCTGTAAGAAAGCACATTTCATTATTATTACTGTTTCGACAGTCGATCGGAGCACGTAAATGAAAGTGAATGAATGAAAAAAAGAAAGAAACAATTTCCAGCGAGTACCACTCAAAGCAGACAAAGACTTCCCAATGGTATTGTACGTGGTGCATCGTGCCTCGATACTCCACAACTCTCTTACGGGAGTACGGGAGGCGCGCAACGAAGATCGCGATGCGGTTTGTCGTCTGCTGGACCACCGCTCCGAAAATATTTGGGGCGACTTTAACGAGGCGTTAAACGACTCGGATTCGCGCCGATGCTACGTCTTCACTTGCGACGGCGTAATCGCCGGCTTAGCGATCGTACGGTAATTACAACTGAAATGAGGATACGATGAAAAACATTGAATCGCGGGAGGCGCGCGTAATGCAATTGTTCTAGAAACGCGCTAGGCGTTTCGTTGAAACGGAGAGAGAGAGAGAGAGAGAGAGAGAAAGAGAGAGAGAGAGGAGCGATTTATCGCTTAATTTCACGCGTCTTGCGCCGTGGCTATTTCAGCGGCGAGGAAGCGAGAGAAGTCGATCGGCTGAGCAACTACTATCGCCTGGACGATCTCCTCCTCGTCGACGGCAGCAAGCCGCGGCAAGTCGACGCGCTGAGGCTGTTGAGCTTCGTCCTCGCGCCGATTTTCCAAGCGAGCGCGGGATTCTTCGTCGGGGAGATGATGCGCCTCGAGACTGCCAGTGCTATGCTCTATCGATCGATCGGGGTTGGTGCGAGAAAATACTTGATTACTTGTAGACACGGGGATCGTGATTGCAGCCGGGCTCTGGTCACGTATTTATCCGCTAACGAGTCAGCGGCACGGGCGAGCCTTGAAAAGTCGCGGCTGTTATAATTGTGCTCTCGTCGAATTTCAACAGACGGACGATGCGCCTCCCTCGTGCTTGTGCGCGATGCAGACGGTCAAGCCGAGAATACGAAATTGGCCTCAATTTCAACGATGCCTCGACAGAGCGCGCGACGAAGATTCGCCGTTCGCGGAATTGTTCTCGCTGTACGTTGCGAGCCCAAGATTAATAACGATCACCAAACAGATCGTCAACACCAAAGTCGTCGTCGTTGGCGCCTCTGATTGCGGGCTCGCTTTCATCGAGGCGCTCGCTTCCGGGTAATAGCTTTCACCATGGTAAATCATTTGAAGCGTTTTAATGTGTCGAAACGTACGTTTTCTCGCAGATACAAGTACAGAGATCTTCAGTTTACTGACATCACTTTGATATCCACCAATGGTCTGCCGTATGAGAATTCAAGTGATCATTCGATCAAAGCAATGATACCATTCCGAGGACGCTATTGTCATACTTATATGAGTTTAACTGCACAAAGAATCAATTACAATGTTGTGAAGGGAACTGTCGTTGAAATTAACAGGTATCTCGAAAAAAATTGCTTTATTCAGGCGCAATGCTGTATCGACGCCAATTTTCCCCAGAAAAGAGCAACAAGTTTACATCGAGCATTTGGGAACTTTGAGTTACGATTATCTCATTCTTACTTGCGGTTTATTGTTTCAAAGGCCTGACTTTACTGAAAAGTCGAATCCTGACAGCGACGGGTAAGCATCGCTCCGTTCTATGGTGGATGTCGTTCAATAGACAATTTTTTTCGTAGTACCCAAGAGGTTCCGTCAAATTACTTTTCCATCAACGACGACGTGAATGCACTCAAGTGCTTGAAAGAAATTAAGAGGCTAACTAAAAACTTCGAAGAAGAAAGTTAGTTTGTAATTTTAATTCTTTGATTCTCCATTTCATGCAACCACAAAAACTCTCGGATTGTAAATGAGCGATGTGAAAAAAGCAGCGTCACAAGCGTTCTCAATTCATTCGCAGAATCAATTGTCTTCTACGGATGTAATATTGAGTGTTACTGCGCATTAGCGGCTTTTCTCGAGCTGGGCCTCAAAGGAACGTGGATTACGTTAATTGAACCGCGGCTTCTCGCCAGCGATGATATTTTCATCGGCGATCGCAAAGTGAGACTCATCGATTTATCTCAAGCCAGGCTATTCATTCTCAAATTCCGTTACATCATTGCGTCAATGAATTTTCAATTGCCGATCTGCAATACGTTTTTCAATGAGAGAATTGCGAGATCCGACGCATGTTTCCTATATAAGCATTCAGCTTTGCGTCGTGAAAATTTTTACGAGCGAGTTTGCGTTCTCCGAGGTAAATTCGTTGTGGCGATTTCACGCTCTATAAAAGTCCGACCTTGTCGTTAATTTTAAAATACACAGATCGCACACACCAACCATTGTGAAACTGCAACAACGATATTTCCCAAGTAGCTTGGCAAACAAACAAAAAAGAAAGAAAGAAAAAAAAAAAATAATCGTCCGCACGTTGGTAGATAAGGGATCAGCTGCGCGAGATAATCTCAGCTGAGGGTGTGAAGCTGTACTCGGGCTACAGCCTCACGGACTGGAAGTTCTGGTCGTCGCGGATCGAAAGCGTGGAGCTGCAACCGCTGGAAAACGACAAAGACGGCGACGCGGTAGGTCCCACGAAGCTACTCGTTACCTGCGACGCGCTGCTCGGCTTCCACGTCAAATCGCCCTGCCTCAAGACCTTCCTCGGTGATTATGCGACGCCGCGGATTAAAAGCTAATTTAACGCTCGTTAACGTGCCTCCCGACAGCCAGTTTTATGGCTTATCCTCTTGTCTTTTCTTTTTCTCTCCGTTGCAGGTGAGTTGTTGTTATCATTGCGCGCGCGAGTCGGCTCAAAGTCGACTATTTATCGCGTGGGAAATAAGCTTAATCCAGCACAATAAGTTCGTAAAGTATGTGTGTGCACGAGATTCCAAGAGGTAACGGATATATTATAGGTTTGCGCGTTCTTTCTCTCTCTCTCTCTCTCTTTAAGATTACGAGATAACGCGCGTGTATGAATGACAGTATTACTTTGCAACTGCAGCGAAGGTGTCGCGTTGCGGTATTACTCCGCTGCGACACGCCAGGATTATCTTCGTCACGGTAGCGCCGACTTTAATTGACACTTCTCTGTTCGAATTATACCATCGTACGGCACGACTGACGAAACGTCGCGTTAAAAACATTTCGAGAGAACCACATCGCTGTATACAGGACAATTAGAACAATGTTAGCTTACCTTTAATCGTATAACAGGAGTATTTCAAAAATAGCTTCGACGCATTACCACACTTAAGTTGCGTACAACTGTAGAATATGAAGCGACTCTCGAATCGCCGCGCGTTCGATTGAACATGCAGAGAGGAAAGGAGTATGCCATTACTTTATTTCAGTTGCATGTATTGTTTCCAAAGTAAAGTCACGAAAATGCGTAACGTTGGAGATACGATGTACTGATTTTCCATAGTGAATTTCTTCCGACCTCGTATCAATGCGTAAAACTTTCTCCGCGAGAGCAATTTCTTAATTTTTTTGTAATTTCTCGTGTAAGTCCTCGTGCGTAATTCATTTTATCTGAATCAAACAAGGTTATCCGCGAAACTGACCTGTTTCAATCAGAGTGCAAGGCTGTATCTATACGATAATAAATGAAAGCCGCGATAAATGAATTTAGCAATTTCGCGCGCGGGTCTGGTATTTGACGGTCGTCTCGTCATCGATGCGGAATTCAAGACGAACGACCGACGAGTCTTCGCCGCCGGCACGATAACCAAGTACTCGAGGAGATTGCGAGCTGACGACCACGAGCACAAGTACTTCAACAGTCTGCAAGTTGGTGAGAAGGTCTCTTTCTATCTTTTCATCTTAAAGTTATTAGTCGCTTTCGTAATGTTAATGCTCACAGCAGTGGATATCTCTTTAGATGGATTTGAATGTTTGTTCGTGTTCGTTAAAAAAGATGCTATAATCAAATGAATAATGTATTGATCGTTACAAACGGTAGATGGTACGTACAGATAGCTCACGAAGCTTCTCAAAAGTAGCGCTCAGTCTAGATATGAGGGTAATCATTGTTTAATAACGAGCCTTTCACTTTGCAGACTCACCCAATTCAAATAAAGTTACATCCAGATACCGCGACTGTAATAAATCTAACCCAAGCATTTGATAATACACTTACAAAATTGCGAAATTCTATGAATTTGCAATTTTTGATAAAAATTTCGCGCTGAATAACCATTTATCGTTAATTGACAGCTGGCTGAGAAGTTCGTGAGCATGATACTGGGTGACAGTGATGATGCGCCAAGTGAAAAGTTCAGCGCTCGGGAGCTTCCGGAATTCTCAGCGCCAATTATCGTTTCGTGTCTTCTGCCCGGCGGTTACAGATATTTGCACGTTCGAAAACCAGGCTGCGCTCGCTTTAATGATCAAGTAATGTCAGCGATAAATTGATTTCTTTCTTTCTGATTATAGCAATTGTTCGCTCTCGTCAATGATTCGTTCATCGAACGGATAATGGAAATTTAATGGTTTGACTTCTGCCTTGTAACGAGCAACTGATTCAATTTCTAAATTGACATCGAGCCTTTACATGCAATTGCACATTTTATTTTGCAAAATATAGAAATCTTGTAAGAAGAAAAATATGATCCCATTATTTGCTCGACATTAGCATATATCGTAAACCGTTGTGAAGATATTGTAATTGTTTTTTTTTCTTTTTTTAATTTACAATAAACAGCTAGTAGAGAAAAATGCTGAATTCGCGGAATATCGAAAAAAACGTCATTCTTTTTATTAACTAAAAAAAAATAAGTAATCCAACTAGTACGTAAATGGCAAGGAGGAACTCTCCAATAAGTACAGACATTAATAAGAATAACAATAATGAAATAAGACAAGACACGAATATAATCCACGCATTGCATTAACATGTCTATACGCAGCAGCAGCAGCAATCTCGGAATGACGTGTTCACCACGGGATCTTGCATAGCTGATACCGGATACTTTCGACTTCGTTTAAACCAGTTCCGTACGCTCGAGTGCGTAACTTGTTTCAGCAAAACGGTATGAGCACTGCTTCGCTCTTCCCATTTTACGTCGCGCTGAAAAATCATGAAAAAAAACGAAGGAATGCCTACCAGGGAATAATAGCTTTTTCTTGTACATATACCCCGTCCTGCATACTTTGCAGGTGTTATGAAACAGATATACCTTGTCTTTCTTCTTAGAGATTCGAAGGAATTCAGTGTATTATTAATTTTTATTTTTCTTGTACGCGTTGTTCAGTAAGAATTTAATCCAAATGTTAAGGATTCATTTTCATGGGAAATTTAACCGTCTACCTCAGGTACTTAACTAAAATGACCAAGTAATTGGATGATTATAAATGAAATAGTCGAAAACTAAAGTTAAATTAATTTTTTTAAATACGATTGTTTGTTATTTCGGATACATACTAATGTTTGAAACAAGCCAAAATTGCCGAGCACGTCATTTTTTTTCGAAAAAAAAGTTACGCACAACTCTTATAAAACTCTTCAGGATTATAGCGTACAAAACATGATCGCACTTTACGGTAAACACGAGGCTTTGTTGAACGACTTGAAAACTCGCTTTTTGGTAAGTTTTTCCGCTTGTCTCGCTGTTACAATTACACAATTATAACTCGAAATTTCACGAGCGACGTTGTTTCCGCTATTTTAGGATGCCGAGATTCCAGACTTTTATGCGTACTTCCGCGAACCGTGGACAACAGCTTTATTCGCCGACGATTTTGACGAGTACTGCCTGAAAAGAAAACTTTCTGATGACGATGCAATTTCGAACGAAGTAAAATTTCCCCTTTTTTCGCATCATAACAAAACAAAAAGAAAAAAAAACACTACGGATAATCTCGCTAACACAATGCATGTAGGACGAGCCCAGAGAAAACTTATTCCACGAAGTAATGAACGTGCTAAAAAACACCGGTTACAAGAAAGTGAGTCTTCGCTTTTTCGCCGACATAATGGTCGTCGAAAGGCAAACTCGCTCTAAACGTTACAAATACGACAGATGACGGAAAAAGATCGCGAGGCAATTCTGTCGAGCCAGATAGGAAAGGACGAAGAGGAGCGCGTTTACGAGAAGCAAGTGAGAGAAAGATTGATGGAGTATCTGGAGCGTCACGAGCATGAGCTACCGATGTATTCGACGCCGGAAAAGCGTCGTCAGATTCTACGGGACATAGCCGATAGACCCTTGTTGAGCGATTGCGACGATGGTTATATTGGTATTTGCCAGTCATCCCCGAGCTGCAGTTGTAGCACGTTGATCGGGGACAACGGCGCCGTATTAGAAAGCTCCAGGCTGCAGTGAGTGCCATTTGCCGCAACGACAGCGACGGGGATCGTGCTAAGTTAATGTGTCATTTATCCTGCGACTGTTCATTTCAGAGATAATAAAGCGCCGTACAACTGATTTTTCGATACGTGCGAGTTTCACTTTATAGTGGTACAGTGTGCGATTCATTGACGATTTCTAAAAAAAATAAGAAGTAAAAGTTACTTTCAATGAGGATTTCATTCGAAGCTTCACTCGATATGACAGCTATTGTATTGTCATTCAAGTCCTGGCTGGAGCTGATGGATTTCCTTTACAAAAATAATACGACTATTTGTGAATTTCCTGCTTCATTGTTTGTAAAGCAAACATCTCTTGCAAAAATTATTTTTAATTTCTCATTATTGAAATGACCAAGATGCAGATTGTTTTTTATCGTTATAACTATTGCAATTACCATAGAGGCAATACCGAGGTACTTAACTTTTCATCGAGTCGATTTTCCACTTTGCGCGACCATAAAAACCGTTTACGATTCAGTTATACAAGTTCCTAGTCACCAACGTTCTGTTGGTCCGTGGAGCGCGGATGAAGGATAACTTTATAATTGTTTATTATGGAAGTTCACTTGAAATTTATTTGAAGGAAAAAATTTAGTCTAGATACAGTGAGTTACATCACAGAGTATCTGTATCGAACCTCGAAAAACAAAACTGCATGGCTGGCAGGAGGCTCAGCTGTGTGCTTGTCGCGGGCCCGGTCGAGACTCGCGATTTTCCAAGACAGTCGGAAACTTCCGGGCTTGTCCCTTGCAAAATCACGAGAAAAGGGAAACTAGATTAGGAGACAACGTTCACTGATGGTTATTGCGCGGACGTGGGTTTTCTCCAAAGACGTCTCGATGGCCCAACGCGACACGGCAAATGAGTTACTTATGGTAGGCTGCAAGAACCGTCTGTCGCGCAACTGTTGGGCTATTATGTCGGTGCTATTATGTCGTAAATCTTGCGATGTACGCTCAGACAGAAGAAAGTTTCTGGCCAAAACTTTTGTGGAAAATGCACACCATAGATCATTGGAAATCAAAAAGTAAATATTTAATTAAGGTAATTTCTCATCTGCTCACGACTCAATTGTAAATTAAGAGCTCAAGCGACTGGCGAGTTGAAGTGAAACAGACACTGCTATCGGCATCAAAATTAAGAACATCCGCAGAACTTTCCTTTCGGCATCGCAGCATCAGCATTTTCCACGAAGGAAAAGAATTACAAAGGCCATATCGTCTAGTTCGCTCGGAAGTGACGGGAGACTGGAATAATATAAGCTGATTAGCGCGCAACGAAACAAAAGGAACCGAGGATGAAATCCGGGATGACAATGGGTCCGTTCGAGAGAAATCGAGGCCTGCTCCCGCGCCGGCGTGGTTCGCGCGCGCAGATTCGATCTTGTAGGTCAAGTTTACGAGCGCGAGCGAGCGCCAAGGCAGACTTTTCCTCTCCGTCGACGACGAGAGAGCATCCGCAAGATAAGTAATAGTGGGAGTGGGAGTTTTCGTATTCCGATCTCCCGCGCGCGACTCGGCCAGTACCACGTGCGCGACCGCATAAGGAACACCGCACCGTGTCGCAGTTGACAATCTCTTGTTTTCTTTTGCCTTTTTGTCGGCTATTCAGTGAGTGTTTATGTTAAGGCTCTTTTATTTGCTTTTCTTACTTTCACATCGACAACGAGTAATCTGTGCATCGACGATTTTCCGAGCGAATATTAAACTTTCGTTTGGTGCTTGAAAATTGCGCTAGGAAATGAAACATTCTCGAATATTTTATTGCATCAAATATTTCACTACTCGATATTTGCAGCGTCAGGCGCATCGATGTTCACATTATCGTGGATTTCATAGATTACGCGTGGTAAATAGAATAATTAGATTCAGAAAAAAAATCTTTGGCCACGAAAACCTTCTTTTAACAGATTTCCATATTAACATAATTACTCGAAGAGTTTTCTTTTACCACGACAGGAAAATTACCCTGATTAAATTTTCTCACAGTACAACGCATCGGTGTCGAACTATATATACGAGTTTTCCATTTGCCGAACTTGCGTGCAATTTATATCTTGGTTTTTGTGCAGAGTAAAGTTCTTTTTGAGACAACTCACTTGTTTATGTTTTAGTATATTTTAGCAAAGTTATTGTACATCGTACGAAAATAGGATCTACTCGTTTTGAAAATTTTCGTTTCTCGCTGATGACCAGTGAGAAATCTATTGTTTTCGTGTTTATGTATAGTTAGAACGAAAACGAAGGTCGTCCACTGCTGTTTTTTAATTTTTGTATTGTATTCAGTCGTAAACTTTCAAGAGCCGAACGTCATGACATTCTTAAAAATTGTACGATCCACGTAAAATTATTCAGCGATTCTCTTCAACGAACGCTCGTTACGTATTGAAACGCATATAATCTGTGGCGCTATCAGAAGCACGCGCGCGCCTGCGAGAAATCTTTGCCGGCCGCGCGTGGGAGGCATTTCCCAATCGGCATCGCCCGAAAATACATCTGGCGATTGTCGAGTGCAAAATGATATTCGCAAAGACCAGTCGTGTCCCGTTGAAAAATTGTCGTCGTCAAATCGTGAAAAATCGCTCGGTGGCGTTAGATGCGAGACGTCGCGATTCAACGAAGTTGCTGTGACTTTCACGTTGTAAGCTCGACGGTGAAATTGGCATTCCAAAAAGTTCATCGGCTTTCGCCTCTGCCTGACTCGTGTCCAAATGCTTCGTGCCTCAAGTTTAGGTCAATGTCGGACTAATAATGTACACTCGACCGCTCGCGAGGGCGAGTTTCCAACGTTTTATTTACGGAGTTTTGTTTTGATTTCTTCGTTGATACTTTCTACAAGTCAGCTCGCTTACCGGATACTATCGCTCATTTATTCGCGGATGACGAGTCCCTTGGGCTTGCATTACATTTGGAGGAAAATCGGGAAATAGCAAGCTGATTATAATCCAAGTGTTGATGACTTTACGACTGAGCTAGACTTTATGTATAATTATTTTCTTAATGAAAGTTTTATACCAATACCTTATTGAATTGGCTTTATAATTAAACTAATGTTAATCACTACGTTATACTTTTACGTTCACTTGAAATGTATGCTGCAAATTTATATTTGGTGCAGTAATCACATTTATACAGAGAGCATATTTTACAATTTCGTTAGACATATCAACAAAATGAATAAATTCATGGGAACATAAAGTGATGATATTACTATGAGATCCATAAATTTTCACAACTTCACGTTGATTAAACAAATTTAACTCTGAAGAAAGAATAAATAAATTGAATCTAATTAATGATTTCCATATACCGAGCAAAAAAGAAAAAGAACGAGATAGATATAAAATATATAATTAAAAAACGGTAATGAAAAAACTGTTCATTTTTATCGAATAGTCGCAAGATCTGTAAGATTCTCGCGACTGTTGCAAGTACAGTCTACGCTCAGCCAAGGACATGCATATGTACGCGGATGCGGTAATTATTATGCAAGACTCTCCGGGAATATGGAATGTCTTGCGCGCAAGTGGGTGCAGAATCAAAAGAAACATGAATATATGTCTTTCTTCTCGCGCCATTCGCAGCTACCACGTTAAACAGCGGTAATTGAGTGGCGAAACAACGCAGGATCGTTACGGGTATAATAAGCACCTGCTAAGCGCTGGAGTTTACTGTCGGGATGCGACGATTAGCCGGTTTACGAGGCGCAATGAAAGCAGCTCGCACGTAATTCATACGTGCCGCGCGCTATACTCCTCCTTTTTTTATTTTCACAAGACTTCTGTGTGTGTTTTCTTCGCATCCCCGACGCTTTCATTCATAACGCGCGAATATTAGGTCGGCATGCTAATTCGAGCGAGGTTGGCGGGATTTATGACGCAAGGGCGACACATGTCAAAATCCTGCGTGACAATCTTTCATGGAAATACGAAAAGCTCGATGATTCACCTATATTTAAGTAAATCCGATTGTATTTTTAACTTTCGAACGAACGATGAAACTTATTCGCAATCTTATTGTATATTCGATTATTCAAATTGAATATCCATAGTCGATGAAATTCTAATCGACGAGCTTAAATAATCGCTTAAGAATGTCATTGATCGTGGTGATATAAATTGTTTTTTGCAGAGATGATGAAATCAGTGATGCCCGGAGATTCTTCTACCACCGAGACCAAAGTCATACGGCTGACGACGAATCAGCAGGCCGTACTCGAGGAACAATTCAGCAGATGGCCGAAATGGCACAAAGGTGATATTGTTCTTCTGGCGGCCGAGACCGGACTCTCTGAGGAAGATGTTCAAGTAAGTTTTAATTTAATTATACTTAAAATGTTAAAAATGCCGGTTTATATAATTCGTCGTTGTCTTGGTTTTAAAATATTGTTTTTACATCGATCGATAAGATTTAAAAATATCATATTCAAATAATTATTAAAATAAATTTTATATAAAATTTTCTTACCTTTTAAAAATAGTGAATAAGAAATATTTTTTTCGTAAATATATTTCACTCTCAAATTAGTCAATTGAACTGTTTGATGTAAGAAAAATCAATTCACTTCACGTATGATTTGCTCTTTACAGGACTGGTATTCGTTGAAATTGGCTCAGCAGAGGAAAGAGCAAGGATTAGGTAGTCTTGCGGTCGGACCAACCTATCCTATCTAAGTTCAAATAATCTATTATGGACGCTGCTAAATTCAACCATAAGGCACCTCAGTATTTCTTTTCCTTTCGATAAAAAACCAAAACAAAAAAATCAAATTAATTAATGGTAGCGACAAACGATACAAAAGCGAAACGAAGGAAAACGGTACAAAGAACATTAGTTCATAAGTTATTTAGTGTATAGATTACGAATACCTTATTCTTTATAAATATGTTAATTTCGCAGTTAATATCCAGAAGAAAAATTTGTGTAATTAATCCTGTTAGCTGAATGGATTATTCAGTTGATTCTTAAATTGTTTAATACACGTAGAATGAAGCTTAATATTGTACGTATACTACCACTGTAACATTTAAAAATAGTTCTACCCACCACTGTAATTCGAAGTACAATTTTTTGTATATGCCGTTTTTTATCACTTCTTTTTCATACCATTAAGAATCACTAGGAATACTGTCATTTAATGCAAATCCATTAATTCTGGTCGTTAATGTGGAATAAAATTAAAGAAACGGATAAACAAAGTCTCAATTCATTGTTAATATAATTAAGTATATGGATTTTTCAAAATAGACGCGAAAAATAAAAACATGTTTCAAAGATCTTGATGTCTATTGATGTAAACATGGTATTGTAAAAATGTGATCATTAAATTAATGAAAATTTAAAGTAAATCTTTTTTTATTAATCTTCAATTAGCAACAACATCCAAGAATACCCAGTATAAGATATAAAAATGCTATTTCTCTTCATTTTATTTTTATTTTTGTGTAACGCTACTCAGTGTTGAATTTAGTTAATAGATTTTTTTTATGAAAAATTATATCCATGAACCTTTTTACCATAAACAATTATTACTTTGTTACCATAAACAATTATTACTTATTTTATTTTTTCACATATTTGTCTGTAAAAATATAAACCTTCCGTTACTTTTTGCGTTCTACTGAACAAGGAAGAGGGATATTGGATTTTATATTTATAATGTCATTATAAATTATAACAAAAACTCATTAATGTTATCGAGATAAAAAGCCTTTTAGAGCTATAACGCGAAATAAAATATCATGAAGTTGCTTGCTTCGGTACACAGAACTAATCGGTATATGTAGCGTAGAGTGTCGGTACATAATCGTCATACTCTGCTCGATACATGTTACCAGCAACAGGTATACCGAGCTTGTATTTATCGACAAAATTTTGAACAGAATAATTAACACGGCCAGTTCGTGTGGTTTTGCTAATAAACTTCTCATCGAATTGAAGTTTTTCCGGCTGTTTGAAGAGCAGAAACACATAACGATGGAGACCTGTGCCTTTGGGCGGTCCCGAGCCTCGATATTCTGCCAAAATATCACCTTTATCAATGTCATTTCCAGGAATGTTTGTTACTAGCCAATGGAGAACTTGGAATGGTGGCACATCGAGGCTTAGTCTTGCGTCGGGATCTGTAAAATAAAAGTAAAGAAAGATATTAACATAATTAATATTATCATAGGTATGAGATTAAATGTGTGATCATCTATTTTATTATATTTATTATATTGATCTTATACCAGCCATGCAAAGTGTATAATATTCGGAATCGCCCACGTTCCAAGTAACTTTTGGTATATCTTTCACCAGCGTTGGCGTTAATTCTTGTCCAAATTCAATTTGTATTCCGTTGTACTCCACCTAAAATGCACATTAGTCTTTTGATAGAATGAATTGAAACTCAATATTTACATATAATTCAAAATTTGCAATATATTCACAGGAAGAAAACTCCGAGGAGCTGTTGATATCAGAGTCGGCACTATCTTCTCTGATTGAAATTTTGATAATGCATCGTTTGCCATTTCAATTAAAAATTATTTAAAACAACAAAATACTGTTGATTATTTTTCATCAACAAAATCACTTCCTCGAAGACTGAAAATAATATTTTTCTATGATTACATATTAAATTAACATAAGTATTCTTCTGAATTTGAATAATGTTTTGGATACAAAAATTTAGGTTAATTCATATTTTTAGTCTACCCATGATGCTTCTCACAACCACCTGATATAATATGAAAATGATAAAATTCATGAATAATGACGTAGTATTGTATACAAATGTCGTAAATATTTTATTGAAATTATACTAATTAATCAATACAAACAAAATTTGCAAAGTTTATATTTTAATTTTTCAGATTCTAAAGGAAAATTAAATTCATAAAATTTATTTTTACTTACTTTTTTGTGACGGGAACGAAAAATATAATGTGATCAGGATTTTGTGATAATGATTGTTTGATGTTCGATTTCGATCATATGTTTTGTGAATACAACGCCACCAATGCCAATTACTCCAACTACAAAGAAGTTACGTACGTAGTTAACGTAGCAACTGAGGGTTCTATTTATGTAAAAAAGAAAACCCAACTTACTGTACTGATTAGTATCTATGTAGTTAAATATCTAAAAATCGGATAAAATCGGTGACATACCTTATGATATTTAAAATTATTGAGAAATTGGCGAATATTAATACAATATTGAAAATGAATTTACCAATTAATATGGACGTATGGTAAGCGTTTTAAAGCATTGAATTATTTTGTGTATATGTGGAGTACTTTACAATTTGTTTATTTTGCTTTTAATAATTTTGATTTGATTCAAGAAAGAAACTGAATTTTACTGAACATCGACAAGAGAAGGGCGTACGGAGCGCGCTTGACGACACTGGTATTTCTAAAAGTAATAAAGATAACAAAATCAAACTTTTTTCATAATACGATTAACATCGCCTCGGCATGCGTACAGTTATGACGGTACACAATGGGATATTGCGGAGATTTTTTACATATTATCTAGATTTTGATAAGATTTTTTTAAATACACGGCGGCAATGTATTGTAGTTTCTGATAATGCAAAGGCTAAGCAATATCTTCAACAAAAAATATTCAAAAACACATCTAAAAAAATTTCAGGCCTTATTTCTTATGCATCAATGGTCTGTACACCGAAGTGTTGTATATTTTTTAGATACAATCAACTATATTTATTATCTATTTACTTAACAATTAATTAATCTTCATTATATTATTTATTTCAACTTTTTCACAATAACTTTTTTATCGACATATCTTAGGCAATGCACTTTAATATCAAAAAGAAGTTTAAAAAAATTCATCAAATTATTATTACAGTTAATTAAATTGCTGATAAAGAAATCCGTAAACAAAAGTTTTCAGACGAGGTTTTGAATAATTTAATGGTGTTCGTACAAAAGTATTGTGTACTTCTTTGGTATAACTAATTATATTTATTATTCGCTTAACATTTAATTAATTTTAACTAATTTAATTATTCTCATTTCCACAAAGTAAATAAGCATGACAATATATTCTTTTCCACGGTTATTTCCATCTTGGAATTTTTATCTGTATTGTAATTAATTTATTTTATTTTGCTAATAATGCTGAGAACACTAAAAAGATACCATATTCATGGCGGCAAGGAGCAAGTTTACGAATCGGAATACATCGTTTCTCACAAGAGCTGGAACACTCCCGTTTTCAGTAACGATCTTGGCTTGGTCCGTGTAAGTAAGGATATCCAATTCAACGACAAAGTTCAACTGGTAAAACTACCCACAGGACTTCAACAAAGTAGGCTATCCAGTTTTTATGAATGGCTGGGGCACTACAAAAGTAGGATCAATGCTATTTCCGAGTGATAATTATTCAAGTTTTATAAAGAAATTACGTGGTCTGATAAGGTTGGGCAGAACCGTTCTCAATAATCTCCAAGAAATGATCTTAAGGCTTTTCGATCAAAACCAATGTAATAAAGAAATATCTGGACTTATCAATTGTGGCCATATCTGCATCTATACCAAAGCTGAAGAGGGCTTACCACGTATGTTAATCTCTTATGTGTAAGTCTTTTATTTACTATTTTAAAAATTTGTCATTATTCATTTTTAGCACGATTCCGGCAGTCCTCTTGTTGTTGACGGTACTCAGATTGGTATCGCATCTTTTGTTGAACCGTTTGCCGTTGGGAAACCAAACGTGTACGCCACTTCACATTCTTAGATTGGATTGCTACTGAACAGGAGAAATTCTAGTTTAACTCATTTACGAATCGCTCCGAATACAGTTATTTAACGTATAAATAAGCGATTTAAGTAATTTTTGAATACTTTTTCACTTTATATTTTTTGCACTTTTAGAATCAATTAATTTTGTTGTTCTGTTCTTATTATTCAGTAATCTTAAAAATTTTATATACTTTCCTTTTCTTAAGAAATTTAAACATTATTTAAACAATCAAAATTATTACCGCATTGAACATACAAATTTTAATGAAATGTATTTGAAAAACAGAAAAAAATGTTTTAATTTCTCATAGGGATCAGCCGGAGACTAAAAGTGATATTTCAAAGTTTTCTTAATTGCTGAGAAAAATTTGTGCTAATCAAATTTTTCCCTTCTTAAATTACTCCAAAAATTAGCTACGATTTCTTTCATAATAAGTGTTCCAGACCCCATGAATTAACCGTTTGCATAATATCTTTCTTTTTAAAAAATTTTGGTATTCATATAGAAGTCGTAGTCCGCGGTGGTCTAAAGATACAACTAAGTCTGATTTCGAATCACTGGTAGCAAAGCGAGAGTGGGTTATTTTGTAGCTCCGCCGACGATATAGTGATAACATGGAAGCGGCGTGACCGGTAGCGTCGACCTGGGAAATAAGAGCGAAAATGACGGAGTGAACACGTATCTTATGTATACAAAGATCCCTATAGATTTCTTCCAGCTTAGAAATCAAGTCAGGTTTGTCGTTACGCCAACGTCTGTAGTGTCTTGAGTACGATGAACTTGATATTTTTCTTCTAGTAAAAGCTCTAAGATATTTATAAAATACGCATGACTCAAATTACAGTGGAAAACGTAATAAACGTTGTTTATTTATAATCAAAAGAGTAACAAGTTTTTGATTCTTTTTTAAACAAAAGAGCTTAATTTTCTGTGGCTAGATCCAGTAACTAACGTAACTACCTTTGATCTCGAGGATGAGATCAACTTATTTAATTCTTATAATTGCCTTAATATTTTACTGCTCGTTGCCGTACAACCTAATAAGATAATTATATGCGAAGTGATAACTTAACTAATTTTAGCTTACATTATATTATATTCATAATTAACCCTCTTCAAATAATATAGATGTAAATGTAAGATGTTAGAAATTATTCACTTTTTTGTGAAAAAAATTATTTATTTCATATTGTGACAACAGTACAAAATATATTCAGAACTTAATAAAAACAATTCACTATATAATTATAACAATTTGTACAACTTTTCTGTAAAAGTGATTTTGAAATAATTTAAAACTTGGCTTGTTCAGCGGCTATCCAATCCAAGAAAGTGTGAACTCTGGTGAATACATCGGGTCTGCCTTTTGCGCAAGGGTGTCCAAATGAGACAATACCAATTTGAATGCCATTAGCGACGAGAGGACCACCCGAGTCACCCTGTAAAATCAAATAAGTTGATATTGATTAATAACGTTTTGTTAGCAAAAAACAATTATAAATATTGTCATTCTTACGTTGCAAGCACCTTCTCCAAATTTAGTTTTAGTGCAAATGTGAGAATCAGTGATTTGAGCGAGGTACCACAACTCTTGTCTACATTTATCTTGGCCGTAAATGTTTAAATCGATCTCTTGAAGCTTGTTGGGAACTTGGCCGTGCACCTACAAAAAAAGTAAAAATATTTTTTTCAGTATTAACGGTAAAAGTGACATGGAACACGAGTATGAAAGATTATAGAACCAAATTACCTTCGTGTGGCCCCAACCAGACAGTTTTGCGGAATCTCCAACTTTATATGTTTCCACAGGATCAGGTAAGGCAATAGGTTGTACCTTATCGTTGAACTTAATGTCCTTGTCGACACGGATCAAAGCTATGTCATTTTCCACGTCGGTCAGGGTGAAGTTTTCGTGATAGGTAATGTATTCAGAATGGTAGACTTGCTTATTTCCTCCCTCAATTAAATTAGTTCCAGCTACTACTTCAATAGCTTTGTGTTCAAGACTGTTTGACACATTATCGGTTATTGTCATGAACTTGGAATGAAAGAATAATATTATTTGTCAATTTTTTGTACAAACATACTAAAGAACGCAGTGTGCAGCGGTAAGGATCCATCTTTTGTTTATGATCGAACCACCACATATGTGAAGGTTTTGAAGTCTCAGTGACACCTGGTACGTATATTTGCCTTCCGGAGCATCATGACCTCCGACGATCCTAGGAGCAGCTGAAACATCATAGTCGTTAATTTGATCTATTCGGTTTAAATTTCTTTAATCTTTATTTTTATTGCAGTAATCGAAAATAAAATTCATTTATTACACTGACGCTAAAAAAATTCATTCTGTATGCACTGATACTTAATTATATCAATTTGGTCATTACTTTTTAATTACAACGAATAATGTAAATTAAAATACTAAGCCAAATTATGTTGTAAATAATGACAGTATTCTTAGTAATTTATTATAACGAAAAATAATTCATTAGTATTCAAAATTATATAAGTACACATTCCACTGCCCAGTCATTAATTCGCAATCCGCGAAGTTCAAAATCCAAATTATTTTCGACAATTGACCATCGATAACATCAAACGAGGTTAGATCAATGGCTTATTTTGGCAAGTATATACTCCCGCAACTTGCCAGAAAAAACCCATTTGATGCCATTGATGCTCAGTTATCGAATATAATTTAAATTTCAAACTCGTGGTCCGCGAATGAATGTTCGGATAATGTACATACCGTAAGTGGCCACTGCAAAGCACAATAAAATAACACTAATTAATAACTTCATTGTTACTACGGCAAAGTTGGAACTTATCAGCGATACAACTTCACCTGAACTGTACTTTCCACTCATGACATTGCTTATTTATATTACTCTGAGTATGGCGGTTGAAAGAATCACTGAGATCGATCGTAAAGTTTACAGAACGTGCTTTACGATCGATCTCGATAATTTTTTTCTATAATCATAATAAGAACATTCAGTTTTATGTAGTTTTATTCATGTTATTAAAATTTGTCAATGGGCATTAAGTCATATCTTGATATGATTGATGACAAGTTAAACAACGTTTTCAGAAAAATGCATCTATTTTCATAATTCTATTTCAATATTATGTAAATGTTAATATGATAAGTCATCGACTAAATCAAAGATCTTGACTAAATTAGATAAGTTAATGCAGAATTCCATGTATGATTATCTTCCAATCTCAATTTTTTATTAATGTCATTGATTTGCGATTTAGCCTGTTTACATTATTCGATACAAAAAATTCTTGCAATGAGAAGTATACAAATGAAGCATCTAATAAATACTATGTTTTGAAAATAATGTTCACCAATTACTAGTGAAAAAGATTCCCTCTAGAATTTACAGTACTACAGATTTGTAAAACTACTTTGATGGTCAGCTATAAATTATTGTAATTTTTATCACCTTATATCAAATAATTTATTTATCATTTAATGTATACTCGTACTTCAAATTCTGTTTATGTGTATAATAATGAACTCTAGAAGCTACTTCATTTCTTAACATCATACATTTATTTAAGCGTGCGATTTTATTGTACAAATAAACTATTGTGCACAATAGTATGGAACGAATCAGCATGTATCAATTCTGACGATATGTTACTATGCACAATAATTTGTATGTGTAACGAATATGTGCATAATTATCGACACCCCTTTATTTGTAAGGTTTGCAAATTGACGCAACATTTTAAAATATTTCAAAAGCCGGCGAATGCTATATTCACTCAATATAATTTCTTTGACATTGATTAAAGGTGCCATTCCAAATAAATTACTTTATCTGTTTCCATATTTTAATTATTGCTCTTATTTCCTGGATTTAGTTAATATAATCTGCAGTCTATAAGAGCTACCGCTATCGGCAACAAGATTAAATGGAAGAGATTGATATTATTCCAAAAAGTTTTATTAATATATGCCAGTCATCGAAGTTATTTTTTTATGATTACGATTAAGAAGAAAACGAAATACATACGAAACGAAGTTGCTCGGATTATTTGAATAATATCGATTAAATACGTACTCGATGAAATTTATTATCTATGTACATTATGAAAGGATATATATATATATATATATATATATATATATATATATATATATATATATATATATATATATATAGACTATGTATTCTCATCTTACAGCCTTCATACTTTGTACATGTTAGTTTTTTTTCTACAAATGTTTTTTTGTGGCTGCATCCTTTTGATATTTTTGTTTGAAAGAATAATATTTTTTAATTGCACTGATGGAGCATAAATTGACGCCGTAATTTTACATATTATATTTTATAAAAAATATTACATAATGACCAAGAACTTCTCATTCGAAACATTGAAAGTGTTCTCGCTTCCTGTTTGTTTTTTTTTTACTTTTTTTGTTATTCAAAAATTATTCTTCTTTTTCAATAACAAATTAACAAAGAGCGACGAGTCAATATGTTACCTTTTGACACTATCGCGTAGGAGGGGTCAAATCCAATCAATTCTAAATTATGAAATAACGTTTATTTATTTGATAGAATATAAGAAACATTTTATTAAAGACGGGCAATCAATTTCTATGATAATTAATACCGTCACAAGAAAAATATCTGATTCAAATACACGTCATACGTATTTCAATCTATTTTGAACCGTTGGACACGATCCGTAATTGTTATAATTAATCTATCATACCGTGCAGTTTTTTCCATGTAAAAAATAGTTCATGCTTTGAAAATAGGAGTTTCACGACTACACGGCTTTGTGTTATGCGAGTCAAAATATAATAAAACACGTAAGTAACGCTTCTGTCTTCGACATTTTTATTACGCGTCAATGTAATTTTTATATAATGCATGGGACTATTCAATAAGTAGCTTATTATACATGTGCTATTGTTTATATATGTAATGTATTTATTGATTTTTACTCTGTTAATTTTTTGGAGACAATTGCCGTTTTTCATGGCTCTTCACTTTTATTTTTCATTGTAGTATAATTAACAAGTTTGACAAACACCTTTGACAGAGGTATAATAAATTGAATATTTTTTTATACAGTGTCTCCAAATTTACCTTCTGATATGACACGATGAAAGAGTTACAAAGTAGCTGTCGATCTCCGGTCACATCAATTAACGGATCAGATTCAGGAGCTCATATAGAAGGGCGTCTTTTAGAAATTATGACAAATCACCTTCACATATATGCGAGCCACAACAACAATTGACAAAATTTGACAACTCCCATTCGCAAAAAGTTAATCACCATTAACAATTCCAAATATTTGGAATACAAAAATTTTATTATTTTTCTTTAATAATTAATCACTTTAGATGTAATTCATATTTCGTGACAAAAATTAAAAACCGACGCATCTGGTTCTTTTTCCTAATGATCTGCTCAGCTTCGGGAGAAAAGCACTTACTGGGTTAAAAAGTTGTGACAAGGTTCTATATTTATGCATTCAAATCTTTAATTTCTCTGGTGAGAGCCTCCAGGGCGGTAAAGTAGATTTGTTAATATTTAAACAATGCTCATTCAAGGAAAAAATCGAAAATCGCACGCATTGCATGTCATTATCATCGGAATTACCACGAGAGGCAGTCTCCGCCGTTCAGCCGATGATCAAACCAGCTTTCTCGTAAACAGCTAAGACTGTCGACAAGTAGTAGTATTCAAATTGCTCCGTTTCAACTCTCATCTCTCATCTCTCTGGTGCGTCATGTTCCTCCATTCTGATTCTGATTATAGGTACTGAATAACAATCCACCAATTGGCCTCCAACACTCTGTGCGCGGACCGCCCTAATTCACTACACTGCTCTTTTCGGATTCGTCAGAAGTTTCATGGAGGGGATAACTCCGTACAACTAAATTCTACCATAAGAGCGTAAGAGATAGCTGAAAACTAATTTGAAAGACAGTACTTGAGTGGGGGACTCCGTAGTTCTAAGAGTATAAATTAGAGACAGTTTGAGAGCAGTGGCATCAATTTTCGCGGTTTTTCTAAAAATGTCTGAACAAGGAAAGGGAGGAAATGGAATTGGAAAAGGTGGCATGAAGCGTCATCGCAAAGTAATGGATGACAACATCCAGGGTATCACCAAGCCCTCTATCCGTCGTTTGTCCCGTCGTGGTGGAGTCAAGTGCATCTCTAGCTTGGTCTACGAAGAGGCACGCAAAGTTCTTCAGGCTTTCCTGGAAAACATTATGCGTGATATTATCACCTACACTAAGCATGCCAAGAGAAAAACTGTCACCACCATGGACGTCGTCTACGATATGAAACGTCAAGAGCGCACTCTGCGGTTTTAAGGGTAAAATTTCTCATTGTCATTTAAAACAAATCAGCCCTTTTCAGGACCACAAAAATTCTCAAACGTATGTTCAAACCCCTCGCCTCTGTTTTTGTTATTCTTCTGGTCCAAAACAAAACTGCTACAACATTTTCAGTGGTTTAAAAAAATGTATATAGGGTTACTACCACTGTCCTAATTTTTTTTTATTTTTAGGTGATTCTTGGTGACTATCAGAAATCAATAATTTCTCAGTCTCTTCTGTATGATTGGGAGCTCTATCACGTTTTCGTTTACCGATGTAAAATATGGTCTACTTTTTCTCGAGTCTAGTAGTTGTAGAAAAGTTTTTTATTATAGTAATAACTTTCGCGACGATTCTCCCTTTTAATAGCAAAATCACTCGCAATCATTACAACTTAAAGCTTCCTCTGTAGTAGTTTTTATCTTTGTAGTACCAATCTATATTTTCAATAGAAAAATTGTTTTCATTTTTTAAATCATAGTTGAATTTTACATACTTGCCAGGTGACTTAAAAACTCGAGTTTATGGCGATACTTCGTTGTTTCTAGAATTAGAAGTCCTTTTAGATACATTATTTTTGAAGTTTTTATTTTATTGTTTTTTTGTTGGGGCTTTTTTATCAATTATATAGCAATCAGGTATTTTTTTACTCCAACATCGAGGACATTTTTGGTTCGTCTACCTTTGTTTGGTTCTTCATTTTTATATGTACTAACGTTTTTCAAACGCCTATTTGGAATAGTTGATGTGATCTTTTTTAATGTCTCGAATACACGGCGAGTGTCTTCAAATAATACCAAGACCGTGGAACCCCACGGAATTCGTTGTGATTCCTAGATCATGTACTAAAGCTTGGTAAAAGCCAAGTTTGACCTTCGTTTTGCCCCTACAAAAAATAAATTGAATACAGAAATTTACATTTAATTGAAAATGATGGTTAATATTGTAAATATCGTTAATTAAATTTATCCTACCCAAGACACTTGTTTTACTTAACGTTATCGATCGCGCCATTTATTTGTATATATTATAAAGGTAAAACACTTTTCACTATTGTAATCAGTATATAAGAATTTATTAAATTGTGTTATCTACGACTCTCAGTATTATTGCGTCTTGATTGCGTTTTGATTCAAATTTTATGTTTTTATAAAACAAAATTATGCAGATATATTCACCAATTCATTAGTGAAACAATAACCGATTCGCTACTGGAGATTAAGAGTAAAAAGTATGCTAAGAAAAAAAGAGAGAAAAAACAATTCTGTACATCGCAAAATGCAAAATTAAAAAAAAGCGCGCTTGCATCGGGGAAGAAGTTGGCAGTGTAAAAGAAACATATGCAGTGCGCATGACACCAGCGAAAAAAAGCTGCATAGCGCCAACCGAAGCACAAATCCTCGGCAGTGTACTGCGGTGTCGCCTGGTAGCAGGCGCCGCGACTCCGTTTGTGTTTCTCTTTCCCCCCCCCCCCCCCCCCCCTCTCTGGTTCTCTGCGCCGCGCCGTGTTTCTCCGCTTTCAACGCATTCTCCGCGATTCTCCAAAGAAATCGACGATCATGTACGCTCTGGACGAAGGTAAAAGTCGATTATTCTTTGTTATTGACATGAATGTGTACTTTTCTTTTTAACGTGCGTCATTGCAAGATGGGATCTAAACTTAGAAGTTTTCTCTCGAGTTAACCCAATTTGAATTGTGTATGACAAAAGAATATCTATATTAGTGCGCCTATATATAGAAAACGTCGGACTAAGAAAAATAGTTGCGAATCGATCGTTAATACGTGAACAATGTATTGCTAATTGTTGCGTTTTTTGCGATACATTTTTTGCGCATTCAATAAATTCACATAAAAATGTCAATGAATACTGGATTAATTAATATTTTGAAATACATTTAAAACTGTTCAATTATTACAAACTATTATAGAAAATTAAAAGATTTTTTTAAATTATTTGTGCATGTACTTAAGTATCTAAGGAGTTTTAAGAAAAGCAATACATAGTCAATTACATTTGTTAAAGCAAAAATTGAAAAATTTCGCAGATCAATGCGAGGAGGAAGATTCAGGGGAGATTTCGTCGAAGCTATGGCAAGAGGCATGTTGGATCGTAATAAACGCTTATTTCGACGAGAAAGGTTTGGTGCGACAGCAATTGGACAGTTTCGACGAATTCATCGAGATGTCGATCCAACGTATTGTCGAGGATTCACCGGCAATCGAGCTGCAAGCCGAGGCACAACATCGTAGCGGTGAGATCGAAATACCTACGAAACATGTGGTAAAGTTCGAGCAAATTTATCTATCCAAACCAACTCATTGGGAGAAGGATGGCGCTCCTTCGCCGATGATGCCGAACGAAGCGCGACTGAGGAATCTTACATACTCGGCTCCACTTTATGTGGATATCATCAAGACTGTTTACAAGGAAGGCGAAGAGCCTACAGGTAATTGATTTATTATTTTAAACAACATCTGATTCTATTGAATCGATTAAAAACACTCAGCTTTAGAGCAAAGTGTTGGGAAGCCGCCGAGTATTATTTATAGACTAGGCCGATGCTTAACCATTGGCATCGAACAATTTTCATGAAAACTCTTAAAAGTTAAGCGTATGCGCGGGTGTGTGTGTGTTTGTGTTGGTGTTGCAGAGACGCAGCATCAGAAAACCTTCATTGGCAAGATTCCAATAATGCTACGCTCGAAATATTGTTTGCTCTCGGGACTGTCAGATCGTGATTTGACAGAGCTCAACGAGTGTCCACTTGATCCTGGTGGTTACTTTATTATCAATGGCTCGGAAAAGGTTATTTTGTTTTCATTAAAAAATGACAAAAAAGAATAAATTACGCGATCTATTAATTTATTTTATTGTTGTTTAGGTGTTAATTGCTCAAGAAAAAATGGCAACCAATACGGTATACGTGTTCGCCATGAAAGACAGCAAGTACGCGTACAAAGCTGAAATACGATCGTGCTTGGAGCACAGCTCGCGGCCGGTGTCCACGCTTTGGATCAATATGATGTCCAAGAGTGGAGGTGTAAGTTTTATCGGTATTCCTTCACTGACTCTGTATTGATCGATTCATATTAACAATGGCTCTGAAAAATTACGCTTTATTCATTTTTTATTTGAATGCTTTATTACTCAAACCTTTTACCCAGACTAATTTTTTCTCTATTTTGCTTTTTATTACAACTACTATAATATCAAAGTAGAATCCAAAGCTTCAACTTAATGAGATAGTAACCAAATCTCTTATAAAATAAAACATTTCGTCTAACAGATGAGCAGCATCACATAAAATTATTGTTCTAGAACCTGAAGCTCACATCACTAAAATGTTATAAAAAATAATTTATTAAATTATCTATAGGCGATAAAGAAGTCATCGATAGGACAGCGCATCATTGCCATTCTGCCATACATTCACCAAGAGATTCCAATAATGATAGTATTTCGTGCGTTGGGCTTCGTTGCGGATCGTGACATACTTGAACACATAATCTACGATTTCGACGACCAGGAGATGATGGAAATGGTGAAACCCTCGCTGGACGAGGCTTTTGTTATTCAGGAACAGAACGTTGCGCTCAATTTCATTGGGAGTAGAGGTGCTCGACCTGGAGTCACCAAGGAACGACGAATCAAGTATGCAAGGGAAATTTTGCAGAAGGAGACCTTGCCGCACGTTGGTATTAGTGACTTTTGCGAAACGAAGAAGGCTTATTTTTTGGGTTACATGGTGCATCGACTGCTTTCCGCTTCGCTGGGTCGCCGAGAACTCGGTAAAAATAAAAAATAAACAAATATCAAATAATTTAAATGATATTAGTTTTCTAAATGCTTATTCTTTAACTCCAATATCTAGATGATCGCGATCATTATGGAAACAAGCGATTAGACTTGGCCGGTCCACTTTTAGCATTCTTGTTTCGCGGTTTATTTAAAAATTTGATGAAAGAAGTCCGACTGTACGCTCAGAAATTCATAGACAGAGGCAAGGACTTCAATCTTGAATTAGCTATCAAGACGAAGATCGTGACGGACGGTTTAAGGTACTCGTTGGCCACGGGAAACTGGGGTGATCAAAAGAAAGCTCATCAAGCGAGAGCTGGAGTTTCTCAAGTTTTGAACAGGTACAGACTTATGTTTCTTTTTTTTTTGCTTGTTTTAAGCGTAAATATTAAGAAGTATTGATATAATCAGGCTAACATTCGCCTCAACACTATCGCATTTACGTCGAGTGAACTCGCCAATCGGTCGGGACGGCAAACTGGCGCGACCTCGTCAATTACACAACACGCTATGGGGTATGTTGTGTCCTGCAGAAACACCGGAAGGTCAAGCCGTGGGTCTTGTCAAGAATCTCGCACTCATGGCTTACATCAGTGTAGGCTCGCAACCATCACCCATACTTGAGTTTCTCGAAGAATGGTCAATGGAAAATCTCGAAGAAATCGCGCCCACTGCTATTTCCGATGCAACCAAGATTTTCGTCAATGGATGCTGGGTTGGAATACACAGAGATCCTGATCAGCTGATGGATACGTTGAGGTAAGATTTTCATAAAATCTTTCATTAAAAATTATTCGGTTATAATCATTATTCACTGAAAATTATTATTATAAAATTAATCGATTATATTTTATTATATTCGTTAGGAAATTGAGAAGACAAATGGATATTATCGTCTCGGAAGTATCAATGGTAAGAGACATCCGGGATCGTGAAATACGAATTTACACAGATGCTGGACGAATCAGTAGGCCATTGCTAATCGTGGAAAACCAATTGCTACTGTTGAAAAAACGACATATCGAAATGCTGAAAGAACGAGAATACAGTAATGACGGGTACACATTTTTTTTTAGTTCGGTATTATATGAAATTTGAGTTAAAATGTTATGTTATAAATGATAGGTGGCAAGAATTAATAATGAGTGGCGTAGTCGAATATATAGACACACTCGAAGAAGAAACTGTGATGATCGCAATGTCACCCGAAGATCTGAAACAAGACAAAGAATACGCTTATTGTACGACTTATACGCATTGTGAAATTCATCCTGCAATGATTCTCGGCGTTTGCGCTTCTATCATTCCATTTCCCGATCATAATCAGAGCCCTAGGAATACTTATCAGGTATGTTTTTTTTTTTTCATAATATTGCATTGTTTTCAGTGAGCGGGATACTTTTATTTTCAATAGTAGTACAGACATGCATATAACCCTTAGCTATTGTATTTTACTATTTAGAATAAATGGCATTCAATGACGTGAATCATACTAATTAACAATTTTCTCAATGTGACTGCACTTGAGTTGAGTATTGAGATTGTATAATTGTAAGATAAATGGATCTACTAGGATAATTACGATTAAATTAGATAATTATTCAATTTCATTTACTCTATTTAAATTGAACTGCATTAACGCATTACTCTTGCAATTTTACTCACTCTATCCAACTTATACATTAGTCCGAGTAGAAAACATAATGCAATTTGATTAAATGTTTAGAGTGCCATGGGCAAGCAAGCGATGGGTGTCTACATAACGAATTATCACGTGCGTATGGACACATTAGCACACGTACTTTATTACCCACACAAACCTCTCGTGACCACACGTTCGATGGAGTACCTTCGCTTTCGCGAACTACCCGCTGGCATAAACAGCATAGTGGCCATACTGTGTTACACGGGCTACAATCAAGAGGACAGTATCATTTTGAACGCCAGCGCAGTGGAGAGAGGATACTTCCGCTCGGTGTTCTATCGCTCGTACAAGGATTCGGAAATGAAGAGACTTGGCGAGCAAGACGAGCAATTTGAGAAACCAAATAGAGCCAGCTGTCAGGGTGTACGTAATGCTATCTACGACAAATTGGACAACGACGGGATCATCTCGCCGGGAATCCGTGTGTCCGGCGATGATGTTATTATCGGCAAGACTATGACTCTGCCGGAATCTGAAGATGAGGTTGCTGGATGTTCTATTGTTTCGATTTACTGGTTCGTTACGCGACTAGATATTGATTTTTCCAAATACAGTTGGACAGCTCGACGAAGCGTTACACCAAGCGAGACTGCTCGACTTTCTTGCGCAACAGCGAGACTGGCATTGTGGACCAAGTGATGTTGACGCTCAACAGCGAGGGTTACAAGTTCTGCAAGATACGCGTAAGGAGTGTCCGAATACCGCAGATTGGCGATAAATTCGCTTCTCGCCATGGTCAAAAAGGCTCGTTCGTTAAACTGTTGATCTCTTAGAATTGGAAAAATTGATTAACCGCACTTTCACATTCGATAGGTACTTGCGGTATAATGTATCGACAGGAGGACATGCCATTCACTTGCGAGGGCATAACACCAGATTTGATAATAAATCCACATGCGATCCCATCACGTATGACGATCGGTCACTTGATCGAGTGTATCCAGGGTAAAGTTTCGGCGAATAAAGGTGAAATTGGCGATGCAACACCGTTCAACGATGCCGTTAATGTACAAAAAATTTCTACTCTACTCATGGAGTATGGATATCAATTGAGAGGTAACGAGGTCATGTATAACGGACATACTGGCAGGAAGATCAATGCCCAAGTGTTCCTCGGTCCTACGTACTATCAGAGGTTGAAGCACATGGTTGACGATAAGATTCATAGCAGAGCCAGGGGTCCTGTGCAGATTCTTGTAAGGCAGCCGATGGAGGGGAGAGCTAGGTCAGATAAATTCATTAAAAATATGTCTTTAAATGTTCCAACAAATAATGCTTATTTCTTAGGGATGGAGGATTGCGTTTTGGCGAGATGGAGCGCGATTGTCAAATCAGTCACGGTGCAGCACAGTTCTTAAAAGAGCGCCTTTTTGAGGTATCGGATCCTTACAGGATACACGTCTGTAACTTTTGCGGACTGATTGCTATAGCGAATCTCCGAAACCAAACATTCGAGTGCCGCGGATGTAAGAATAAAACTCAGATATCTCAAATCAGACTGCCATATGCGGCAAAGTTATTGTTCCAAGAACTGATGGCGATGAATATCGCACCTCGCCTTATGATTAATTAAGTAACTTAAACAGTATTTCGACTGTACGGTCTATATCAGACGAAAATATTTTTATATGTGATTATTAAGAATTTGAACGAAATTACGATATAAGACAGATTAATATTCTTGTACTGTTAAATTGTTTAAATATTAAAATATATTACGGTTCAAAGTTTGCAACTTCTGTATTATTCCTTATCATTGCAGAAAGATGCGATTTCGTTTTCTAGACGTAATAGCCTTTAGTATGAGTATAAAATTAATAATTTATTAAACATTTCACACACAAATGTTTCCTTTGAATAGAATATATGAATTTTAGGAATATTTACAATTCACGTGATTATAATACAACTTCGAAAAGTACTTCAGTACATTCGCATAAGTTTTAATTGCAAGTTAAGAGAATCACTGATGAGTCGCTCTAACATAACTGACGTCCAATACGCAAAACTTTGCCCTACATACTGGACAAGTACATTTAGAGGACAGCCACGTTTCTGGCATTGTATCGTCTTGTCTAGAGGCAAACCTACCAACCGTATAAGTTATGATTAGTAATTGTTAATTTTGTTAATACTTAGTCGTTAAACAAGCTTTACGAACCATTTAGCCATGCAATCGACGCACCACATTGGACGACAGTAGCACGAGACACAGGCGTTTGGAGATTCGTCTGGTTCTGTACTACACAATTTATTCAATTTTACATTAGAAACCACTTGCATGCAGCCTACACATTGATCCAGTTCCTAAAAAATAGTTAAAGTTTTAAATTATATTTTATAAGAAAAAAATTAATTAGTAGATGTATATTAAGCGTCTATTATTACTGCTGTACCTGGGAAGTTTCATACAGATGATTTTGAGCGATCTGATCTTTAAAAGTATCAATAAATCTTTCTAATAAAGTTCTATGAAATACCACACTATCAAGCACAGTAATAGGTCTGGACACTCTATCTTGTAAATCTTTGAAGTCCAATGCATTTAATCGAATGTTGAAAGCTGTCGCACCAGATCTGGTAGGCTTTACCTACAATTACAAATAGATATGTCAGTAATTCACAAATAAAAAGATAAGAAATTTTATGAAAAGTATTACTTCTATGTTAACATATTGAACTTCTCCTCTGGTAGTTGGTGATAAAGCATGAGTATCACTTTTATTAACAATTAAGGCTGTATCACTTTGGTGAGCAAAATACAATTTATAAGATGTAATTTTGATAATCCAATTATCTGTTACTACAACTTTTGTTATACTATTTGTATCAATAGATATTTTATCTACTCTGCAATAATAAGTTTAATTAATATAAAAATTATTCAACTACAATAAATTAGTTAGTATTCTTTTGTCTACCTTCGGAACTCTATATTGATATCAGAAGCAACAGTTGCCCATGTTGTATTATTATTACAATATACGGCAAGACTTTCAGCAATAGGATGTGAAGCCCAATCATCTAATGACCATTTTAAAATCTTTACTAGTGCATAAAGAGGACCGATAAGAGAACAGAGTGTGAGGACAAACCACCATGGATTATCATTTCCTAATAATATTTGAGCAGCATCATAATGTCTAGTAAAAACAAGTCCCAATAAATATCCTAAAATGTTAATTCGATAATTACAATTTGAGAAGAACAACAAAAAAATGTAATGTAATATTTGATTATTTGTTAATGTAACCTACAAAAGCTATATAAATACATGACTTTTTAAAATATTAAATCAATCAAAATAATTATTCAAATATTAACTACAATATATATACTCTAAATCTGAATTAAATAAATTTTTTTTATATTGTTTAAATACTACTTACCAAAAGGTATTAACGAATGAACAAGTAGAGTAGCAATACTCCGTTTTATATGATACTGTATGAAAAATTCATTTTCACTGCCCAAAAAATTAAAGAAAATGTTCTTGATTGTTAACCCAGCTGACACGAACTCAGTAGGTGGATAAATAACACAAAAAGATAGTAGAAAATACGTGAGGGTGTAATAAAAAAACGACGATGACATATTACTGACAGCCTACCAGATTTCGAAGTAAGCTAAACTATTACTTTAAAAGTAAATTTTAAGTGTAAATCGAAACTATTGACACTTTAACACTTATGCTGTTTCAAAAAATATCTTATTACCGTGCTTGATGTCAACATAGCATTCATTTTCAATCATCATCAGATACACCACAACGCAAACGCGTCATAAGTGTCGTGCGTTTAGTAGTTTAGTATACACATAAAACATAATCACAACTTTTTAGTTGCGCATGCGCATGAGCCAACCGAATGGTAATTTAGTATATCAATTTTAAAAATATTTTATTATAGGAATAAATAATTGTAGATACATACAATACTATGAATGGTTACATGTTCGTCTACATTGTACAGATCTTCTGAGAGCACTAAACTTTGACACTTTATATTTTGAACAACAAAGAATTTTATTTGAAGAATAAATGAAGTGTTACAATAACTCATCAAGTTGTAGCATGAATATGAGATATGTAACAGTTGTCGTCCAAATCTAAAATCATTTATTAATTATCCACGATGTTTATGATATTTTATTAATTTTTATAAATTGTACTTACATTTTGGAGTAGAGTTACATCTAGATTAAATAATCCGAAAATTGATGTTTTAAATTTCTGTTGTGATAAAATGATGATCAGTGTTTGCATCTAAAACATATAATTGTAAAAATGTTTGGAAAAATATGAGTTGCTACAATAAAATTTTGCAAAATAATCACTGGATATCTTTCAAATATAATCAACTTATACAAAATTCGATTAAAATAAAAAAAGGTCATTTATCATTCCGATTTAGTTCACACTGTCAATACAAAAATTCTTGCAACGATAAATATCATACGCAGTTTCATAAAGTTAGCATATTATAAAGAATTACAATATCTTTAGTAGTTTTTTCTATGTAAATTTCACGTGGAAATTTACTAATGATGTTAACTGTTTTAGTTGCCTAAAAAAATTATTTGTAAATGAAAGTATAATCTGACTTGGAAATTATTACAGAAATATTCTTACTTCGTCATAAGTCCAAACAGGTATGCTACAAGTGAATATTGCCGTTGTAGTACAAGTTAGTAGTCTGACCAAAGGAGCACATAACGTACAAGAATTAATACTATTTTTCTCTTTCTTTATGAAAAATTGACAGATTGCATGTGCCGATGAAACTGTATTGGTAAAATTGGTACAAAGCATCAAAAGTACTGGTAAACTTATAAACTTTGCGATCATATCACAAAAATTGGATAAATTAATGTGATGGTAACAAATGTTGCATAACTGAAAAATTTCGTATTTATATTTACGTATAGATTATTTATAATTGTGAATATAGTTGTTACATTACCTCTTGTGTAAGTATATTCGGTGTTTCAAAAGAATTTAATACTAAGGATCTATGGTTTTTCGATTCGTAAAAAAGCTGAGCTGTTGTATTCAAAGCTTTGTAACTTTCACGAGAATAATACATACATTCGATCAAAATTAAAGCTACATTAAAAGATACAATTGACGGAATATTATAAAAAAACCAAAATATAGTTTTTCTTTTTAAATCTTCGCAGACATCTAAAGCCAGTAATTGTGATGTTGTGGCAATGAAAAAAAGTATGTTACCAATGATAAAATGACTTTTTATTTGAAAAAAGACGCGCTTTGATCTAGAAATGTTTTGAGACTGACTTATTAGGGAATTCTTTTCGAAAGATTTAAAATTGTTAAAAAACTCAATTAACTTTAATAATGTACTTCGTCAAGAAACGAATGTTAACCACGAAGTCACTACTGTTAGATAATTAAATATTATAGAAAAGGTATCCATAATAATAGCTAATGGTGTTTCTTCATTCATTATTATTTCACTGCGATACTTTAAAGCTCTATTGAAAGAATACGTATATATCATAACTAAACTTATAATGTACAGTGTCCAAAAGAATGAAAATTTTATACAGTTTTTACTGTCTAACTTAAAAGGACAAAGTCCTATGATTTTAAGGAAGTAATATATAAATTTTATTCTTGTCATTTTTTTTGTTAATATACTTGAATAACGTAAACTGAATTTTAATACAATATTTTTATTAAAAGTACACAAAACTGTAGGTATAGACAGCTATTACTATTTTACATAAATGTGAGTTTGATCCTAGTATGACTTTCTTAATGCCATTAACATCCATTTCACAAATTAAATGACGTCCCTGATGTTCTCTGACAAAGCTTGTATGAAACGCTACGTGTTATAAAAAGAAGTAAAACCACTTTCAATTTACATTATTATTACAAAATTTTCTTTATTTTTTGTATAGTCACTTAGAGAAGCCCGATTAAAAAAAATTTAGAATATAAAATAAAAGAAACTTCAAAATTGTATATAGTTTTATTTAAGAGTTTAAAGGAGGATAGAATGTAGTATTTGTCGGTCGGGTAGATTGATGTAAAGATAATGTCGAAATTATTAATGTGCAGATTATTCTTACTACACTTTATATTTATCAAAATTCAATCGCACAGTTTCATAAAGTCGTTGCATTATTATAGTTGTATTAGTTTTCAACATGAAGTTGCATTTTTTTAGAACACAATTTTCTTATTATATTTTAAAATTAATTGGAATCTGTCCATTTTCCTTTGATAACCAGGGAAATACAGAATTTTCATATACAGGATTTACTATAAATTTATTTTTATCAATTGCTAGTCTTTACTTGCTTATAAACAGTTATATGGAACGATTTTCTATTCTTTTACCAAATGAAACGTCTATTTTTGCCTTTACCCAATTAATTACTTTTAGTTGTCAAGTTTTATCTATATTGAGTTATTTAATAAGTACTGGATTTTTTCAAAGAAAAATCATACGTTACTATTTTATTTTGAAAATGATCGATACGAAAATTTTCGAAGAAAGCTTGCAAAAGCGATTTAGTACTAAATTAAAATCGAAACTTATTTCAACAGGAACTCAACTTGTCGTTAACAGCATATCATTTTTATTGATTTGCTTTGTCGATCATTTAAGATTTGTAGTTAATAATATTGTATCGTGGGATAAAGTTTTATTTTGGATCATGCATCAAAGTACATTTGTAATCCGATTCAATTCCAACTACCTTTATATCAAAATTTTGCTCCACATTCGAGATTGTTTTGATGATTTGAATATTTTATTTTACAAACATAAAAAACAATTCATCAAATGCAAAGGTATATTTTTATATATTGGTAACAGTTGCATAAAACATTCAATACAATTTATATTCAAACCATGCCATATAAACATGTATTTCTATTATAATATTAATGTTATATGTAATTGCTGTAAATCAAGAAACTTTTCAATGAATAATTATATATTATAAATATGATTTTAGAAATTTGGCACCTTAATGGAAAACTGAATGATTTGGTCGGCGAATTGACACATTTTTTTAGTCTTTCGATTATTATTGCAATTACTGATGATTTTGTTCATATCTTCACATCTATTTACAGAATCAATTTGTTTCTAAAAAATGATAAGTCTTGGTTGTTAATGGACTTTTGGGACTTCGCATCTTTAATATTTTGGCTAACAGTTAAAGTTATGCTTATATATTTTATATGCGTCAATCCTGAAGAAATTTCAGAAAAGGTAAATCAAGTAAAATACAAATACGATAAAACTATTGTTACAATTAAACTTATGAGTTGCCATATATTTATGTTATATACTTTACATAATATTTTGAATTCCTAGGTTGCGTATACAATAATTATAATATTAATGACTTGAAATTTTTTTTATTTTCACGAAATACCATATTTTTAGGGGAACAAGGCGAATGATACTTTTCGTCATATCATAAATTCATTTGATAGCAAAGAAATGCAGAATCATAATGTGGTAAATAGTTATATAATTTTCATCGTAAACAGTATAGAATCATGAATAGATAAATCTAATTTTTTCATATATTTATCCAGATAAAAACGTTTTTACCAGAGTTGTTATGTGAATCATTTTAAAAAAAATCATGCATATCAGTTTATGGTCTATTTGAGTTAAATTGCAAATGTTTTTATCGTGTAAGATTTTAATCTATGTAGTTCCAACTTTTAAAATAGACAAAATAATATATATACTAAAATGTTAAATATTATTTACTTTTAAGATTGTCACAACGATTACGATGTACGTTATAATAATGATTCAATTGGAGTAAGTGTTTAAGTCGAATAAAAATTATCAATGATATTACTATACTGCTGTGACGTCGGGGTCACTCTCAGGTACGCTTGGAGCAAGCGTAAACTCAGGGTTGCTCTGATTTGGCTATCGTGTAACACACAAGCCGGGACGAGCAATATTGTTGCGTTGAGAAAACTGTATGCTAACACGGAATGTAATAACCAAATGTTATTACGAACACACCAGACTCACGCTTAATGTGTTCTTAAGGGACTTTAATGGAAATTCACCAGACTCACGCTTAATGAATTTCCAAAAGAAAGGCGGATTATTTAAAGAAAGAAAAGGATAGCCAGGTTTAAGATTTTACTTACTTTTATTTTATCAATTTAGTTATTATTAAAGTTGCGTTCTCTCTGCTCTTTGGCCTCTTTCTCTCTCTATCTGCTCTGAATATACTTGGGTGATTTTTCTTCTTTGATGCTTCCTCCGGGACTCACTCACTGGTAAAAACTTCTTATTAGGGACTTCCTGGTGCTCACTCCGCACTTACTCTATCTGAACTTGACTTCCTCTAACTTAACTGACTGAACTTAACTTGACTTAACTTGCTCTCCAGCCTTGTACAGAGCTTTTTATAAGCCGTGGGTGGTTGGGTGGAAATCCCTTTCCTCAGGCCCATGAAGCGATAACGGCTAAATTTTGTATTGGTCGGAAATTTTCTAATCATATCCAGAATTTCTTTATTGGTCTGTGGGCGTGAATTTTCAGAGAGAGAAAGGGCGGTCCCTTTTTAACTTGGGCCCTTTTCTCCAGAGATGGCTCTCGGAGTGCCACTTTTAAGAGCAAGAGTAACGCTATAGCTTATAATTACTTATACATAATTGTACTAAACTTAATTAATTATGACGATACATAGTGACTATTATGAGCATTCAGAAAAATTCAAACCTTTTACGATTTATTATAAAATACATTATTGTTCTATTTATTGGTTATTCGGTGACAAAAAGGTGCGCATTATAATGGTTTACAAAATTGATGAAAATCTATTTAATATTACGAATATTTTCTTAAAAATCGGTGGGAAAAAAAAGATAGACTGCATTTTTATGGTCCCCTTCCATTATCAGTGTGATAACACTTCACGATGTATACGCGATGATCGTAGGCCCCTGTCAACACATACGTGTGGGACAAAGCAGGATAGACCGTTGATTGTAATCTTGAGTACGCAGGCTCGGGCCACTATCAAAGCTTATATTTCGAATGCGTTTTCATCGTGGGAAATCAGGAAGGTTCCCACTCTGTTCGTCATATTAAATATAAAAAAAAACTAAGTTACGGCTAGCCGTTACACTGCATACAAAATCATATACATCATTAAAAAAACATTTACTAATGACTAAATATTTTGAAAGCTCGTTGGAAACTCATTTTTACAACAAATTTGTAGAATGAAACGGTTATTGTTAATAATTTTATGTTTATTCAAGTAAGTGTACAGAATATATTCATTCGTAATGAATTCGTAATGAAATAATAATTCTTAGTATCTGTTACTCAATTTCGTGATTTACCTGCTTAATATTGCGATGATATATTCATTTCTAACTTTGTTTTTTAACTTTACTGTTTTGCTGGTGTCAACAAAAATAGTAGAGCAGATTTTACCATAGAACACATATAATAAACATCAGGTATTTCAATCGACTAAATCATCTAATTGAAACATAAAAACTAGAAACATAATAATTGTTCCCATTACCTACAAGAGAAAAAATATTAACATTTATTCTTGCCAATAACTATTGAGTCAATCATGTCCTTACATTTTGAAATAAATAGTAATTCAAATTAATTAAACCATAAACAGAAACACAAGTTTGTTTTTGATAAAATTGTAATATTAATTTCTGCATCTGCAAAAAACGAATGTAGAATAAAGCATTATGAAAGTATAACAATTTTTATATAATCTCTGATTAATAGATAGTGATTACCGCATATTTGGACTCTCTTATCTGACAATGATTATTTATTAGTAAATCAAAAGTTAAAATGATTTTCTTAGCCTGCAAAATAATAAAGCGATGTTATTACTAGTAGCAACATGTTCATTAAATTCAACTACCATTTATTCTATTCTACAATGATAAAAATTAGAAGCTACATTTACGTACTTCTATACAAACAGATTCCGGAACTCCACATATGAAATACAAAGTCAAAAATTTTGTCATCAACCAAATTAAATTAAGTGAGTATATACTAAAATCGCCGACTTCCCACGTTCTTTTATAAGTCAAATATTGGTATACTGCATATATGTCTAAAAAAGAGTGAATAAAAGTAGCAATTATCGAAAACAAAATTGCAAGACTAAAAAAGCTAGTAACGTTTTCTAGAAGGTCTGATAGGCTTTCATGAAACTGTCCAATCTTATGAAGTTTTTTAAACACATTTGAGGTACTTGAGATATTTTGGAATAAAAATTCTTCAGATTTTGAAGAAAAAGAGCGTACGAGTAACTTGTTCAGAGCTCTGAAATTTTCTTCTATTAAAAGCATCAACTCTAAAAAAATAGCACCAACGTTATATAACACAATTTTTGGCACATTATACCAAACCCAGGCACTTGCTTGTTCTTGAAATTTTTTATACAAAGACAAAGTGTAGTGATCAGTTAAAAATATAGCTAAATATAATGCATTGATAACCGCTAAACGAATAGTAATATTTCGTAGTTTTTTAAACTTGTTTTGATAAATATTTATATTTAAAGTTCTGGCTAATTCTTCTGTTTTTTCAAATTTAGAAAATATTATTTTTAGTTTATCGCTGCGAAATATAACGGTTAACCAAGAACATACTACTGTACAATATTGAAATAGTAAGCCTAATGCATCCATTGTAATCGTTAAAGTTGTTTCTCTTGGTAAGCGAAGTTCAAAACGGCAATCAATTATCACTATAAAACAGATAGTGTACAGGCAAGATAATATTATGTTATAGATTATTCCTAGAAATGATATTTTTACAGTTTTTTTGTCAATAATAAATGGACAAAGGCCAAGGATTTTTTCATAGTAATATAAACTTTTGATTATGATTGAGTTTTTTGTTTCGTTCATTTCTATGGAAAGAACTCAAAGAGCGTATTTTTCTGTCTTTAAACTATTTGCTAACTACAATACTCATACTTTCAGTTATATACACTGAAATAATAAATATAGTAACAGGTTTATTAAATTGATAAATAGGAAGACGAGCTTCGGTTGAAGCTTATTGTAAAATCAATTGACCCATATACATAAAATTAAAATCAATTTTGCACTTATTTCATTAATTTGAAGATCAAAGTTATGTAATTTAAGACATCGAATTAATATTAGTAATTTCAGTAAAAAAATTTAAGGAAAACTTGATATACGATTTTATGATTGGTTTCCATGATTGGTATTTTCATTTTTCAAATGAAAATACTTATTTGTACGTAATTATACTTGGGTGAATGAAAAATATATTTATTTCCTTAAATAATTATTATACTGTAGTTAATGAATTAATCACATAAATTACTATTTTACAATGATAAGTTTTGGCGGAAAGATTTTGTTATAAATATGCTTACATATATGTCTATATATTGTTAAAATTTCTTAAAGAATAAACGACAGAAAAATGGTATGTTTTATAACTGAGGTCTACACGAGTGCAGGCAAGTATAATCAGTGATGCGAAATAGGGTGAATAAATGATATAAGATATTTTATTCATCAACAAAGAACAATGAGTCACAGTAAATGCGCGTTACTTCGTAAAAGTTGAAAACGAAGCTTGCAGACAGCAGGGTTTATAGTATGTAGTAAAAATGAACAAACGAACAAGAAGCCTATTGGTGTAATTCATGTGATCCCACCTACAAGATATAAAGTGCTTACTTAGGCCGTAACAAATGATTTATGTGTTTTTCTGTTAATCATGGAATTAACAGAACCGTTAAACCTATTAGACCGTTAATCGCTAAAAACTATTAGACTATCAAATTTCAAGATTTATTGCTGTTAATGGGTTCTAAATGTTTGAGTGGCGAGAAAGGTAAAAGTACATTAATCAAAAGTAATTTATGAATTACTGAAGTACTCTTTTCTGGGTAAAAATTGAGGCAAAGCCAATCTAGTCTGGTAAATCATTTTTGAATGGAAATTACATTCAAGTAAATATATTTCTTTACTTTGTAAGATTTTTCATATGCAAAACATTACATTTGTAAAGTCGAAATGAATATAATGTGTATTGGCTATAGGTATCATACATATACGTTTCTAACATTACAAAATACATTTACTTGTATAAATATGCACATTAGGTTTTAATTAATAAATAATATTAATATGAATTAAGCTCTGTTAACTTAATACGATATTTTTATAAAAATGAAATTTTCAATAACTGACAAAAAAAAAAATTTCCCGTACCGGGAATCGAACCCGAGCCTCCTGGGTGAAAGCCAGGTATCCTAGCCACTAGACCATACGGGAGTTAGGAAAAATAGATATGTTTACATTTATAAGCATATTTTACTCCTCTATCTAGGCATTGATTATTATGAAAGGTACTTTTAGATCTTGAAATAATGAATATTGAATTTACAACTTTGATTTATCAGATGAAAAAAACAGTGCAAAATTGTTAAAGGAAAGATCTCTTTTAAAATATTATTTTTTTACTACCAATATTATTTTGAAAACTACTAATATGCAATAATATATACTTTCCAAAATGATATACATTAAAGAACGTTTTTTATTATAGACGAATTGTGAACTAAATTAAATGTCGTGATCGGTATAGTAGATGCTTTACTATACTACAATGTAATATATAAACAGAACACTCTCTGTGTATAGGGACGTCAGAGGAATTGAGCATGCTTAAAATCTCGTTTCACAAACGTTGCATCGAAGAATATATGTTATATACATGAGCAAGAAAGTAATTTTAGCCTCGTGTAAACGTTTGCGCTCGAGCGAAGCGAGGGTATTATCGAAATTAATGTATTATTTTATACGTGTATATCATCAATGAGAATGTCGGTGCGATTTTTATTGTAAATCGTAGTTGGCTCAATAAGATTTATATAGTCGATTATAAATATATTTTTATAAAACAATATTATTTGTTTCTGTTAAGTGATGAATAAAATGATGACTAAATATTTAATTATCGATCTATCATTATAAGCATATATTGTTTAAGAAAATTTTATTAAAAACTATTTTTATAGATTCATTTTGAACTCCAAATTATAACAAGTATTGGTCATTCCTTATATTACATAATTGTACATATGCAGTATACGATTATATTATTTAATTAACTCATAAATATGTTAACGACTTTAATTCGTTCTTACAAAGTAAAATTAATATATAAGAAGATTTAAGTAATTTTTTCTACTATATTAAAAGCTTATTTTAATGTTTGCAACAACACTTTTGAAAATCTTGATGTTGATTCATACTTAAAATTAGTATTGGAATTTTATTTTCTTTCAGGTTAACATTATAAATATTAATATTTTAATCGATTTGTTCAATTAATTTCATAAATTATACCATCTTAATATTACCGTTATTAATGACGCATTATTTCGTTCGTCAACTAAAAATAATATAAAGATTATATGATTTATTAAAAAATGCACGATACAAGTTTGCATAAATAAATCATTATGGTTGTAATATGTATAAGCAATAAATAAGCGAATAAAAATTCTGTTTTAAAATCTATGTTTTAAAGAAAAAAACTAAAAAAATTTGTCAGGAGTGGGATTCGAACCCACGCCCTCAGAGAGGACCAGAATTCCCAGAAACTCGATATGAATCGAGAAGGTGAAAACCTTGAGTCTGGCGCCTTAGACCGCTCGGCCATCCTGACACTTGATTGAATGTGATGAATTTGTGTATTATATAGTAGAGTTAGTATCATTCGCTAATAATCTGCCAAAAGATGATTCAATTTATTATTTCCTTGATGTTGAAATGTTTTATTATAGCCTATAATTAATAGGGATAATTATAGCTGTATAGGTTATGCTATAGCTTAATTTATTGTGGGATGGAATTAGCCAGTTGGAATCCGTGCTTATGCATACTCGCAGCGCCATCTGAGATGAAAAACGGAATGTTTATGACATTTTTTGTTTTATTTTAAATAATAATTCAAAATAGTTTAAAGAATTTTAGTATGAAAATGATTAAATATTGACTAATTCGATTATTTTGAATGTTGCTGAATATTTGAAAATTTGATCCAGTGAAATTCAATCAAGTAACAAGTGATACGAAAATTCAAAAATTCACATGTGGCATACCAACTTCCGGTTTGGTACGATCTCTACGAAACTATATAGGGTGCTTACAGCATAATCAAAACGATTCTGAGTATTCTGATACTTATGAAATTACACAAATTCTGATACGCATGAAACGGAATAATTTAAGATTTCAAATGTTTAAATTACCTTATAAATTAATAATCTTATAAAGTAATATTAGCAATATAATTCATCTAGGAACTTTCTGCAAAATGTCAGTAATATAAATAACATATATAATGAAATACACATAAATGACATATGATGATTAAATCGTTTATGCATGTCATTTTGTGTCATTTGAAGATTATGTTCATACGGAAATCTTTGAGATACTTGTTATTATCATAATGGGTATATAGCTGATACAAAAATAGTTATTTAAGTATTTCGAGGAGTATTCAACCTGAAAATATCGTTTTATGCACGCATTTCATACGTCAGAATTCGTGTCAATTCGCGAGTGACAAAATCGTTCTGTAAATACCTATTCCGATTGGTTTCTATCTTTTTTTTTATTTTTGACGTCTATCTTGACATAAAAATCTCCAATGACTCATGTTGAAACTAAAAATCATGAACAATGCTCAAGTTTTTCTCTTGGAAAATTTGAGACAATTTTTTGAAAAATCTGTTAGCCGACCGGTATCATGGCGTATCTTGTAATGTCTTTTATTAGCTTCTATGTATAATGTACGCTAGAAAAGGACACACATTTAAAAGCAGGGCAAAAACGACACGTTCCCCATTTTCGGCGCACGCAGTTGCTCTTCATCTCTCTAATTCTCGCTCACGCACACCACCTACGCCGTGTTTGTAGTGTGAGAGAGCGTGACTAGTGCGAGGCAGCAGTTCGAGAAGGAGAGTCGTCGACGAAGTATACACTTCCTCGATTGCAGTTACAGCGCCCGGGTGCAATAACCAGGGAAGTTTCTTGAGTTGGACGTGTCATTAAGTAAGTATATTTGCTAAGTGAGCCGCGTTGTCTGGTGATGCGCGCGTCCTCATCCCGTTCGCGCGCGGCCATCGTGGCCTCGTCGTTCTTTCTCCCGAGCTTAACCTCTTGGGTTGGGTAAAGATATTAATTCCTTTCGTGAGCATAATTTCCTTTGCGATTTTTCCTGTCACACACCGCATTTTGTCTATTTATTCAAATTCTACGTACTTCCCTTGAGACGCCATAACCGCGTAATAAGTTTTGGAAGCGTATCTGAAGGACGACACGTCCTCGTGCTCGTTTTGTTTCTTTTTTCCCGTCTTGATAAATTTCCCCCTTTCAACTAATGCACATTTCTCTTTGCTTCATATTTTTACAGACGGATATTGTATGAGTCAAAAAATAGAAAAGCCAGTGTTGTCAGGTCAACGCATCAAGACCAGAAAGAGAGGTGAGTTGGCGTCATGAATAGCTTGATGAATCTTCTCCACGCGCGATCAGATGTTCGTCATGTTTGTTGCTTCAGAGTAGGAAACTCCGTTACTTATTTTTTTGTATTTATTAAATAGGTTGTTGCGTAAGATTACGATTTATTTATGACTGCTTTCTTTAATGGGATAATAAATTATTAATTTTCGACTTTTTCATTGTTTATAAATTTTGTCATTATTGATAACTATTATTTTATTAACAAGCTGCGTTACTACAATATAAAAGCAAATTGTTGTGAGATATTGTTAAACATTGTATAAGCACTTTTCCCAAACAAACAAGAGTATATGCAGTAGACATGCTGATGAGTCATCTATCTTTTGTCTTGTACTTTTAGATGAAAAAGAAAAATACGATCCAACTGGATTTCGTGATGCTGTTATTTCCGGTCTTGAGAAGGCTGGTAACGACTTAGAAGCTATTTCAAAGTATCTTGATACTGCTGGTTCTAAGTTAGATTACCGTCGTTACGGTGAAGTCCTTTTTGACATATTAATAGCTGGAGGTCTTTTGGTACCTGGAGGTTCCATTGCTCAAGATGGAGATAAACCAGTCAAAACAACTGCATGCGTCTTTGAACAACCAGAAGATATGGAATCCCTGCGAAACTTTGAGCAGGTAAGATATTTGTACAATTCATCTGCAGTTTCATGAAATTGTACTCTATTATATGTTTTAATACTGTTAATAAATGTCTATTCATTTGTTAAATAACATCCTTTGTTATTGGGATTTAGTTAGTATTACATACATCTCAACAATTTATTCATAAAAGAGTATTCAATAGTATTGTAGAATTAAAGTAAATATAATTGTAGTAATATTTTTTCAACCATTCTATTAGGTGTTTCTCAAGCTTACACGACGGTACAAATACTTGGAAAAAATGTTTGAAGAGGAAATGAAAAAGGTTCTTGTTTTCATCAAAGGATTTACTCCAAAAGAAAGAACCAAATTGGCAAGGATGACTGCTTTATGGATTTCCAATGGAGCTGTTCCACCGATTGTGCTCTCTGTTTTAATTAATGAGCATCTCATAAAAGATAATCTTGCACTAGATTTCCTTCTAGAAGTTTTTGTTACATGGAAGCAAGAAAAAGGCCTACCAAGTTTACTTAATGCACTTAAACGAGGAGGTATTGAAGGAAGGTAAGAATGACTTTTGGATATTAAATTTATCAAACTACCTTGATCTACATTTTTAATAAATGTGTTCCAAAATTAATTGATTGCATTAAAATAAAAATAATTTATTTTAATTAATTCCTTGCAATGTATGAAAAATAATTTTTCTAAATTAAATGTTATAGGTTGATGGAATTTGTACCACCAAACAAGAGGACTGATGAGTATTTTAGATCAGTTTTTGAAAATGCCGATTTAGCTGACATAGTAAAACTTCATAAAGCTCAAGCAAGTCAAGAAGCAAAACGCGATCTTCAACAATTACTTATTGATGATTTAGCTGATAATAAACCCATAAAAGACATAGTAAATGATCTCAAAGAAATGGCTCAACGTAGTAATATTCCTGAGCATGATATCATTGGACTGGTAAATATTTAAGTTATTGAATATTCATATAAATATTATTATGAATTATGTAAAATAAATTTTACTCTAATATACTAATTCCAGATTTGGAATACAGTTATGAGTCAAGCTGAGTGGAACAAAAAAGAAGAATTAGTCGCCGAACAAGCACTGAAACACTTGAAGACTTATACACCATTGTTTGGCGCATTCACAAACACTGCCAAATCTGAGCTTGCTCTACTGCTCAGAGTTCAAGAATTCTGTTATGAAAATATGAACTTCATGAAAGCTTTTCTGAAAATTGTTTTGCTCTTCTACAAAAGTACATGATCTCTATGTCATACTTGCTAGTTATCATACGTGTGTTATGGATTGAGTGATAACATTTAATTTTTTAATTACAGCTGACGTAATATCAGAAGAAGTGATTTTGAGGTGGTACAAAGATGGTCATTCAGTTAAAGGTAAAATGCTCTTTTTGGACCAAATGAAGAGCTTTGTTGAATGGTTGCAAAATGCAGAGGAAGAGTCTGAGTCTGGAGAAGATGATGACTAATCAGTATAAGGTATTTTCAGTTAATTATGTATAGAATACAAATTATCAACATTTTTTAATTTTTTTTTTAATTTTAGAAACACTCAAGCAACATTGCCAAGACATAATAGTTAGCTAATATTTTCTCGAAAAATAAAACAGAAAATTTTTGAAAGCTTGAGACTGTATTTAAACAGATAAAGAAAATAGAAGAAAAAAAAATAATAATTATAAACACAAGCGGGATATAAAGTTCCAAATTTGATCAAGCATCTGATTTTTTAAAGACAAATAAAATACTGAAATTATGAACCATTGACTATGATAGTAGATATTCATATTAAAAGAGCGGAAGAATGTAAATTTATAACGACTCTGAATTGTATTGCGTTGAGAAAAATATTTTGTGTTACGATTTTTATATCTCCACTATAAAATGTATACAGAAAAATTAAGAAAACAAACTATGCCTGTGTCTGTACACTTTCAGATCCCTTACTTAATTTGTATAATAATTGTATCAGTTTATAAAAATATACTGTCAGGTGATGTTTCATATTTATTGAATTATTCTTAAGTTGAGCTATTCCCTCTTATTTTATATATACATATAAGATATTGAATTCAATGAGGAAATAAAAACCAATTGTATACAAAAACTTTACACAATTTAAAAACTACTATTTATGTATCAATATTTATTTGGGCTTATTTTTGAATTGTCTTATATCAGAAATATTTTGTGTTTCAATAACTGTTTTATCATTCATGAAAGGCACCAACTGTTCTGGTATTGCAATGTTTCCATTTAGCATTTGATGAGTTTCACAAATACTAATGAGCATACGAGGAATTGCACAGGCAGTTCCGTTCAACGTATGTGCATGCATTATTTCACCATAATTATTTCTATACTTTATGTTTAGCCTTCTTGCCTGATAATCTGTACAATTACTACAACTAGAAACCTCTCCAAATTGTTTCCTACCAGGCATCCAAGCTTCAATATCAATTTTTCTGAAAATTAAGTTTACAATTTTTTTACAAAATAGAGACTAATTCCTTTATAAATAGGTGTTGGAGTTCATTTCTTAATCCTTACCTATAAGCTGGAGATCCTAATTCATTTGGAGGCATATCAAGTACTTGTATATGTAAACCCAATTGTCCAAACAGTTTTTCTTGGATGTTTATTAGTTCATCCATAATTTCAATTGATTTATTTTCAGGAGAACAAATAAACATTTCAACTTTGGTAAATTGATGAACCCTGTTATGAAAACAAATATGATTCCAAAATTAATTTACAACATTAATATATATAAGTTCAAATCAAGTTTTAAAAATCCTTTACCTTACCTGTAAATGCCCCTTTCTTCTTGCAAATTGGATACTTCTGCTCTATAACATCTACTAACAGCAGCTAACTTCAAAGGTAATTCATCATATAAGAAAACTTTATTTGACAGTTTATAAGCTAAAGCCATTTCAGCTGTCCCAGAAAGACTCAAATCATCACCATAATATGGTTCTACTTCATACACAAGCCGTCTTTCACCATCACTAATCAGTCCACACCTTTCTATAATTTGCGAAGGTAAAATATCTGGTACAGAAATTAGTTGAAAGTTATGTCTTTTTAATTCTTTCAGAGAATAAATTATAAGAGCTTGTTCCATTTCTGCTAAATCTCCCATAAGGATATAGCTTTTAGAACCAGTTACTGGTCCTAATCGATCAGTCCTTAACAACTTTAATTTGTTTGCTAGCTGTGAGAATTCTTGCGGCTCGAAATCATATTTTGGTAAATCATTTCTTGTTCTAAGAATACAAGGTTCATTATTTGGATATTTAAGAACTTGTGGGTCAGTTAGATTGGGAATCCTACTTAATTCTTTTGCTAATTCAGATGATGATTGTGAACTTTTATACAATTCTAAAACTTTATCTATATTACACGAGCTATTCCTCCTTATAATGTTTGTAGCTATCAAGTCTCGATTTATTGGATTGCATAAAAACTCTACATTATACTCAGGTTCTGGTAAATGGATTTTGGATTCTATTACTGGTGTAGTATTGCCTTGAAGCTGTTGATAAGATATTGTTAAAATGTGAATTTAAAAATCATTTATTTTAATAATAAAATAAAGAGTTTAGAAAATCAAATTGAAATTTATGCATACAGCATGTACAGCATCCTGGACATAAAATCTGGAGTTTAAAAATCTTGATAGATGACAGCTAAATCTTTTCATATTTAATGTATTTAAAATAACAATGAAAGAGTTAAAAATCTTATCGTAATTACATAGAATATTCTATAACAGATATGTTAATATGCATCATTTTTTCCTTTCTTTACGAACAAAATGAAGAAAATTAAAGAAAATTTAATTGAAAAAGTTCACAATGATGACAACAATATACATACACTATACGCAATATAACCTAAAATTTGTTTGTCAAAATAAGAAAGTAAAATACCGTATTAGACTGGTAAGGTTTGTTTACTTCTAAATATATAACTCATTTTTGTATAGGTTATGTTCTCCTTCAGAAGTTAAATGGTATGACATTGCGGAACCTCATGTCATTTTTTATCCTAGAAAATAAAGGGAATCCTCTATTAACATAAAATTTTCTAGTTGCAATAACAAGGTAAAGATATTATTATATTATTATATTTTGATATTAGTTTTTTCCGTTTTACGAAAATGTAAAAAATATACGAAAGGCTAAGTGTATTAGTGTGCCTAAGTGAATTACAATTGTAAAATTATATCTTATTAATAATATGTTAATTGATTATACATAGAACTGATAAAATTAAAAAAAGTTTATACGTTTTATTGCTTTTAAGTGATTACAAAGTTGTAACTTTTATCATTTTGTAATAATGATTGTTTGTCACATTACAGGAATCAAATCTATATACGCCGTCAAAGTAAAAATTTGATTTATTACATAATTAAAAATTATTTCAAGTGAATTAGCAGTTTCATAATGATTTTGAGAAGATTTTCTTCAACCCCAAAGTATTTTTTTCAAAAGAACAAAAAGACTAAAAAGAAATTAAAAAATCTATCTACAAATAACTCGTTCATTGGAACTTGAATTGTGACAGGTAAATTATACTGTAGTTTTATCAAAATTAATATACGAATATTATACATTGATTAGTGTAACAAAAATATTTATTTTCTTTCTAGATTTATATTTATTCACAAGGTTGAATGTAAGTAAGAAAATGTAATTGCAACTGTCTCCAGTTGGAATCTGATAATCTGTATTGCTAAACAAGGTTTGTATTATTTCTTAATATTTTTATTTCTTTTATATGTATGTTATCATATAATTTACATGATGTTTGAATTTCTTCACCTGAGACCAATGAAAAAATCTGTAGTATTGTTTCATTGTTCAAAGGATGACATTTGACTCTGATTGTTAACAATACTTAAAATTAATTAATTTATTATTTTACAATTTAATGACCTTGGAATTTTTTGTTAAGTTAAGAATTGGATTTTACACTACAAAAAAGAGATTTTATTTTTGTAACTAGTACAAGAGGGTCCTGAATATGGTATTTTCAAATGGTAAGCTATAAAAAATTTCATTTTTCTTACAATTTTTCATTGAAATTAATTGAATGTAATTAAAAGTTAAAAATTATTAAAATGATGCATGAATTTCTTCACCTGAGTTCTATAAAAAATTATATTTATAGTTCAAAAGATGTAACTTGACCCTGATAAAATTATAGAAAATGTATACAATTCTTATATATATATTTAAGTTTATATACTAATGATAAACGTATTTTTTTTACAGAAACTATAAATAACTTCAAGAACGCGTTAGGCAGTTTCAAAAGAAGTATACAAAGTAAAAATTGAAAAATGTCCAATGTCCATACATACAACAAAAATGAATTTTATAAAATATAGGAAACCATTGGAATTATTTGTATAAGACTTATGAATTTTGTACGAATAAAATAAATAAAATTAATATTGAGAGCAAATTTATAATTATAAATCTTTCATTAATTAGATTACAGCTACAAATTACTATACAATTAGTAATGGCAAGGACTATGAGAAATTCATCATTTTGTAAATAGTTTTCTTCATTATATAACATTTACAATTGCTGTTGACTAATAGCGAATTAAATTTGATTAATAATTTGTTTACTAATTATAAATTTCATGAAGGAATCGATTCCTCAAAAGTAGCTGCATGACGTCAATAAACAGTTCTATGACATCACTACAGGGCAGACTGCATTCCGGAACCGAAGACGCAAAGTAGCATCTTTCGATAGAGAGGAAAAGAGTAAACTTTAGGGTTAAGAATGCAGAAGGGGGTTAACAGCAGCAGAACAGAGGTCGCGGATCAGCAAGGCTGCACTGTACTTAAAATTTCCAGGGTTGCGATGCTTTAATAGCGTGCATCCTCGAAGTGCAACCAAGTGTAAATAATGCAGCCGTGCGATTAGCTATAAGAAACGTCTCAGCGTACATTTTATTTTTTCACGAGGGTCATTATATTCTCATATAGATAATCGGGGTGTCACCTCCACCATCACCGCGTCCTATCCTATATACGAAGTAGCTGTGGAAGGTGCTGTTACTGTTCAATGATGTAAGAGACGAATTTGGGGGAGAATCACATTCTTCCTCTCTGCTTCTGTAAGTGTGTTAATAAACAATATTTAGCCGGATGAGCTACGTTTCCGTAGAGAGTTGTGCGTTATCGCGAGTTGTTGACCCGATATGTAAATAACGTGAGCTACCTGTAGTTTGATTTTTGTGCTCCGATTGCTTTATTTAATATCATCCGTTATTTTTTATTGATCAATGAGCATTTTTCATATTAGATACGTCGGTAACAATTTTTCCAAAAAGTTATTCAGTGCAATCATGTTAGATGTTTAACTTATACAACTACATATGCAATATCCTGAATTTGATTTACTGATTAATGTTTTATGCTTTTAATAATTTTTAACAGATAAATATATGCAAGTAATTATCAACATTGTTTAATTGGCCTTTAAAACCACTATTTCAGGCAGCAAATCGTCTTCCACAATTTGTAACTTGTCTGTGCAGTCATTGATACTCAAATCAAGATGTTCAAAATAATTTTAATTTTGACTTTGGTACAAAAAATTGTATCCTCTACATGTCCAACTGTGAACCGATGCAACTGCAGGCATATCAAACCACAAGCAGAGTGGCTACGAGTAGTTTGCAAAGATATTGAAGATATCACAGATATTGACTTCAATCCAGTCAGTGTTGAAATGATTCATTTGTAAGTTTTAAATAATTTTCTACGTATAAAGATACAAATTTAAATTTAAAAAGTAAATACACATACTTTTTTTGTATTTACAGAGATTTAAGTAAAAATGACATATCTATCATAAAGATAGATACTTTTAAATATTTATCAAACTTAAAACGTTTGAATTTGTCAGTTAATAAAATAACATTATTGGATGAAGGAGCTTTCAATGGTTTAACTAACTTGGAGCGCTTGTTAGTAGAATTTAAACAATAAAAATAAACATTTAAGGTACATGTAACAATAACATTTCGATATTTCAGGGATTTGAGTAAAAATTTAATTTCAACAATAAACTCTCATGCTTTCAAAAGACTACCAAATCTTAAAAAACTGTAAGTAATATAATCAATTCAAATATCGTAAAAATAAAAAATCCATAATAAATTATATTTTTGAAATATCCATTGCTTTTTGAAATTGATTTTTACAGCAATTTATCAAATAATCTGATTAAAGCGTTAGAGGTGACGGTATTTCATGGTTTATTGGCTTTAGAATATTTGTAAGTTTATCAAAACTTGTGTTCTCAAATTAGTGTTTTGTTATTTAGTTGTATCATTGTTATGTTTTTTATCTCTGTTACATTAATTTTTTGTTTCATTTTTCATATTATAACTGGAAATTAATACATTTCTTTGCTATTATTTTTGATTTCATAATTTGTACAAATAGTAATCAAATGTTAGCATTTATTTTATTGTTTATAGGACATACAAAGAGAATAGAAACATAAAATAGTAGAAAAAGCGTTGTTTGTGTAAACGATTAGGAAGTATGCATTTAAAACAATATTTTCACTTAATTTTTTTTAATTTTAGAAAATTAAATGGAAACAGGATTGAAACTTTGAAAGAAGGTACTTTTCACAGTCTGCAAGCTTTGAAACAATTGTAAGTAAAAATTCTATTTTCATTAGTAAAATAATTTGATTTATACATTTAATTGATGCTTTTAATATAATTACAGAGATGTTTCTGACAATCCATGGAATTGTAATTGCAATCTATTTTGGTTTAGCTATTGGATACAAAGTAATTCAATTAAATTAGTGTAAGTATAAATTACCGATTTGTAATGCTACAGTTATATTCAGTATTTTAATTTGAACTAATTTCGATTGAATTCTTTATAGACCACCTCCAGAATGTGATTCACCTCAAAGCTTGAAAGCCAAACCAGTGAAAAAATTACGAATTTTTAAAGAATTTGAGTGCAAGTGGTCAACGCCATCCATTGAAATAGTACCAGATCAGAATCAAGTTGTTTTTGCTGGTGATACTATGACTCTCAAATGCCGCGCACCTAGTATAACAAGTGATAAATCCGCTAAATTGAGTTGGTTATGGAACTCGAATATTACATCTGATATTATTGATTTGGGTTTATATAATAATCCACAAATTTTCTCTAATGTTAAGATAGAGAATAGGAATCTCGACGATAGTGGTATTGTTGCGAGGTATTTTCTTAGTTATTTTCTGCCATTTCAATATTATTTATATTTGCTAATACTTCATGAAATCTGTTTCCTAGTTCACTGAGTATTGACCCAGTCAATGAGGAACACAGTGGGCAATGGAAGTGCTTTCTAGTCTCGGCCTATGGAAATATATCACAAGCCATAAATGTTATTGTAATATCTAACCGCACCAAGTATTGTCCATTAGCAGGTACGATGGCTAAAAATTATTTAAAAATATTGCGAATAAAATGTAAAAACTATTATTTATATTTTCAGTAACAAGAGGAAATAAAGGAATGTATGCATGGCCACGAACTGTGGTTGGATGGAAAGTAGAACTGCCTTGTGAAGGTAGTAGTTTAGCTGCAGGTTCTGTTCAACTCATATCTCGAGCTTCCTATGAATGTAACAGTACTGGCAAATGGGAAAATCTAGATACAGAACAATGTCCATATATATCAGCAACAACAAAAATACTTGAACAATTTTCTACTGTTAATATATCACTAACGAAATTATCACTACCAAAAGGCTCTTTATTGGAAACTATAAAAAAACTCAAGAACATAACAGGAGAAGGAGCTTCATTGACTGATCCAGTGGAAGTTAATTTTGTCACGCAGATACTTGAAAATTACGCGAGTTACCTTGTTGAAGAAGCAGAATTAGGTACTACGCTAATTGACGTTGTGAACGTACTACTGAATCTTCCAAAATCGATGCTCAAAGCTGCAGAGATTAATTATAAAGCATGTACAAGACTGATCAAGACAATAGAACTTATTGTTGAAGTTACGCCATCCAGCCAACTTATACAACTACACAAAACAAATATGGCATTGGAAGAACACAGAGTGAAGGCTGAGAGTTTTACTGGTCTAACGTGTACATGGTACAGTACGACAGAGAATTTATACGTAAAATTACTTCATTGCTCCATGAGTAATAGAACGACGATAATCAATCCAAGCAATGGAGAAACGATGATAGAGGCTTCGATACAATTACCTGCTTCTCTTTTGAAAAATGTCAAAGATAGCGATATTTCACATCAACTTATGGTTTCGATGTATGCGGATAATAAACTCTTTCCTAAGATTAATAGATTAAGCGATGAAGACAATACCGATATTACGACGAGTATTGCTGGTAGTAAATTGAGTAAGTTGCACGATTATTTAAACAAGCTGGTGAATTGGTGTTTATTAAATTCATAATGATCATTTTCAGTTGGAACAACTCTCAAAAACTTGACTGACCCTGTATATGTAATGTTGAAAGTACCTCTGATTCCTTTTGCTAATAGTAAACCCATACCAGTAGTATGGGATTCGTCCTTAAATAATGAGACCGGTGGTTGGAGCAATGAAGGATGCCACTTATCTAACTTTATAAATAACTTAATTATTTTTCATTGTGATAGATTGGGTTACTATGGTTTATTGCAAGACAAATCTTTTATTGCTGAAGATGGAAAAGTGTAAGTTTGTATAATTTAAGATTACATTAATTTTTAAATGCCTCAGTAGACAATTAATTACAACATATGGTATTATTTTAATAGATTTGCAGGTGCCAAATTTAAATATTCAAACCCTGCAATATACGTAGGAAGTTTTATACTGTTGGTGTGTTTAATTTGCACCGCAGTGACATACGTATGCTGTTATGCATCGATAGCGATGCCGAAAAAAGCAAAACATTGCGTTATCAACACATGGGTCGCAATAGCACTACTTTGTTTTCTTTATACTTCTGGTATACAACAAACTGAAAATATTGAAATTTGTCAAGGAGTTGGTATTAGTTTGCACTATCTATCGCTATGCTGTTTATTCTGGATGACTGTTTCAGCTAAGTAAGTAGTATATAGTGAAAAAATAGTGAATAAATGTTCTTTCTTCAATTCTATACTCGCTGTGATCATTATAAATTGCAGCAACATGTATAAACGGCTATCAAAGTCAACGGTGGATCCAATAACCGACGATGACGAATTGCGCGAGCAACCGATCCGAAAGCCACTACTAGGTTTATATCTAGTAGGTTGGGGTATTGCACTGATTATCTGCGGGATATCAGGCGCAGTGAACATGCGTGAATATGCCGGCTACTCGCATTGTTTTCTTACCACAACTGGTCCGCTTGCTGCGGTTTTCGTACCCGCAGCCATTCTTCTCGTCTATCTCATCGTCTTACATATGCTCATACGATGCACTATACGCAACGTCGATCTCAACGGCCAACTGAGCGAAGGTACACAAGCTACGGAAAATGTGGATCTTGAATTGTTAGAGCCTAATCCTAATCCTGGATTGGACAGGGTTAGCCTTCATAGCTCGCAGACTGTTTCTTCCGAGGTTGAAGATCAGGAACATTCACAGGTTGGTTAAAAGCAATGGAAGCATGAGCTTCCATTGTTATTTTCAAAACCTTACGCTCTAACTTATTTGCAGATGACTCAACTTAAAGGACTCATAATAGTGATGATCCTGTACTTGATAGCCTGGTTATGCGCAGCCATGACGACTGCGAATTTGCTCAACATGTACATTCCATACAAAGAGACTATTTTCGCTGTACTCTACGCTTTATCATCAAGTTCACTAGGAATGTTCATTCTGCTGTTCTACGGCATTGCCAGGAGTGACGTGCGGGGACAATGGTTGAAAATGAGATGTTGGCTTAAACAGAAAAAGAACAGATGTTGCCGAACGAGAAATGTATCTGATGCTAATCCTGCTATTCCAACGCAACCTTTAGTGCCGTTGACAAGTATGTTCGTTTCATTACCTTTTATTTTCAATTGTACCTTATCATTCGAATAATATACGTTATTTTCATTGTTTAGCTCCTCCAATATCCAATTCTCAAGCAACGCAAATTATTTCGGACACCAACTCTCTCGGTTCCTCTCGTCACACTCACAAGTCTCAGAGCAGCTGCAACACATCCAAACTCACGGCAAATGATTCCAGTCGTTGCCACGTGAAGCCGAATCTCTTTGTTAATGCCAATTTAATAATGCTTCATCGTCAGCAGTATCGCTCGAATAATTCAGTTACCACGTTTAATACAGAGTCGGCACCCGCCTCTGTGGAGATGTTCTACAATCCTCATCAGAGTGGCGTAGCCCGCAAATTCTTCAAGAAACAACGACGTAATATGATGAAAAACAGTAATCTTGGTCCTCGCAAGCACGCCGATCATGGCGGTGCGACCAGTGATAACGGTAGCTGCGTCAGTGTTCCCAGGAGAGCAGTACCTAAGTTAGAAAACGATATTGAAAGGAATATCTTGAGCACCAGTGCCAAGGTTAATAATACTAATATCCACGTGGAAATGAATCCCATCAATGATGCCAAAAACGTTAACATACTTTCGGATAGTGGCGGAAGTGTAGCCGAGGATCGGAATATCGCTTTGAGATACGTTATCGGGCAAGAGCATTTGGGAAAGAATACAAGAAAGGTTAATAATGAGCCTACAAGACCTCCAAGTGGTTAGTATATTTCATGCTTTAATAGCTAAAGATATTCGACTTTAGAATTTGGCGTGAAAAAAATGAGAAATGTATGGAAATTTGACACATGCTGTTTTATAACTTTATAATTCTATATCATATTATTATTATTATTATTATTCTCAAATTGTAATTATACAAACCTTAAATTCGTAGCTGGCACAAATCGACGCAAATATCCACCGGCGACGACAAATCACGCGACATGTACGAGCCCTTACGAATCAGACACAACCGAGTCAAAAGTCGAAGAGATGAAACAAATGCGGAACGTTTCTCAACAGTGTAGCTTGGAATGTAGTTCTGGAATGGAATCTATGACTCAAATAGCTAGCGAAAGAAGCGAACATAATCTCTCAGATATAAGTGAAGTGGCGATATCTATAAGGTCAACGACAGGTGCATTAACTATCAGAAGATCAAGTGTTGAAGAAACAGCATCGATTGATAGAAATCAGAGGTTTGCAAGACACAAGTTAACAGAACGTATAATTCAAGAGCCGGCTTTTAAAATTCAATCATTTAAAAATGTACTTTTAATTACAGGTCATATAACATGTGTAATCATCATTCCGGAAGTTTGAATTCTTTACCTATGGTAGATAGATCTATGATTTCGTTCCGCAATAAAAGTAGCTACCGAAATTCTCTGAATGATGCTACAAGCTTAGAATTTTCGCGAGCAGCTGAGGATTTTGACAAGATTTTGCTTGATCAAATTACCGATACCGTTAACTCCGGAACAAGTACTAGTATTAACAAGCGACAACAAGAGCTGTTGTCTTTCCCAACAGCTGCAGTGGCACCTGCAAGTTCTGAGATTAAAATAACTTCGGAAGAGGATGAAGATGGTGAAGAAAACATAGTTAAAGCTGTTATACCTTTAGTGGAGCAAGTGGAGGTTTTAGCAGGTGAAGCACTACCGCTTTATGATTTTGGTCAGAGGGACGAAAGGGATGCTCATCATCATCACCTCCATCATCACCATCATCATCTCTATCATCATAAACAGCATTATTTACACGGTAAGGAAAGCAGTCGCGAGGTGAGAGACGTTGATCATGAAACCGATAGTCGAAGCGATGAGGAAGATGAGTCGATGCAGCCTGAAATGATGAATGTTAAAAAAGAGACTAGTGTCTGAGCTAATGTTATTTAGTTAATTAAGCGCACATTAATTTTCGATAAGGTGAAAGGATTATTTATTTAATATTGGCTAGTAGTTTTACTACATATGTGAGGCATTTATTTTAATTTATTTTAATATTTAAATATTTTGGTACCAGTGACATAATTTATTAGTGGGAAGAATTTCGTAGATTATCATGAATTATTATTTTTTAACTTATTTTACTCTCTACTTTTCCTGAAAATATATATTTCTGCCGTTGGAATATTGTTCCAATATTCACCATTACTGATATATATTTTTCGTTACTTCGAGAGAATATTTACTAAATGAAGAGTACAGGGAATTTTCCAAAAGAAAATATCTATAAACTCTAATAAACAGAAGATAAAAAAATAAAAATCTAGATTTTTAAGTATTCGTATACCTGGCGATAAATAAAAATCTAGGTTATAAGGTATGCATAAACATGGAAATTGGAAATATACTTTACAATGGTAGTTATATGTACAAACATTGAACATAAATTTTTAGATATGATAGTGAGCTATGTAAAATATTTTACATTCCAGTTTTTTTTTCAACATAGTAACTCATTTTTTATTCAACCTAAAAGCAAATACTCAAAGCCATAATTATTTTCGTTGATACATAAAATAGACAGTTTTACTACAATTTATTTTAATTTTTCATTTGCATATGATATTAATTCACGGATTACAAGTATTTTAGATAGTCAATTGTTATAATAATTGTTTATTTTTCAAAATTACAGTACAATGTATGCATCCATAATCTACATATGCTTGAAGTGAAAAATTAAGAATATCATGTAATCTTTCATATAAATGTATTGCTTGCAAAGTTATACAACTAATAAATAATCGTAATAAGCAAGCTCTTACAAGTAAAACTAAAATAGTTGTAAAATATTTATGATACAGATGTTATAAATATTGAACTACTTTTTGCAGTTTTTAGTTTTTCCTAGGTCTTTATGTGATATATCTAAAAATATACATAATCTGTAATAGTATTTCATAAAAAGTAAAAATTCATGTTATCGAGGCCATTTTTATATAACACTGATAGAATTGACTGATGGTTTGGATAAATTACTTATAACGCACATATTTTGACAATTGACATGATATAAAATTTATCTATTCATTTAGCATAGTACGCTTGACTGATATTATTTACACATACTGTTGAAGTACACTGTTGGGTTCTTCCGAAATAGTGCCAAAATGCCACAATTTTAACTGAAATAATTCTATGCAGATTTTGCTACTATTTATTTACGTATTTTGACATTTTTTCACGTATATATATATTTTGTATTTTAACGTATTAATGTCTATTAATTCTATTATGTCTATTAATAGAATAAGTGCCAAAATTCAAAATTAATATGATTTAAATTGAGGACTTGCAGAAAATATTTTATGTAAATAAATATTGAAATTAGAATGCGTTGATCAGTGCTGTTGGTCGCATATAAATGTTCATATATATGTATATTAAATTAGGTAACTATAAACAAAGTTGCGATTGGTAAAATTTTTAAAAAACACGCATATTTATTCATCACCGTGTAAGAAATTGTTAACCGCAAAGTTATAATCATTCTATAGAATAAACTCAATTTGTTGACGAAAACGCAATCAAATTAGGCAGTTTTATATTGAAAGGTCGAACCATATTATCCTTCATGGCTAACAAATTGACCAATTCTCATTCTAAAAGTAACTGTTAGCTTTTATCCTACATATCCGAGCTCGGAACTAAGCTGATGAAAACGTAATGGAGTATTCTAAGACTACTAAACGAATAGCCCGCGAATAGTGAAAGAAGGTCGTGTACTTGCCCAATGAACTTATTATGCACTTGCGAGGAATGATAGGTTCACGTGATACTACTTGACGATTGAACAACTACTCTTTTATAATAGGCACGAAGCGATATATGGCGCACCAAAAGAAAAATGACGTTATTCGTCGTTTTTTAAAAAACTTTGTACCTGTTTGTATATTATCTTATACAACATATTTGAAACTTTTTAATAATTTTGTAAGAAACGCACATTTTTTCTGACTGCAATCTTGCAAATTAGATAGCTTTATTGCAAGCATTTTTGAATGATATTAAATAATTTTGTAATAACAATCGATTATTAGATCGTGTTTTAAAAATTTTATAATGCGCATAACACATTACGATTGAACCGCCTTAAATTGTTATGTATTTGTAAATATACATAATTAGTACTATGTAGTTATGAATGTTAGCCAAGTATGAAAATGTACAGTATGTTTGTATACATTTAAATATGTTTAATTTTATATAATTCAATATATACTTAGCTGTATGCATATGGTAATAGGGCATTTTTTTTATTTTTTTTCTCTTTTTATTGTTTGTATTATAGTGAATTTGCTATGGCAGTTATTTCTTTGATAGGTGTCTGAGACTGATTACATATTTCATGGTAAAATTGCATTAGTGTCTGTCAATTTTTCTATATAATTTTGCGTTTCTAAACGCAACCATTCCTACTGTAAATATTCAATAATCGTCAAATAAACTAAATATACGGAAATAGTTGTCTTATTCTTTTTCGGTCGATATTATATTGAAATATTTGCAATTTATAAGAAAAAATGATGAGTCATCGACATTCAGCGTTGTGATTGATTGATCTTGATATAAAAAAGAACGCGAAAATTACAATTTTCGTATAATTTGAAATGTTTTTATGTATCAAGAAATGTAAGATTTATATTTCTGCAGTAAATTTAATTTATCAATAATTAATATAGATAATAATATAGAAGAATGGAAATATGCCATTAATAAATTATTTTAGAACATAAGAGGTTACATTTTGTAAATATCAGTACATACAAATCGATGATTTTATATTTATCTGTGATACTGAAATTAATAATGTCTTGAACTTTGGTTAAAAGAGAGAGAAATTGAATAGAAAAATAGGGGAAATACATTTTCATCTTTTGTATATTGTAAATTAAGAGATATGCGAGCATCAGAAATAAATAAGAATATTAGACACGTCTAATTTGAAGAATAGTTATGGGTACTTTTAACGAGACAACAAAAAAGTGTGTATGTGTGTGTAAACGCGCGCGCGCGCGTGCGTGTGCGTGTCATTTTCAATAATTCACATTCTATGTGGTAAAATTTGTTATAGTCTTTTTGGATGAGGGAAAAAGGGTGGAAAAAAGGTCATTCAAATCTATCGAGTAGTTTGATAAAAAATCAAAACATATACGTTCTTACGTTGCGAATTTACTTGGATCTTTTTAGGAGGTAATAGCATAAGAATTCTAGATCATGGTCGAGATTACATGATCTTAGGAATTTTTTATTTTTATGTTTGTTTATATTTTGATTAGTATACAAGAATATTCACAATGAATGTTCATTCAACGTTATTAAAACGATATGGTGGTCCTTAAAAGGACCGATTAAGTAAAATATAGAAGTATATAGTATAAATATAGTATCAAATTAAGCGCGTTCTCCCCGAATGCGTCTAGCCAGCTGGATATCTTTGGGCATGATAGTAACACGTTTTGCATGGATGGCGCACAGATTGGTATCTTCAAAAAGACCGACGAGGTAAGCCTCGCTAGCTTCCTGGAGAGCCATCACAGCAGAGCTTTGGAAGCGGAGATCGGTTTTAAAGTCTTGAGCAATCTCACGGACAAGACGCTGGAAAGGTAGTTTGCGGATAAGAAGCTCCGTGCTCTTCTGATAACGACGGATTTCACGAAGAGCGACGGTTCCAGGCCTATAACGATGAGGCTTCTTTACTCCACCGGTTGCTGGTGCACTTTTGCGAGCAGCTTTGGTGGCAAGTTGTTTTCTAGGAGCCTTTCCTCCTGTTGACTTGCGAGCGGTTTGCTTGGTACGTGCCATGGTAACTCAATAGTTGCTACTGACAGAAAAATGCTCGGCTGTAACTTTGGGTTTCTTTTATTCAGATTCTCGAGAAAGCTAGGCTTTTCTGATTGGTCGAAATTTTATGGTAGGGCTCACGTTAAGGGTGGCTGAGATTCGTTTGGAAGGCAGTGCGGTAGTGGGGGGACTCCACAGTTCTGAGGGTATAAATTAGAGTAAAGTCCGCACCAAATTCATTAGTTTTCGGCGTTCTACGAAAGTGTGAACTAAGTTACTGTTGGAATAATCATGACTGGTCGAGGAAAAGGAGGAAAAGGTTTGGGAAAAGGTGGTGCCAAGCGTCATCGCAAAGTTTTGCGTGACAACATCCAGGGTATCACCAAGCCTGCTATCCGTCGTCTAGCTCGTCGTGGTGGAGTCAAACGCATCTCTGGGTTAATCTACGAAGAAACTCGTGGTGTTCTCAAAGTGTTTCTTGAGAACGTCATCCGTGATGCTGTCACCTACACTGAACATGCTAAGAGGAAGACTGTGACCGCCATGGATGTCGTCTACGCTCTTAAACGTCAAGGCCGTACTCTTTATGGTTTCGGCGGTTAAATTTTTCATCGTCATTTAAAGCAAATCGGCCCTTTTCAGGGCCACCAATGATTTTAAACGTTGAATATCCTATTAACTAGACATTACCAAATAAAAAAATTCTATAAAATTGTCATGAAAATATACATAAAAATGAAAATATTTTGAATATACTATTTTATGGTCAAAAAACGACACAATAAAAATGTAATTAACAGGTTATGGGAAAGCCTCGAAATCAATAAAATTTGAAATGTTTACCCTCATCGATAGATAAACATTTAAGAAGTAATCCGACAGTCTCAGAAATTATTTATTAAAAACCACGAAAATTATGTTTACGGTAGATTTGGGAACGTTGTACTGCGATAACAAAATGACATGGCGTCGATAAGCAGCGAGTTTAAATAATTTGTGCTCCATAATATCAACTTATTTTTTTAAATAAATTATAGGTAATGTATTAAGATTAAAAAAAATAAATATTGTTAAATTGAGTGCTTCATGGTGTAATTCATTTCTTTTTAAAACAAAAATGTACGGTGGTAAAATTGCAATTTGTAATTGAAATAATATTTGTAATATGGTTTTAGAATTATTAAAATAATTTTAGGTTATAAGTATTATTTTCAACGAATATCTAAAACACGTACATTGCACTTTTCAATCTAAATAAATTGATGTTCATAATAATATATTAACTGTTTTGAGAAGCGAATTTGCTTGGAATATTTGTTATTTGAATATTATTTATTATCACATTGATACAATTTCTAATTTAAATTAAGAATCACATTATACTTTACTGATTGTAAATGACTTAAAATTTGAATCATAATAGATTCTTCGTTAATTAATGTTAATTTTTTTTTGTTCACTATATTTTTACGTTCGATTTCTCAAACCATTGAAGTCTCGAAAATTTGTTGCATAAAAAGTTATGAACATGTCATCGAAGAAGAAGAAAAAAATTAAACAAAGATAATACAAGGCCACTCTTACAGTCAAAAATTGTAGGTGATGGCGTGGCTTTACGTTAAAAATTGGTTTTAGTCGTAAACAGTTGAAATCTTTGTTTATCCCAATACCACGTAAAATCGCGTTTTTGTGCACAACTTCAAACGTATAATTCTATTAGAAAACGATGATAGTTTTCTTTCAAACTGTTTTATAGATGCATTTTCGCGTATGCTCTTTCAGAATCTGGCATTAGTTTTACATAAAAATTTGAATAATCCTATTATTTTCGCATTAAAAAAAATAGAATGATTTTTTAACGTCCGCTTTTTTCAAACTCGATTCTTGTGTTGTTGCTGCATTAAAACGAATATTTTGATGACGGGTATCATGGTCCGGATGTCTAAATTGTCTGTTATCTTGGAAAATTTTATTTACAAGAAAAGGTAACGAATTTTAACGAACAATAAAAAATGACCTTTATAATTTCTGGAGAATTTTAAGGGTAATTACATAAAAGAACAGAAAAAAAAGTTATTTTTTTCGGTCATCATAGATTTTTCCATAATAAAACTAGTTTGTAATTTTTTTTTATTTTCGTTATTTTATTTATATTTTGTTGTATTAATTTACAAATATTACACAACTACAATTCTTTGATTTATCATTTTAAGAAAATTGATTTGGTGTCTTTATAGTTGTCATCCAGAAATTATGATTTTTTCGGAGAGAACTATTTCGAAATAAAATGTTTGAAAATATAAAAAATGGATTTTATTACTCCAAAATTAACAAATTTACGAAAAATATTTAAAAAGAATCCAAAAAAGTGATGTGAATTTTCTCACAAATTTTAAAGATAATTTTTTATTTATCAAAAAATGGTCGTAGTCCAATAATCAAAAATGTGCCAAACTGTCCTAGAAAAATTCATACATATTTTTCAAGTACTTTCAAGCTTTTTTTCCAGTATAAATTTTTTTTGCAAACTTTTGAGTAATAATGTTATAAGAAACTGCTATACTGTAAAATTTTAGGTAAAAAAATTTCCTAGGATAGTTTCAGATAATTTAGACATACGGATTGTGATTCCTGTCATCAAGATACTTGTTTAAAGCTAGCACTAAAAATATGTGATTTAGAAAAGCTTTATAAAAGAAAATGTCTTAAAATTTATCAAAGAACACAAATTTTTTCAAATTTTTTGGAGAATTTTTAATTTTTCAAAAAAGTCGAAACGGTTGGAAAGAATTTGCACAATATTCGATATATTTTGCTTAAAAACTATAAGCTATAAGAAAAAGTTTATAGGAATAAAATCTTAGAACTATCTAAAGAATTCTCTAGAATTTTTTCAAATTTTTTGGTAACTTTTGTAAATATCAATTTTGTGATTTTTTGAAAAATCAAAAATTTTTCCTCGGATAATTTGAGTGTTCCTTGATAAACTTTTTTTCGAGACATTTTTCTCCTATAAAACTTTTTCCTAATTTTTTATGAAAAACAATGGTAATGAGAAACGAAATTTTTACAGGTTTTTCTATTTTATGTTGTTTTAGAAAAAAATTTCATAAATCAAATTTTCCTATTAAAGTTTACTGATTTAGTGCACCAATTGTTAAAGAAACATTTCGATATTTGCACGTTTTATGTTTGAAAAAAGAACTTCGTTTAATTTTTTCTTTTTTTTTTAAATACCCGTCATATTTAATTTTACACGCAAAATTTTTTAATTTTGAGCTCGGTTTCGCATGGTTTCGCATATATCCAAAAACAGGAGCAGTACCTGAATTAATTTATTGTTTCGTTTTATATATAAATTTTGAGTCAAAGGCATTTTTAAAAAATGACACCAATAGTCCTCAATAAGTTAATTCAAATTTGTACTTATTTTCATTTAGTTATAAGTTAGAAGGCATTGATTTGTATTAGAAGTTCATTACTTTTATTGTGTGCCCTTGTTATCAGACAATTTATCGATAAATATAGAAAAATAAGTTTTACTAAAAAATTATTTAGAAAGGGATAAAAAGCTATTAAAAATATATTTATGTAAAATGTACAAGAACAAAAATATAGGTGATAGTAATTTGTATAATATTTCAACTTGGTGTTTCTTAATATGAATAATATGGAAAATAAACATTTGTGATTAACTCTTCAGTCTTCATAACTGAAATGTTCAAAGAATTTGGAGAACAAATAGATAATTTAACGTTTGATAATATGGTAGTCCTTAAAAGGACTGATTGTTTATGGTAAAGTAAATTTTTATATTAAGCCGAGCTTTTTTCAGTCTTCTTAGGCAAAAGAACTGCCTGGATATTAGGCAGCACACCACCTTGGGCTATGGTGACACCAGAAAGAAGTTTATTTAACTCTTCGTCATTGCGGATAGCAAGTTGAAGATGACGCGGGATGATCCTGGTCTTTTTATTGTCACGAGCGGCGTTACCAGCCAATTCCAAAACCTCAGCAGCCAAGTATTCCATGACGGCGGCGAGATACACTGGAGCTCCAGCACCTACGCGTTCGGCATAATTGCCTTTACGAAGGAGACGATGGATACGTCCAACAGGGAATTGAAGACCAGCTTTGCTAGAGCGAGTTTTGGACTTAGTGCCCTTGGCCTTTCCTGCGCCTTTCCCACGTCCAGACATTTTCAAGGGAAAAGAATGTTAAATACAAAACGAACGTACAGTTACTGAGACTGAAGTGTTTTGAGCTTGTTTCAGTATCAAATGCGGTAACTTAAACTGACCTAGAGCGCTCCAATGGCAGCGTTCGTTCAGTCCCCACTCCGCTTTACAGTGTCATACAGTTCCTGCGATTCTGATTGGTGCGGAGGTTTTTCTCTAAAATATATATAGCTAAAACTCGAAACCGCACCAGACATTCTCGAAAGTATTTCAGTATACAATCGATATCTTTTACAATGGCTCCAACTGGAAAAACGAGTGGTAAAGCCGTGAAAAAATCCGGCAAAGCCCAAAAGAACATTACCAAGGGTGACAAGAAAAAGCGTGGAAAGAAAAGGAAGGAATCCTACGCTATTTACATCTATAAAGTTTTAAAGCAAGTTCACCCAGACACCGGAGTTTCCAGTAAAGCTATGAGCATCATGAACAGCTTCGTTAATGATATTTTCGAACGTATTGCTGCTGAGGCATCGCGTCTGGCTCACTACAACAAGAGGTCTACCATCACCTCTCGGGAGATCCAGACTGCTGTCAGGCTTCTGCTTCCCGGTGAACTCGCCAAGCACGCTGTCTCTGAAGGAACCAAGGCGGTCACCAAGTATACCAGCTCTAAGTAATTTCTTTTCTAAAACCATACCAGCAATCCAATCGGCCCTTTTCAGGGCCAACATGTTTTTGAACGTATCATGAACTTTCGTTTAATAAGATTACTTTTTTTCGACAATAGAGTATAGGTAGTATAATGGTTGTATTTCATATCATTTGCTCAAATTTCATATTTAACTAGCGGGTTTTTACTATACACTTCGACATTAAAACAATTTTGAAATTTAATAGATATCGTTTTTTAACCCATCTTAATTTTAGAGCTACCCCACCAAATTTTTGGTCATTCTCCCGACTATTACATCCGACCAGAGAAGTCCAGTTTTCTGATCGCGTGCGCACATTTGTTTAAAAATTGAATATACTAACTTTTACTGCTAATTTAACAGTTAATTTTTGGCTCTTTCATACAATTCATAACATTAAATTCGTCGATTTTGTTCAAAGTCAATATATTTATTACCTACATAAATAAATGATTCTTTTGTTTTTTTTATTTTCTTAGAACACCGACTCTCTAAAGGTTAAGATATTGTAACTGAATATTCATATAAATGAAAGGTGAGCGCGCGAAACAGGCTTGACGACCCTAGTAAGTATATTAATTTTAAACAAAATCCATAAATTCGATATTATGGACTATATAAAGGAGCCAAGAATAACCCATGTAAATAATCATCAAATATTATGCATCGGTTGAAAAAAATGATTCTGCTCATATTATTTTTGCTATTAAATACAAATTTTAATGGAAAGTATCTTACAATCTATAAATTATTGCCTATAAATTTCTTTGACAAATTTTAAGATTTCCGAGAACTTACCATTTCTTGCTAAAAAATACTGAATAGAGTAAACTTACTGTTTTTGTACATTCTTCAAGCCTAGCGAATCCTTTCCTAATTCTTAAAAAAAATTTATTATAGTCGAACAAATTATTTCCTTTGTTACGATTATTTCGAGTTCTTTTGAAATTTTGTAATAATACAGTTAACCTTCAATAAGTAAATGTCGAAATTTGTAAATAAATGGAAAAAAAAATTATTATTATTGTTACTTAAAGAACTCCTATACATACAAATTGAAATAAAACAAATATGATTCTAATGAGATTATTGCTGAGGAAAAAGTGCAAAAATTTATTTAAAAATTGTTATCTTAATTAAAATCCAATATTGGCATTTGTGTTTATATGAATCATTATTTAACATAATTAAAATTCACGTATACTTGCTTCATATTTTTTTTTGGTAAATCTAACAAGTCATTTTCTGACGTAACTCAAATTTTATATGTACCAAAGTGAACAGTCGTAGAATTTCTTCATTTTTTTACATGAAAGCATCCATGGTATTGATTTTATAATAACGCAAATAAACTACTCCTAGTTTATTTATGTTAGGGTCGAGTTCATTAACTGAGGCCCGTAGTTTACTGATATTTTAGGCTTAGTAATTTAGTATGAAATTTATTTCAGACAAATTATCTTCTATTCTGACATAATAATTTTCATTTAAAAATATCAAACTAACTTGATTTTCAAGTAATTTAGTTGTCTGTAAAAAATTAATTTCACGTTCTATACTTTAACCAGGAAGTGATAAACCTAATTGCCTGCATAGAATCGTATTAAGGATTTTCTCTAGTTTATAGTACATTCCGATATTAGTGCGAAAAAGTGATATCAGCCTTGTGTAGACGTTTGCGCCCGAGTGAAGCAAAGGTAAAAAGGTCACACGAGACTGAATTCACTTTTCGACATTTTGTGCGTGGAAACTCGATTTTACGCAGGCATATTTAAAATCTCGTACGCACGTCGAATCGAAATATAAATCTAGATACATGCGAGAAAGTGATTTCAGCCTCATGAGGCCTCTTCATCCTCGCTTTACTCGACAGCAATCGTTCACACGAGGCTGCAATTACTTTCTCGTATCAATATTGAAATGTACTATTGATAGTATAAACTAAGTTTAGAAAGAAGGCTAATGTCATGTATTTTTTCCAGAAAGTGTTCGACTTATAAGTGTCTTATATTTTGTTATAGATATTTCATGAGACCTTTATTAGGTTATTATGTAGTATTATTTTGAGAATTTAGGGACTCTTTGTCGTTTGAGCTTTGATTGAATGTTCTCCAACATATTTTATAAGTAGCATCACGTTTCTTATAAAGTAGCTTCAAACGATCATTGACTCTATGAAAACCATTTTTCTACTTTCGAAGAAATTTCTTCCGATTCATGTTTTTAATTATAATTATGTGATTATTTAAGCAGTCTAAGCTAAGTACAGAATCAAGCTCTAGCACATCGAGTAAATACCAATTGCAGACCCTACAAAGTAATCAATTCTTGTTGACTTGCTTCTTTGTAATTTTTATATTTTATTTATTGGTCCAATCGAGTTCAAGGAAAATTTGATACTACTACTACGATTAAAGAGAAAGAGGATCTGCGATAGCCACAAAATTAGTTTGTAATACTAAAAACTATTTTGCTATTAAAACTTATTGTATACACTATGTCAATAATTTTATCAAATCGTGAGACTGTATGTAACTTTATTGTAATAAAGCTGTTTCGCTTTCAGTATTGAAATAAATAAGACATATATTTACAAGATGCCATTGAAATCAAGGCTGTCCATCTACTAAAGCTCGTGTATCTAATGGGCTAGTTACTCTATATAAAATTAAATTGAGTCACCTTATTAGGTACTAGAGAAAATAAAATAGTTAATCTTGTAATATATCCAAATTGCCTGTAATAAGAACCTGTGTAGCTCAGTATTTTTAACTGCTTAACCATAGAAAATTACGATGCTAACGCTCACGTTTAAACGTCTGTCAAATTTACGTTGATTCATATTCTACGTTCACTCGCTGAGATTCTATTTGAAGGTTCATTCGCGTAAATTATTGCTTGGCGGCAAGAGTTAGAAATGTCACAAGATTTGTTCAAAGGAAAATTGATACAGTTTTATTGAACAAATATTTTGTTTCTGCTATTCATATAAAATAAGCAAAAAAGTTTTAATTAATACGAATATTTGAAGTCAAAAAAAGTTTTATTAATCAATATTTAATGAGACAACAATATGAGAAATTGCAATTTCATCAATACTTTTATTTTTGTGTATTGGTTGATTTTTAATAATTATTGTGCAGCTAAGGATAAAAAAAGTACAAATAAAAACATAATAATTATTGGTGCTGGAGCAGCAGGAATTTCAGCAGTGACTAAATTATTTGAACATGGTTTTACAAATCTCACAGTATTAGAAGCCGAGAATAGAATTGGAGGTCGCTTATACACTACAAAATTTGGTAAATAGATAATTATTTTCTTGTTAATTTAAAAAAAAAAAAGAAAAGATCATAAGTTTTTGCTGTTTGGTTAATTATTATTTATTACAAGATTATTATTAAGATATTGTAAGTATCATTATTTTTTCCAAAATAATTATCTTGTAATTGAGTAAACATCATAGTCTACATTAATTCGAAAGAAAATAATTTATCCGTCTAAAAATTTTACATTATACAATAATATTTGCCATAGGTAATTATTCCGTGGACCTCGGTGGTCAGTGGATACATGGGCAAAAGAATAATACAGCGTTCGAATTAGCTTATCCTTTGGGTTTACTCGACACAAGGAATGTTACAGAATTCAACGAAATGCTACTGGATTTATCTGGAAGTGTTTTCAGTGATACTGTTAGCGAAAATATTATGATATTTATTAGTAATTATTTACTACAAGAAATACCTAATAAACATTCTACATCCGCTAAAAATTATGGTGAATTTATAAAAGAAACGTAAGGCCAAAGAAACTTCGAAACTACTAGTAAATGTATTCACTACTTTTTCTTATCCGTAGGTTCGAAAGAGAATTTAAAAATGTATCTGAAATTATAAAACACAAAACAGCATTGCTACATTATTTGGAAATGTTGGTTTTGAGTGGAGATTCGGGTGATTCTTGGTATGATGTTGCTATCAGAGATCCTGATGGATACATTGATTGCGATGGCGATCAGAAAGTTAACTGGAAAATGCAGGGCTATGGTTTCATTATAGACGTATTATTGGTATGCTTAATACAAAGTGAAATTGAAGGCATAAACTTTTTAAATTTATTGTTTTAATAATAAATTATTTTTTTGTAGAAACGGTATCCAGATCCAAAAAAAGAAATACCGATTTTAAAAAATATAGTACTCAATTCCGAAGTAACTTCTATTGATTATTCTGGAAATGGGCAGCCAATTTCAATAACTACTAAAAACGGTCAAGTTTATAAGGCGGATCACGTTATATTAACAGTTTCGTTAGGAGTTTTAAAAGAAAAGTATAAGACATTATTTAATCCTAATTTACCGGATAATAAAGTTAGTGCCATAGAGGTAAGAAACAATGTGATAGTTATGAAAGTAAAAATGGTGTAATTTTGATTATCTATAAAAAGTTTAGGGGCTTGGTTTTGGAAGTGCTGGAAAGGTGTATTTATTGTTTGAAAGCCCCTTTTGGCAACTTAAAGGCGAGAAGTCTATGCACTACGGGTTTATATGGGATGAAGAAGAGATAAAGGCTAGAGAACAAGACGTAAGCACATTAAATAAAGTTTACATTTCATGATAAAATTTTAGTAAAGAAAAATACCTATGGAACTGCAATGTCGCTATAATATTAGCTTATAAAACATCAAAACGAGTTTTAATATATCCAGAACACAAATTTTACAAAGTACTAATTTAATATATTCATAAAAATTAATAAAATTTTTGTATTTTACAACTTTTGTACTTTATGTTTTAATGGATTAATAGTATTTTATATTTTAATGAATCATAATTATCAAAAAGTAACAAATAGTTCAATTTTCATTTCATATTATATGTTATTAAGAAAAATGAATTTGAATTGATTAACGATTTTTCAGTTGGAAAAAAAATGGACTTTGGGAGTCTTAGGAGCTTCCACCGTTGAACATAAACCAAATCTATTAGAGTTTTACATTGCAAGTCGATATTCTAAAGTAATGGAGGAAATTAGCGACGAAAAAATGTTCAGTCAGTCAGTTGAACTGTTAGAACGGTTTATGGGAAGAACACATAAAGTTACAAAACCCCTTGCCATAATGAGAACGCAGTGGTACACCAATCCGCATTTTAAGGGAACTTACAGTTATCGGGATATTGAGTCAGATAAACGAAAAGTTTATCCGAAAACTTTAGAAGAACCTATCTATTCGGATGAACTTGTAAGTTAATTTATTATATTAAATTCAATTTAAATAACTTGTTAACCTTTATATTATTGTACATTACTTTAATTTTAGAAAATTTTATTCGCGGGAGAAGCTACATCTCTACATAGATATTCAACAGCTGATGGAGCTATTGAATCTGGTTGGACAGCCGCAAATCGTTTGATAAAATTTTATGAAATAATGCCGTCGAAGCAGTAAAATTACCACTTTTGTAAGTTTTGGTAGACTCGATATCTGCAGAATTCTGGAATTTCCTTTTTTATACTTATAATTATTTGAGGAGATATAATGTACTGTTATCGACAGATTTATTGCACCATGAATTATTATTGAGTATATTTTTTAGAAAAAAATATGTAAAACTACGAACGTATTTTTATAGAACCCATGACCTCAGAAGCCTGGGCTCTTACCCACTAAGCCACCGTGACCTTTGTTAAATTTATTAAACCGTATGGGTTTGATAAATTTAATTATACGAAAGTTTCAAGGCTAATAATTAGAGATTGATATTATTTATTAAAAAATATCTTGATTGTTTCTACGAAATTAATTGAAATGATTGCAATGAGAGGTATATGACAATGACAGCAAAACGTTTTAAATAAAATAATAAACAGTATAATCGGTTTCAATAATGATTTTTCGAGTTAATATTGAAATTATATTTCTATTTCGACATGTCTTATTAAAAAGATCAAATAATGTATATGCAGGAAACTCTGAATAATATGAGTGCTGAACCAAACGATATGAAAAGCGCTTAGACGCTTAAAACTTGATCGGACAACATGCCAAAATGGCCGCTTCGCATTTATAATAAAAATTGGCATATTACAATTTTTACTTGCTTGTAGCTACCAAATTGATTTAAAAATCTCTAAATATTAATTAAAGACTCTAAGTATTAGCGGCTACCTACTGACATGTAACTTTTACTTTTAGAGAAAATGGTAGTGAGCCAAGGGCAGGGGAAAATAAATTATGCTTTTAGTTTTAGTACAAAGAAAGTTATTGTAAGGAACGATGAAACAAAATATATATGAATATGAATTAAAAGTACAGGTTTATAAATGGAAAATTTTGATTATAATTATTTGAATATAGCTACAATAATTCATAGACACATAACAGTTTGAAAATCAATAAATACATTCAAAATAAGTCTACCAACCACTACACGAGTAATAATGTAGCCTTTATTTTAAAATGGATATAAGTTAGTACGCTATTTTTAAAATTATCTTAATCTAGTGTAATATGATAATAATTTACAAAAATGTAAATGTAATTGTTATTGTTGTACATTATGAAATTTCTATAATACTTTAGAGATAACTAAGAATAGTCACGAAAAAATGTAAAACGATCCTCTTGCTTAATGTAATTTTGAAGGTAAGTCACTTAAGGTGTCGATGTGACAAGATTGGCCAATGATTGACTGGAAAGAAGGAGTAAGTATAAATACTATAACATAAATTATTGTCTTGTACGTATATTAAAGTTGCTACGGTCATTAAAAAAAGCACGATGCTAAAGTAAGCTCATAATTTGTTGCTGTTTATTGCTCATTTGTTGTGTAATAATTAATTTTAATTAATTTTGTTGTTTTTGACGTTCCTAATAAAACCCGTCGCCCTTTATTGAAATACGAAATTACTGAAGCCACATGTTTTAAGAACGAAGAGAGCTGTCCATATGAACCTAATGGTATATTTTGCTACTAATTTGCTGCTTTGATATTGTGAATCATCTGAGTTTTCAAACATATCTCCTAGAAGAGAAACCTACCCCTATTACACTAGTGCATCCATGCGTGCTATTTCGATAATGAAAATAGTTATTGACACGGTAAGAGCTACTTACTTTTATTGTTAATTTATTTTGTTAATATAGTCAATTATTTAAGCCCTTAGACGCATCCCCTGGAAGAGAAATTCTCTTCCATTACGTTACGCTACTACAGCGATATGTGCTATCTCAATAACGAAAATAGTTTTTAACCTAGGAAGAACATTATATCTTGTTGCCAATTCTGTTATTCTGAAATAATATAATTAATAAACTTATTGAAAATTTATAGACAATAAAGAATACTGGATGCGCTGAATAAAAGCATGAAATCGGTTCGACGATTTATTATAGTTAAAAACTTGGCAAACAACTCACCATTAAAGTTGATAGTTTTTTATTATTCGTCAATATTCATTCTTAAATCTTACAGGAACGAAATAAAAAAAACTTGTACTTGATTTATAGTAAAGCTTATAAAGTTTAAGATTTAAAGTTTGATCAATCCAAGCCCTAACTAGCTGCATTTATCAAAAATGTTTTAAAATTATAAATTTTCTCTACATACTTACACTTCATATACTTTAATAAATAAAAAGGTTTAAAATCTAAAAGCTCAAAAGTTCGGTTAAGTTCACGGTGTCATTGGTACAATTATATTCAATCATTCAATGCATAATCGCCTTATATAAATTTTTTTAAAAGAAATAATAAATAAATAATCAGCTTTTACAAGACTAATATAGAGATTAAATCACAAATAATGAAATCATATAATCTTATTGTACAATATTATTAGGCGCCTCGTAAAATGCTATAACTAACTCAAATATACGTAGCAAACGGGACAATTTTGTCGCGCTTTCCCTTTAATAGTTTGCCTAAACGAAAAATAGTTGGTACTTGAAAAAGTGAATATTCATAAATAGTATACTCTGGATTATATACCAATCCATTTCGAAGCAGTTTATCTATCGGTTTTATCATAAAAAAATCATGAAATCTACAATAATTTTAAGCTGTAATCAGTTTATGTTTACGTCGAAAACAAAATATTAGAGTAAGTCATAACTAAGCAAGCGTTACACCAATTTAAAAAATTTATTTATGAAGTTTTACTGATAGATGAAGATTAAATATTAACTAGTGGTACAAGGAATACAGCGGTTTAACTCAATATCGATTATAGACGATACTGCATTTTTAAATAAATTACTATATATTTTTTATATAAAGAATCTCTATATATATATTTTAGTTCGTTATAGTATTATATGGGAGGTTTTAATCATTCTTTGATTTCAACTAAATTTACAGTTCACGTGTATTGAAAATTTTCAAAATTATGTAAATTGATAAGTATTTCAATAAATGTATTGAAATATCTATAGTTTTATTATTAACTAATTTGAGGTATAACTTTCTACAGTTAACAAGATAAAACCATATCGTGTATGTCTCATTTCTAATGACCTAATGTTTGAAATAAAATATATAATAAATTAATAAATACATTTGGTAAAATTCATATTGCACGTTATTCAGTTCTGTAATGTTTCAAAAATATTTGAGCCTGTTTTACACCACTATCATAAGCTCCATGTGTTGTGGAATAGTAGTTATCGTGAGTTGCTTCACCCGCTAGCATTAATATTGGAAAATTCTGTAATAATTCCCACAATCATGTAATAAATATACAATCGAGTTTTTTAAATGTTAATGTTATAAAATGGATACAATATAGTGAAAATGTTACCTTTATATTATTATATGAATTTATAGTTCCCCAAATTGGTTTAGCTAGAGTGGCGGGTGAAATCCCGGCGATATCACATTTTTTGCTAATGTGACTATAACCGCCTTTTACGTAACGATTACTAAACCAAGTGCTTTTTATGCATTTGCTAGCTTCAGGTACGTTTTCATTTTTCAAAAAAAATCTGAAAATTTCTGCACAGTCTTTAATGATTTGTTGTTCACTTAATGTTTCAATAACACAAGCTCCTTTTCCTCCAACCCAACCCAAAAGTATGGACTTTTGATCTTTTATTACATCAAACCCAGTTAAGTCTTTGGCCCAACCAGCAAGCTTCTTTCGTGCTGGATTATTGTTACACTTTTCAGTATTGTCATTCCATAAAAATTGAAATCCTTTTGTATTTGGTTCCCACCATGGCTCACTAAACTCAAGGAAGACTTTATTTATCAAACCAAATCCTAAACTTTGAATGGCTGTAACAAATTGTTTTGGCAACATAGGAATGAACAATTTATCATGATTTTCTTTTAAAAAACCTAGTGAAGATGTAATTATGGCACATTTTGTATTGATCTTTTTATTATTTTCAAGTGTGATAGTAATTGGTCTTGGATTATTTACATCTATCTTATCATTCCATTCAATTTTTGTTACTGGACAATTTAGTCTTATATTATCTTGTGATAATTCTCTTGTGATTGATTCTACTATAGCACCGTAATGAGTATTAAAAATATTATACTCTGGACCATTCACGGACTGTAATCAAAGTCAGTCCAATAGAAAATTCATAAAATTAAAATTCAAAAAGAATAAAAAATTTGAATAATACCTTGAATTTACCCCAGCTTTTAACCGATAGTTCATCTAGTTGCATGCATGCATTATCAATAAGAAGAAATCTAACATTCCAATCAAAAAGTTCTTCTTTTATTTGCCTGATATCTACTGGATCATTAGTAATTCTTAGATATTTATTAAAGCGATTTTTCAAAACTTTACCTATGTTTTCTTCAATATCTGAGTATTCAATTTCATTGTTCAATGCATACTTTTCACAGTCTTCCAATATGTTTTTAACTATATCATCTACTTCCAATATTAATGCTTGATCAACATTACTACCATCAACCCTTAAATAAAGCCCTTCACCTTCAGCACCATCAATACAAGAAAGCAAACCTTTAATCTCTGCTAATTGAGCTAAAGTACTTTCTCTTCCATGGAGAAATTGAGCTCCAAGTTCTAACCAACCATTTTTCCAAGGAATAGAGGCAATTCTACCTCCAACTTGAGATTGAGCTAAGTAAGAATTAAAAAATTAATTTTTATATACTAAAAAATAATGCAATTTACTAGTGAAATTTATTACACCTTCAAGCAAAATGTATTCTTTAAAGTCTGATTGTTCTAATGTTATAGCAGCTCCCAAACCAGCAATACCAGCACCCACAATTACTATTTCGGTATTCTCTATCGATAAGTCTGTTTTTTTTATATCCATCGTTATATTATGAAAGAAAAAATTATCACTTTATAAAAATCACAGATAGTTTAGAAGTTTCCTAGAGTAAGTATAAGGTATGTGATTTATTTATAGAAAATGCAATATGCATAAATTGTGGCGTAGCAATTGGAATAATGTATAATTTAATGGATCTCAATGAAATTGAATTCATGAATAATTTTTATGAGTTGAAATAATATTTATGATACAAATTTATAAGTGAAAAGTAATTTTGTATTGACTAATTTCCAAAGAATTGAATTTCGAAAAACATATGAATAATTTCTGTTAATAGCTAGCAGACTATTTTGATAGGAATACATAATATAGCAACTTAAGCTTAAACTTTTGAGGTTAATGTACATACTGTAATATATATGTGTGTGTGTGGTGGGTGGGTGTGCGCGCGCGCACGCGTGTATGTATGGAAGAGTCGAAACTAAAATTTAGGGGTCGGCGATTCTACTCGATTCCAGACGAAGTATTCGATTTTTTTTTGAGAATCGATTATTTTGTCGATTCTTCTTCGGAATCGATTCTGAGTATTCGATCTTTTTCAAGAGAATCGCCGACCCCTAAACTAAATCACAGACGCCTTATATAAAATAGGCTACTATATATATTTTTTTTTTTTTTTATGGGAGAGGAGGGGAAATCTTCAGAAAGACTCCCACTTAGATGGAATAGTGGGGAGTGTCGGATTTGTACCGACTAAAATCCCTCCTCATGGTTGCCAATCCTAGGGTTATAAACCAAGGCGCCTATGATGGGCAAGAAGAATTAGGGGCCCTGCAGATGATACTGAAGGGCACTGTGCTCGCGGGGCGAGGCTAGATAAAGTTTGGTGTAGGGGGGATAAGGGAACAAGGTCTAAGGACCTTGTCAGAATCTTTACTGGTTATCGTGGCTAGTTGGTTAATGGAGGGGTTATCATGATTTGTGATGGAAGTACGGAGGTTATTTCCGTAAGTGGAGGCTGCTGAGTGGATAGAGGGGAGACCTGTTTCTTTGAGGATCTGGTCATTTCTTATGAACCAGGGGATGTTGAGAGAGCCGCGAAGGGTCTTCATATATGTACCGTTGAGGTTTTTGAGAGAAGAGGCAGTACCCCATACCGGAATGGCATAGGTGCTGATGTTTCTGATGATGGCATTAAATGCTCTGATTTTTGTGGATTGGGAGATAGATTTGTTATTGAAGAAGGGTTTAAGGGAAAAGAAAGCACCGTTAGTTTTGGAACGGACAGCTTTGATTTGGGAGTGCCAGTTGAGACTTCTGTCAAAGATGACACCCAGATAAGAGCCGACAATTAGTTTGTCCGGGGGGACTGTAAAATTTTCTTTTATATTATAATGACATGAGGTAAATATTATGCTGGTCTTATATTAAATAGCCAGCGTAAACATCTCATTTAAATGTCAGTAGAGCGTATACGAAAAGGCAAACAACAAGGAGCTCAGGAACAAGATCGTGACAATAACAAATTAATTTGATAATTAATAACAATTGTTAATTTGATTAAATAAGTTGAAAGTTGACGTGATCACGCTTACAAATTTTTAATACTATAATACAATTTACGATTCTAATTTGAACGGCAATCGGAATTATTATTTTCGTCAAAAGCCAGAGCGATTTTAATAAACTCTTTCTAATTTGCGATTGTTCTTACTAGAAAAAGTACGTCTTACTTGTTTTTGGATATTATCATACAATAATCCGCCGTTTGTAGAGTCCTCTTCTAAATATTATAGTGAAATATTGAGGTTCATCTCAATTTTATCTCAAATTCTGCAGTATACTCGCAGGTTCAAGGTCGCTGTAAAAGTGATTAATTTTTAGTTATTGGTGTGCGTGTGTGTATTCTCGAAGTAGCCGGGAGATCTCTTCATTTTGCTTGCTGGAGAATCTTCTTGTACTTTCCTCGTCGGACACCACACACTTGTTACCTTGAGACTGTCTTAATTTCTTCTGACTCTCACGTTAGACTCTCTTTTTGAAACCTCTCTCTGAGGGGATTAAGGGGCGCTCATAAGCGATCTTAGGCAGAAATTTGGTGCGCACGATGTCCATCTATAGGCGAGAAACTGCTCAATACCCAGCAAGTCAGATTTAAAATCTCATTGTTACAGGATATTTCTGTGGGAGAAGAAAATGGCTACAGATTTGGCTTCGTTTAGGTTAAAGCCTCATCTGTGGTACCATTTCAGGAGAGTGGGGGTGTATTTGTTTAGGACAGATGAGCAGTGGCTTTTGGTTTTGCCGGTGTAGAGTAGCGCAATGTCGTTTGCGTATTGGGCTATCACGATGTTCTTTTGAGTGGGAATGTCATGACAATAAATGTTGAAGAGTGAGGGGGATAATTTGGAGCCTTGGGGGACTCCGGCGGTGACGGGTTGGGGGGAAGAGAGGGTATTGGAGACCCTGACTTTGAGGGAGCGGTTCGTTAAAAAGGATTTAATCAGACCGATAAGGTAGTGGGGAAATTTTAGCTGGATGAGTTTATGGATGAGGCCGTCATGCCAGACTCCGTCAAAGGCTTGTTTGGCGTCGAGGAGGAGCATGGAGGTGTGTTTGCGTTTGTTGCGGTTATCCGCAATAAATTCGGAGACTCGAAGGAGTTGGTGACATGTGCCATGATGGTGGCGGAAACCATGTTGAAAGTTGGGGAGGGCTTTTATTTCTGAGCTGTGATTATTAATGCGGTTGAGGATTATGTTTTCAGCTACTTTACTTAGGGTGCAAAGTAGGCTGATTGGGCGGTAGCTAGAGGCAGAGTTTAGGGGTTTTCCGGCTTTGGGGAGGCAGACGACAATTGCTTCTTTCCAAGAGGTGGGGAAATAGCTAAGTCTGAACATTGCGTTGACAATGTTACAAATGAATACTATGTGGATTTTGGGAGAATTTTGAGGACACTATTGAGGATGCCGTCGGGTCCTGGGGCTTTATTGTTTATTAGGGCTTTTATGGCTGCTGTTATTTCGCGAGGGGATGTGGGGTTGATATCCTGGGCGGAGGGGATGAAGTTTTGGACTGAAAGGGTGACTTGTTTGTGGAAGTCTTGGTACGCTACCGGGGTGGGGAAGGGGGAACATTGCTCGCAGAGGGATTCTGCGAAAATGTTAGCCTTGTCCTCGTCAGCAGAGTAATTTATGCCGTTTTTGGTGAGTGGGGGTGAGTGTGGTTGTCTATTACGGAGGGATTTGATGGTTTTCCAGCAGCGTCTGGGGTTTGCCTCAGCTTCAGCAATATATTTGCTGAAGTGTGAGTCATGAGAAGCTTGTAGGGCGGTTTTGATTTCGCGGATTAATGTGTTGAGTCGGGGACGGAGTGCGTGAATTTGGAAGCGTTGGATTTGTCTGCGTGTTTGGTTCTTGAGTTTAATGAGTGCGCGAATGTCGGGAGAGAGTGGTTGTTTGTTGGATGAAGGTGTTGTAGGTATGGATGCTAGTGTAATTTGGTTCTGGAGCTCTAGAGTGAGAGTTGAGACAGCATTGTCTATGTCTGCGGTAGTGTTGATTGGTAAGCATTCGAGTGAAGAGTGTTCGAGTTGGTATTGGAGAGAGAGCTAATCTATTTTTGTGGGAGGTGGTGTGGAGAGAGTGTAAGTGTTTGGTATTTCGAGAAAGACTGGGTTGTGATTAGATTGTAGGGCGGTGATGGACCACGGATCTTTCTCGAGGGTGATGTTTCTTGTGATGAACAGGTCTAAGATGTCTGGGGAGTGGTTTGTTGCACTTGGGAAGTGTGTGAATTCAGCGGGGGCATCTACTGAGAAGTTGTGTGAGTAGAGAAGATTGCGGAGGGTGGTACCTTTTCGGTTTTTGGATCGGGAACCCCAGCAAGTGTGTTTGGCATTGAGATCGCCGGCGATAATTGTGGGGTAGTTGGAGTTTAGAAGAGGGGGTAATTCTTTTAGGTTGTGGGAGAGGGGGGGAGAGTAGCATGAGATGATTCTTAGAGGGTGGTTGTTGAGAGAAATTTCAACACCATAAACCTCTAGAGAGGGGGTGGGGGTGCTTATTGATTTGTGTCGGACGGAGTTTTTAACAAGGGTGGCAACGCCGCCGAAGGCTGAGTTGGGGCGGTCGTTCCTTTATGTGGTGTAATTTGGAATGTAGAGTTTTTGGTGTGATTTTAGGTGTGTTTCGGTGATGCAGACTACATCAACTGCGTGTTCGTGTATGAGGTCGGAGAGTTCGAAGACCTTGTTGTGGGCAAGGATTCCTCTGGCGTTCCATGTCATGATTGTGAGGTTAGTGTTGTTGGGGGAAGAAGGGGATGTTCTGGAATTTGAGGAATTGCATGAAGGCACGAAAAAGTTTCAGAGTGGACGGGTCTGATAGTGGGTTAGTTGTTGCGGGAAGGGGGGAGGGAGTGGAGTTGTTTTGCTGTGCGATTGGGGAGGGGGAGAGAATACATGCGTATGAAGTTCTTTGGGGGGGGGGGGGGGGGAGGCGTAGATTGTGGTGAGAAAGGCAGATTAGGTTGCGTGTGTGTTATGTTGTTGTGAATGGGTTGAGTGATTGGTAAGTGTTGTCTTTTGTTGGGAGGGGGTGAGAGCTTAGTGCTGTTGTTTGTTGTGTGTTTGTTGGGTGTAGTGGATTTGTTATTTTTGTGAGTGTTGTTGTTTTTGTTGTTGCTTGGGGCATTGGGGCAGCCTCGGTAGGTGGCGCGATGTGGGCCTTGGCAGTGGGTGCATTTGGGGGTTTTGTTGGGGTTGTCCTTATTGGGACATTTGATTGTGGCGTGTGGTTTGGCGCAGAAGGCGCAGACCCAGGCGGCGTGGCAGTAGTTGGCGGTATGTCGGTACTGTAGGCAGCAGCGACACTGAGGGATCTCCTTGGATTTACGTTTGGGCTTAACTTTAATATTGAGCCTACCTAGAGTTTGGAGGTTAAAGATGGAGTTCGCTTGGGCGTGCTTGGAGTCGAGGTGAATGTGTATAAGGGGCCAGATTTTGTCCCCTTTTCTCATTCGATAGATGGATTTAACAGGTATTTTCTTCCTGTCAAGTTCGGTTTTGATGTCGTCTTCAGAGAGAGTTTCGAGGACTCCCCTGATAACGACTTCGAGATCCCTATCTTGTCTGACTTGGAAGGTGGTGTATTCTGTTTTGTCAGAATCAAGTTTGGAGGTGAGGTGACGGAAGTCGTTAACGGTGTTTAAGTAGAGGCGGATGCTGTCGTTGGTGGACACGCGTCGGCGGTAGGGGATGTCCTCGGAAGTGAGGTAGTTATGGATTTTGGGCCATTTGTCTTTCTGCTTGATGCAGATTGGAGGGGGGCGACCATTGTCGACGTC